CACCCATTTCTGACGACCTACCGGGCAGCCATGATGGTCGTTACCTGCGTGGCAATTCTCGCAGTTGATTTCCGAGTGTTTCCGCGCCGCTTCGCTAAAGTGGAGAACTGGGGAACGTCGTTGATGGATCTGGGTGTGGGCTCCTTCGTCTTCTCTGCCGGCGTGGTCTCGGCGCGTGCAGTTCTGAAGGGCCGTGCCTCTCGATCTAAGAAGACTCCGTTCATTGGACGACTGATGAATTCTGTGCGCCACTCGGTTCCTTTGCTTGTACTTGGTCTCATTCGCCTCTGGAGCGTGAAAGGCCTAGACTACGCGGAGCATGTGACCGAGTATGGAGTTCATTGGAACTTCTTCTTCACCTTGGGCTTTTTGCCCCCATTTGTGGAGATTTTTGACTCATTGACGGCCTTGATCCCGTCTTACGAAGCTCTGGCTGTCATTATATCTGTCATTTACCAGGTGGCTCTCGAGTCCACCGAGCTCAAGAGCTATATTTTGATCTCCCCCCGAGGCTCAGATCTCTTGTCCAAGAACCGTGAAGGTATTTTCTCGTTCCTGGGTTATCTAGCCATTTTCCTTGCGGGCCGAGGTGTCGGCACTCGCATCATTCCTAGGGGCACATCTGCCTCTAAAACCCCCCAGCAGGCACGAAAGTCTGTGCTGGTAAGCTTGGCCCTACAGGTGATGTTCTGGTCAACTATGTTCTTCTTCAACTCATCCTATGCATTTGGGTACGGAGCGAACATTTTGGTCTCGCGCCGCCTCGCCAACATGCCTTATGTATTGTGGGTTGCATCCTTTAACAGTGCCCAAATCCTGTTGTTCTGTCTGGCCGAGACCCTGTTCTTCCCGTCTGTCCACCGATCCACGAGCAAGGATGGTGAGGAGGAGCGGAATGCCTTTGCGACAAGTCGGATCCTTCATGCATTTAATCGTGGTGGTCTGGCGATCTTCCTGGTTGCCAATCTCCTGACTGGTGCCGTCAATCTGAGTATTCCAACTCTGGACGTTAGTACCCCGCAGGCGATGGGCATCCTAATCGCCTATGCTGCGATCTTGACTGGACTTGCTCTGGTCATGGACAAGTACAATTTGAAACTACGTCTGTAGTTGTATTGAATATTAGACTATTTAACCTTATACATAGTACCAAAAATCTTGAGATCACCGTATCTTTCTTCTTGCCCAAAGTCGGATTATACAACTCCTTGAACAGAATCCTCAATCCTTGGGCCATTGCTGTGTGTAAAGTATTGCGATGACGTTTATCCTATACATACTACAGGTAGAGTGTCAGCTGACCTCGAGGTTAAGCCTCGGCATGTGACGATCAGCAACAGCTCTTAACTCCGCTGTAAGAATGCACCACGTCAACAAGCTATCAGCTCCCGACAAGATGAGTTCTGAGAATCTCTCATTTGTGAACTACCCAGTGCCTCAGAAAGGTCCCGACGTACCTTACCAGAATGAAACTCAGACCATCCCGGTGTTTCGAGGTACTCCCTTGGCGATCGGCGCGACATTGTAAGATGCGACCGAGCTTAATGCAGCTGACCCTGCACAAATTTGCTAATATATCGATATCCGACCTAGAATTCATAATGTCGGTTTCATCCAGAGCCACTTCTGGCGCAATGCTGGCTTTGATGTCATTCAAAAAATCCCCCATCTCCACGAGTACGCCGGCCGTTTTGATCCCACCGTTATACCCGTCGACAATGCGCCCAGTGACGTCCCAACGCCTGCCGTGCCGAAGAGGACAGGAGATAAAAACTACTACACTTCTGCCGATTACCATGCATTCTATTCTTCGGGCGAATTGACCCCTCTCGCTGTCGTTGAGACCTTGCTCCCACTTGTGCGACGCGACGCTACGCCCGCGGGGAAGCACTCTACTGCGTTCTTGGAATCGCAGGTTGATCTCATTCGCGCGGCTGCGGAGGCTTCTACGGAGCGGTATAAGAAGGGCACGTCCCTGGGGCCGCTTGACGGTGTTCCGGTTGCGATCAAGGATGAAGTGCATATCACCGGTTACAAGCGTACACTTGGAACGAAACTCGATTTCAAACACGGAACTGATGCAACGTCGTGGTGTGTGCAAAAATGGCAAGATGCTGGCGCTATCGTGATTGGGAAGACTACTATGCATGAGCTCGGCCTGGGTATGTACCAAACACGAACTATTTTCTTCACTGGTGTCTCGTGGCTAACTAGTTCCCTTGGCCTTTTTAGATACGAATAACAACAATCCCAATTTCGGAACGCCACGAAACCCCCATAACAAGAATTACTACTGTGGTGGATCTTCTGGTGGATCTGGTTACGCCGTCAGTGCTGGTTTAGTACCCATCGCACTCGGCGCAGACGGCGGTGGCTCGATCCGTATTCCATCGTCATTTTGTGGAATCTGGGGTTTGAAAACTACTCATGGCCGCGTGTCTGGTGCACCATCCTTGAGCCTCGCACCGACAGTTGGCGTCCTCGGGCCCATGGCGAGCAGCATTGACGACCTTGCTCTTGCGTATCGGGTCATGGCAGCGCCTGCGCCTGCTTCGCAGGACGCGATCTCCGCACAGTTCCCCAACCCGCTTCCATTATCCGCTGATCGCAAGAGAAATAAGAAGATCGGTATTGTTCGCGATTGGATCGACCGTGCCGAAGCTCCTGTCCGAGCCGTATTTGACTCTGCGCTTGATTATTACCGCCAGCACGGCTATGAAGTCGTCGATATCACGATCCCATACTTGCCTGAAGGCCAACGGGCTCACGTTCTGACCATCATGGCAGAGATTGCATCCGGTGTCGATGCGCGTCAGATCCGCCACCTCTCAGCGCCGAATAAGGTCCTCGTCTCCATTGGAACATGGCAGATCACAGCACAAGATCTTCTCGCCGCTCAACGCTTACGCAACCTGATCATGAAGCATATCGCGTATCTGTTCAGGACTCATCCCGGTTTGATGATCTTCACCCCTTCAACGCCAATTCCGGGATGGCATATCGACGGTGGTGAGAATGAGCTTTCTCGTGGCCTGTCGGACGGCAAGACTTCCGTGCGAAACATGGAGTATGTCTGGTTGGCCAATTTCATGGGTTGCCCCTCGATTAGTTGCCCGGCCGGCTATGCTAAGGACACTGGTGTTCCCATTGGCGTCATGGCTATGAGTGATTGGGGTACTGAGGAAGACTTGATTGACTTTGCGCGGGATGGTGAGGGATTCTTGGATATCCATGTTCCATCGGGCAAGGACTCGGTCTGGGAAGATGTTATTGGTCAAGCCAAGGAAGCAGGAACTGCATGATTGGCATGATTATGCGAAATGTGATAGGTTTGGGATCTCAAAATGGGATTTTATCAGCGAAATTGAATGGATATATTAGCTTAACCCTTGCAATCAATGTCCATACCGGTGATTTGAAAGGGATTTCATGCTCTCAATGCTATTTTGGCATTTTGATCCCCAGGCCGAGGATTGTCTCATGTGTCTGTGAGCGAAGTCTAGGGGCGTTGTTGCACGGATGCCACTGACCACTCAAGGTATCGTTGCCCAAGACTGCACGTCACGAGTTGATTTTGTAACACACGGAAGGAGCTTGTGATTCTCCGATCTTCCCTACATTCCATATGGTCAGTTTACTCTTGATCTTCAAGTCGATATTTGCATCGAGATACAAAGCTGAATTGGCTGCTGGTGTAGAGCACAATTCTATCATGGAATCAAATCTCCCCCTGGCCGTTTTTTTCTAAAGTGGGAATTGTCCGCTGAAGTGTTCGTCGATATAGGAAATCAGACAATTAGTAAAGAGTAGATCAGGGTCCTGAGATCGGTCATTATCTCGACCTTGATTCAGCTTATCTTGTGTCTACGTTCTTCGAAATGTCGTACGCAGGCACGAATATGCTGTATGGATGTAAAAGCCTTTCGTAGTTTAGAAATCTCTGTCCAGGTGCAAATTGTCATTCATGTTATGTTCAACGATACACTCTCCGTAACTCAGATGACAATCGCTTCCAAACAACAATCTCTTTCCTTTTCATCTTGGAATATTCCATGTACACCCTTCCAGTAAATTTTCTCGCAACATTGCTTAGTAGGAAACCAGTGACTTCCGGGTATAAATATAGTCAGAGTCCTGCTGGAGGCAATCATTGGAAGCCATCATCTCAATTTCTTTTAAGTCATCTGCTCGAGTAAACAAAGACCTAAAAGCATCCATTCGAAAGCCCATATCGCCCATTACATCGTTACATGATCACATCATCATGAAGACCAACATTATCCTTCTGCTCACGATGGCTGCCAGCATCTTGGCCGCACCTACCCAGGATAGTCCAGATGACATTAATGATACACTGCCCGAAGCCTGCCACCATGCGAGTCCGTGCAGCGTGTACTGGAGCGGCAGATGTGAATCATATTGTGGGAATCGGGGATTTGCGTATATGAGTGAGGCTGGCTGCCCTAGTTATAGTAAGAGATGCTGCTGCAGGAGGAAATTCTTGCTCCGACAGTGGCTCCGTGGAAGGCCATGGCTTGTTGTTTGTTCAAGAACTCGATCAAGGAAGACTAAGAGGAAATGAGTGCAACATGAAGCCTAAATCCAGTGACTATGCAAAATCAAGCTCGTGACACAAGATTTAGCTTTGTGTTTCACTTTCAATGATCACAATCACTGGTTATTTTTGGTTCTAGGCGGCGAGAATGTTTTGACTCGGGAATAGTTCCTCTTACTTATATCTCTACTGAATTGATAATGTCTTATTATGTCATTCGTACTCATGTGCGTTGGACCATCCCCATGCTTCTATGATATCAAAGCAAGAGGACAGATAGATCAATGGGGAATGCAACTTCTATATTGACCGTATCCTTCAAGTGTTTGACTCGTAACGGGAGCTTCTCATACTTCGCAGCTCCGATATCGCGCTAGCCCTAAACGGAAGTCAAGCTCCCCGCGTGGAAGTAAACATGGAAATTCACTGCCCGCACTCACCGACCCCAAGTGCTCTCACCATGCCGCATCTGCGACGACAACCACACCCCCACGACTACCGGGATCAAGGTCCTAATGGGTCCGGTAGTCTGCGCACTCAATTCCAGACCCCGCCGTCTCGACATACGCCGTCAAACCCAACCCATCGACACCCACCTTCCACAGGACCACAGGAAGTGACACCGGACATGGCACCCGCTCCTGCACACCCCGCGCAGACCAACCCTTTTTCTATTTTCAGGAGACCCCGAGGTGATCAGCAACCCCCGGAGACTGTGGAGGAAGAAGAAGAAGAGGAGGAGGAGGAGGAGCTGGATGACGATTATGATACGAATGCACAGGATGAAGAGCAAATTGAATATGAGGATGCAATGGGTGCAGAGGTCCGGTTTGACCCCGAGGAAAGCATTGATGCTTCGGGAAACCTTGATGGCGAGGACGTTGATGACATACTCGAGGATGAGTATGATGAGGACGAAGAGGAGCACGAGGACGGCGACGAGGAAATGCAAGATCGAGGTAAGGAAACTGTTTTTCCTTTCTTCCCCTTCGCTAGAGCCAGGCTCTCGCAAGCAACTACGGGCATTGACTAACGCTCTGAATAGACCGATCGCCGTCACCACTCCCTCCTAATCTCCGCGAAATCTCATCCCTCGCATCATGGACCGTTTCCACCTCCAAACCCGGCTGCGGCGTCGCAGCATTACGACACCATTCCCCTGCGCAATACTGGCAATCCGACGGACCGCAACCACACACCCTCACCCTCCACTTCTTCAAACTGGTGGCCGTCGTTCGCATCCGGGTCTACCTCGATTTCGACCTAGACGAGAGTTATACACCTACCAAAATGGTCTTCCTAGCCGGCATGGGCGGCAACGACCTCGTCGAATTCGCAACTTGGGAAGGAGACGCCCCATGCGGCTGGGTCGATGTACCCCTTGAAGGCGTCGGAGGACGTAACGGAGGCTGGGTACGCGAAGATATGGTACGACGCAAACTCCGCTCAAAAAGAACCCGCCGACAAGCAGGGCGTCATGGCAAAGACACTCGCGGCAAAGGGGAACCCGACGAAGAAGACGACCTCGACGGCGAGGACTACGACGTAGCCGAGGACCCCGAAGAACCATATGCGGGCAACGTCCTCAAGGCCATGGTGATTCAAATGCGCGTTATGGAGAACCACCAGAACGGAAAAGATACGCATGTCCGCGGCTTCCAGGTCTTCGCCTGCGATGATAATCGCCGTCGGGTTGCGGCTGCGCCGTCTGCTTCGGCTGATGGTCGGCATCGACGACATAGTGCTCGGCAGTCTCTGCGGGGAGCAATTCCGGGACTGATGCATAGCCGGACGGGGAGTCAGGACGTGGAAACTAGCAGGTTGATTTCGACTTCGGGTCTGGACGAGCCGGACTGGATGGGCGAGCCGGTGATTCGGTGATCTGGCCGTCCAAAAGTGTTGGGAGTAGCATTTGAGATGGCGTTGGTTTGTCTTGGTTTGGAGTTTCTATGGCTTTCAGATACCCTAGTCATTCGCATTGGAGGCTTGCGCAGCTTTTATCTTTATCAAATCCACAAACATTACATCCAAGTATCACTCTTATCACGTCTACGAAATTGGGCCGTCCAAAATGATATGGCAAAGATCCGAAAAGGGTATTCAATTTTGATTTCTACAGTCGTTATATGTCATATAAGAAACGCCCCCCAGAGAGACGCAACTGGCCACTTTTTTCCCCTCTACTTGAGCAGCTTCTCGAGCTCGGCAGCGACGGCATCACCGACCTCGACAGTGGTGGCCTTGCCGCCAATATCGCCCGTGCGGACACCAGCCTCGATGACGTTCTCGACGGCCTTCTCGATGATCCGGGCCTCGTCGAACATACCGAAAGAGTACTGCATCATCATGGCGACGGAGAGGATCGCAGCGACGGGGTTGACAATGCCCTTGCCGGCAATATCGGGGGCAGAGCCTGGTAAAGCGAGTTAGAAAGTTCCATGTAGAATTCAAGAGGGGAGTAGAAAAACGTACCGTGGATAGGCTCGTAGATACCGTTGACACGGTTCTTGCCATCGGGGATACCGCTCAGACTGGCACTAGGGAGGAGACCCAGGGAACCGGGGATGACACTAGCCTCATCACTGATGATATCACCGAACAAGTTGCTGGTCACGACGATACCGTTCAACTTGCGGGGGTCCTTAATCATGAGCATGGCCGCAGAGTCGATCAGGTGGTGACCGATCTGGAGCTGAGGGAACTCCTTAGCCATAACCTCAGTGACGACCTTGCGCCAGAGACGGCTGGTAGCCAGAACGTTGGCCTTGTCCAGACTCCACACGGGGAGAGGCGGGTTGTGCTGCAGAGCCAGGTGAGCGGCCAGACGGATGATACGCTCGATCTCGGCGCGAGAGTAGGGCTCGGTGTCCATGGCGAAGCCGGAGCCGTCGTCCTCTTTGCGGTCACCGAAATAGATACCGCCCGTCAGCTCACGGATGATGTTGAAGTCGACACCACGGCAGACATCGGCCTTGAGGGGGGAGCTCTCGACCAGCGAGGGAGCGGCGAAGTTGCAGGGACGCAGGTTTCCGAATGTGCCCATCTCCTTGCGCAGACGCAGGATACCCTGCTCGGGGCGGACGGCGCCGGTACCCCATTTCTATTCATGAGGAAAAGTGAACGTTAGTATCCATTTCCTTTTTGTTTTCCAATTCCGTATTCGGATGAAGGGACCGAACGTACGGGTCCACCAATGGCGCCCAGAAGGACGGCGTCGGCGTTCTTAGCGGCCTCCAGGGCCTCGTCGGTGAGAGGGGAGCCGGTGGCATCGATAGAAGCCTGGATCTAAATTAATTGACAAGCTCCTTAAAATGTCCTAGTCTTGAGCACTCACACCGCCGAGCAGGTGGTCCTGCAGGTTGAAGGAAACATCACGGTTGTTCTCGATGACCTTGAGGATCTAGGGACGAATTGGGGTTAGAAACGCTCTGCTACGAGCTCAACTGTCTCAAATATTGTTCTCTCTCACCTTGACAGCCTCGGCAGTAACCTATATTTGCGCGACGAGTTAGCTCTAAGATCCAGAACGCGTGTGCACCCTCCTCAAGCTCAGAGAAAGCTGGGGAATAGCGGGGCAGGGGATTCTTGAAGCAAAACGTACCTCGGGACCACAGTGGTCACCACCGAAGACGACAACGTTGAAGGCAGGCATTGTGAGGAATGAACAAAAGGAAGAACGGGATGTCAATTGGAGGTGACTCAATTGGATCGAAGCAGGGGAGTAGAGCTTTAAAAAAGGTGGGATTGCGGGTGAAGTCGACCCCGCCAGCTCCGAGATCGGCCCAGTCGGCCCAGTCGACTGCTCCGCCTCCGAACCAACAATAAAGAGCCCGGCCTCGGTTTGTTATTCTTGAATTTGATATGGAGTTGCGGCTTTGCGGCTTAGAGCGGGCCGCCAGGGTTGGATTTGAGTCATTTCATCTTATATTATCGATGCTATTTACGAAATCTTGACGTTTCAGACTCAGAAGACATGCATTAAATGATGTATAACAGCGGCATTAAGAATGGTCAGACCAAGAAGGGGGAAAAGAACAATGAGGTGAAAACGACAAGATCGAAGAGACAGGTATGAAAAGAAGCGACAAGAAAAAAAAACAAAGTGAAAGCAGCATGGAGACACAACGTTGTGTGTGCCCTATACAAGGGTCTTTCGACATTCAGACCATTCCAGGGGAAGACCGTTTCCCCATCCTACCAAAGATGCTCATCACAGTATGACTCGAAACCATCAAATCAAACATTCCGTCAGGAGGTCTAGGGTGATAGCTTCTTGCGCTAACCAGCCCATGGGACTCCCTGAATAAAAAATCACAGACCGACCGAAGCTCCAAAGACATGCAGGACCCGAGGACAAGTCGGGCGAAAGACAAAAAGGAAGAACTTCTCAACTAACCGGAAGCTGGCGAGCCAGATTGATCTACGCCACGCTTCCAGCAACATCCACAGCAGGTTACTTTTTGCGGTTGGCACGGCGGGCCTGGCGGTCGCCTTCTGCGAGCCAGCGGCTGGCATTGACTAGCTGAACAACGTTGACAAATTGTTTGAACAACATGACCGGGGCAGAGATGCCGGTGATGACCCATGGCCAGAAGCTATCGATCTTGTTGGCGCGGGCCATCTCGAGGGCACCCGCACTCCACGGGCTCGCGAAAAGGCTGCTGGGGACGGGGTTGGCGGGGTTTCCGGGCTGCACCGAGGAAGGCTGGGTGCCGGCGACGGGCTGGAGGAGCGAGGGCGAAAGGATCGGCGAGGAGAAAGAGAGCAGGTAGAGGCCGATGAAGAACAGCTCATTGAGAGCGCAGCAAATGAACAGAACAACCTAGGAAATCAACATCAATCAGCATGGCGCATACATCATGGATAGCTCATGAGAAACTCATACCCTGCTGTGGTAGTACTGGTAGAGGATCCAGCTGCGGCTGGAGTCGACCTTCTTGTGACTCTGGTCGGAACCACCCATACTCAGCGTAGCGTACATGTGCATGTAGTGACTGGCCAAGTCCAGGCAGATCAAGCCCTGAAAGACGATAGCCCATCGGGGCCAGGCGGAGCTCAGGAAGACAATCAAGCAAGAGGTCGTGCAGCGGTCGGTCACCATGTCCAACACGGCGCCGAAGGTGGTCGATTGGTTAAAGTAACGCGCTGCATATCCATCCAATGCGTCGAGCAGACAAGACACGCTGTAAAGAAGAGAACATGTGCGAGGATGGAGGGGCATATAGTAGAGGGATGCGAAAGCAAGGACAACTCGGAAATACCCTGCAAGCGATCGTTAATATTTAGGTCAAGGTCAGGTGTGGAAAGGGCAGCAAGCGTGGGAGACGCGCAAAGAGAAACCATACCGATGAGGTTCGGTGCGAACAGGAAGATGTTCTCCTGTTCATCCTCTTCCTTGAGAGCGGATCGTGACCTCTTTTTGGAAGGCGTGCGCTTGGTGGATTTGGATGAGGTCGAGAGACCGCCATTTCCAGTGGACAGATCTTCGCTATCGTCGGCGGGCACGCCCAAGGCGGCCTTTTGTCGTCGTGTGCGAGCACTCATTGTGGATGGCAGAGGAGTAGGTTGTTGATGTGTTGATTGGGGAAGAATGACACGACACAGTGGCAGCCGTCGGTCGAGGGTATAGCACAGTCGGTGGTGGTCTTTGCGAGAGATAAGGATGATAAGGAGGGAAGCTAGCGATAGATGAGGGAGAAGCGATCGGATCTGGTCGGAGGGATAAAAGAATCGGGACTTTAGCTGTAGAGCCTAGAGAGTAAAGGATAGGGGGGGCCGCTTCAAGGAGAAAATTCGTCCCGAGGCGATAAGGCAGGATGATAAGATGGCGCGTCGCGTAGTTGGTCCAGGCTGGAGGCTCCTCGTAACAAGTGGGCAGTGGAGACGGAGACGGCACCAGGGTTGAATAATAGATAAGTAGAAGAGAATGAAGGATTGAATTGGGACGGGACCGAAAGTTATTCCATGAAAAGAAAGCCTGCTGGAAGGAGTGGTGAGATTTTGTTCTCTACGGGTCGCCCGGAACCTTGGAAGCTTTCCCCACGCGGGAAGAATCCACTTGGCTTTTGGTTGGTTGAGTCGTCCGGCAGGCTCCGTCATCTTTGCTGAGCTATACTTGTCTATAGAGCCCTTGATCAGATCATCTCAGAGTAGAAAAGTACCATTCTAGCTGCCTAACGGATTTGAATATCCCATTGTAAGACCTGATTCCCGGTTCGATGTTGATTGATATTGCAACTAGTATATTATTAAGAAGATTCTGACCTTGCAAATGTATATGTATAAATGTCGAGTCAATGGCTTGCTTTCTAGGAGGGTGTTGTTGATCATGTCTTGCCTGGCACAAGACAAGATGAACTATGCTAAAACAAACGGATATGGAAAGGTGTATAGGACGATGATGTAGATGCAACAATTCCGGCAAAGCCACAGACCAGGAAATCGGAAAAGAGAAACCGCCCAAACCCGTCCTTCCGACGAAAAAAGTGCGATATTATGTGCAAGAGACCCTGTTCTGAGGGCCAATGTATATACATACGGACAAAAAAGGTTTCTACAAAAGTGAAAAGAAGGAGACATCACGTCCGTGACCTGCGCGGATCGGTGGCATCCTGTCGCCGCCACTCGCGAGACTCCTTCGTTCCCAAACTGCCCACGCCGCCTTCCAGTCGTCGTTCCCAACCACCGAGTCGGATGACAAGGCAAGTGGCATTATCGCCTTCTCTGGTCACCTCGGTCGCAAAGCTGACCACATCGCGCGCGCCTTGCTCGGGAGTTCGAGCTTCTTTGACAATGTCGACGATCTCCTGGTCTTGCAGGGTACCGCTAATACCATCCGAGACCATGACCATGAAGGAAAACTCGGCAGGGCCCATCTCAACGCGACAAAGCTCAGGCTCGGCGGAGACGCCGATGCGCTTGGATTGGACATCACCGAAGGCGCGGGTATTTGCAAGTCCGCTCATGCGCTCTTCGCCAAATGAATCGGTCACAAAGGTGGCAGCGTAGCGGCGCAGTCGACCTGCCTCTATTGGAGAGGATGGGTGATGATTGGAAGTGAGCGGGATAGCTTGGCCGGTCAGAGTCGAGCAGAGTAGAATTCGCGTGTCGCCCACATGGGCCACCAATAGACTTGACGGACCAGCTGGGTGCCAGAAAGGTGTCGGGCTGGGCGTTGAAATTAGAGCGACACTGCCAGTACTTCCACCCTTGAATCGTGACCGACCACCGATCCTCGGAGTTCGCGTCAAGCCCGGGCTGTGGAGAATCTCATCCTCGTTCAGCGGCTTTTCCGCTTGAGCGAGATCGTCATCATGCTTGGCCGCTTGCGCCTTGACAAAATCCAAGTCGGCACGCAGGAAAGCATACTCCATAACCTCCTCGATGGCGACATAGCCTTTGCTCATGGCGTTGTCTGTGGAATTGTCGGGGCCGTAATAGGTGAATTGAGGCGGCTTGAATCTCTTGAAATAGCCGCCAACTAGTCGGCGCCAATTCTGCACAAGACTCTTCTCCATGTCTCCGATGCGTTTGCGATTGGCCTCTTGCATCACCGGCAGGGAACTGGTCGTAGCTGATGCCGTTGCAGCGTCCCCACAACTCACCCGTTGTTGATCTGTACGGAGACTCGATTGGACTTCGAAATCTGCGGTTGAGTTCTGGATGTATTCGTGAAGATTGTCCTGCAAGAATGTACTGCACTCGGATCCGCCATGTCCGTCAAAGATTCCAAAATAGAATACTTGCGGATCCCCGCTGGCCGTGTCCGCGGCTCGCGACTCGCGCGATGAAGGTAGTGAGTTTGGGTTTTTGGATCGGTTGATCGTGAGCGATGCTGGTGGTCGCTTTGCGAATGCAGGAATATCGATGACGCCGGCTTGATACGTATCTTCATTTGCAGGGCGAGTGCCGCGGGCAGTGACGGCTCCAAAATGATGCTTGGCGCTGCGAAGCGGGATTCGGACCACCGTCATCTCACGGTCGACCAGGTTTTGGAACGTCGTCGGTGAATACGATGTATCCCCGACATGTGGTATTGACGCTGAACGAGGGAGTTTGTGAAAGGGAGAGATTGGCCCTCGAGGGTCTGGATGAAGCGAGGAGGACGGTAGATGCGTGACAAAGTAGTCGTGGAACTGGGGGCGCTTCTTTACGGCAGGTTGCTCGCGCTGCGGCGCAGTTTCGGAGCCATATTGCCGTAACGTTCGAGGACAAATGAAACCTACTTGAGAGATGGATAAAGGTTTAGCGGGTGAAAGTACAGGGTAGTCGGCCACAGGATCTTCAACGCAACTCGGAGACAAGATCGATTGTAGCCGGAAGTCTCACGTACCGTAAATGCCATCCAAGGCCCAGGCCCTGCCTGTTACGCGCCTCGCTGAAAGGACAATCATGAATGGCCCATTGATAGGTGATGTTGGTGGCGGAGGGAGATTCGAGTGTAAGAACAACCCGGCGTGGGGGGACACATTTCTTTGGCCCGAGCGTCGGCAGATAAGGTGACGGCATCGGCAGATCCATTCCGCGGATAGGCGGGTTCACCCCCGGACTTCATTTTGAGACAGTGTTGGTGGTCTTATCTACGGTGTATTCAATGGCTATGAAATGACTTGATAATTCCAAAGGAAAGCAAGGCTCGAAGACCCTCATTGCCGGAACGAATGGATCTTGAGAGGTCTACGCAGTCAGTCAAGGGCCATCAATCTCCGTCCAGGATGCGGATAGCGAAATACGGAGAACAGTATACTTCTGCTAGAAACGAGCATTTCAAGGGAAAAAATAAGTCAATTGGTAACGCCTATTGGGACCTGAATTCTACCTGTTCAAAAGAAACGAACGCTCCTAGAGACAAAAATCATTTCAAGTAGCATGACCGTCGCAATGGCCAAGAAGTGGAGTAAAAACGCGCAAGATGGAGAATTGGCACCTACCAGGAGCAGAATCATCCGGAGAGCCTAGAAAGACAAAAAGGACGCCAAGAGGGATCTGCCTGGAAGAAACGGGCCGCGTTAGAGTGTTTAAGTTGCAAGACCTGCGGACACGGATGGAAACCGGCACAAATAAGATCAGATGGCCTTGGTTCGACTGAATAGGCTGCTGTAAACGGCGTCCACCACGGGTTGAGCAGTGATCCGCCTGCCACCAAAGAAACGGCCATTCAAGCCCTTGATGGCATTCTCACCGCCTTGGACACGGTCGAACTTCAGGTAAATGTCGCCTTGAGAGTTTGGATCTAGCGAAATGTGAACAACATGGCCATATTTCTCTTCACACTCTTGGCGGACGTCATCCTCTAAATCCTTGATCCAAGCTTCGCCGGTTTCTCTGTGAAGAAGTCGTCAGTGATCGAGTTCCAGCAAGTTTTGAGAAAAACAGCAATGGGGGACTCCAAGAAATCGATGTACTTACTCATTAGGATCGAACATGTTACGAAGCATGACGCAGCGACTCGCCATGTTCACATTGACAGGCAGGGGCTTTGTCTCGGTCTTGGGTCGAAGCACCTTCTGTTGTTCGTCGGCCGAAGGCTCGGGTTCATCTGTTCGTGCAAGTTTCCTCATCAATGCGTCCCTACTGTAGTTGTTGAAGTTCACACCCGCAACGTCCGTGTCATCAAGAGCACTTGCACCGGTGCCCTTGTCGTTCTCGCGGCCTCCGCCAGCACGGTCAAAGTTGCTCGTGCCACCAGCCTGAACACCACGGCCTCCATGGCCAGAAAACGAGGAGCCCTGGAAATTCGGTTGGTTTGCAGATGGGCCCTGCTGACGATTCGCGTTCGAATCGGGGGTGAACTTATCGTTGCCAAGGCCCACTCGAATGGCCCGACCAGCAAGATCAAATCCATTCATTTTTTCCAAAGCCTCCCGGGCTTGGTTGGGATCACGGAATCTAGGTGTGGACAGGTCAGCTCACCGGAAATAGGACAACTTTGGATTAAGGGGGGATCGAAAGAAAGACATACTGCACAAATGCGTAACCTTTGCTGCGGCCAGTCTCATCCTTCTGCAATTGGACAAACTCGAGTTCGCCAAACGGTTCGAAGACATTCTGGAGATCATTCTCAGTAATGCTGAAATGAACATTACCCACATAGAGCCGGTGAAACGGCGCGGAGTGCGACGGGCCCGAGCTAGCCTCGGGGTTGCGAGCTTGGCGGTTCTTCTCAGCTTCGGTAAGCTGCGCGATAATTGGAATGCCTAGAAGCTTCTGGCCGGTAAGTTGAATAGCAGCCGGCACGGACTCTTCGCTTTTAAATTCGACATAACCAACACTGAAGCAAGTCGTGTGTTAGTTGATAGGACTGTAGAGCGATTTCAGGTAAAGATTTCACGTACCCTTTGGATCGTCCGCTCACCCGATCCTTGACAATCTGAGCTTCTTTCACAGGTCCGGCTTGTTCAAAGAAAGCCATCAGCTCCTTGGTTCTCAGTCGTGCGGCCAGCTGTTGAACAAAGATAGTCCTTTTATCCCGCTCATCCTCGTTTAATTCGGGGGATTTGCTGGGACTGCGGCGGCTGGGGCTGCGGCGACGGCCGCCTTCACGGTCACGTCGGGGACGTCTCTCTTCTTCGCGCTCCCGTCGAGAGGGACGGTAGTGGCGGTCGTCATATGGCGAGCGTGAGCGAGAGCGGGCACGTCCTGGACCGCGATAGAAGTCACCACTGGAGCGGTAGCCATCACGATCGCGACGCGAGCGTCGGCGCTCGCTTTCCCGGCTCCGGCTTCTCTTCCGGCTTCTATGGCTTCCGTTAGCACTGCCATGTTCGCTGCGAGGGCTCTTCATGTCCTCGTCGCCATCAACATCTCGGCGTCGGTCGCGGCTGCGGTCACGGCGTCGGCGTCTTTCACGGGAACGATCCCGATCCCGGCGTTCGGAGGGATCCGCGCGAGAACGATCATCGCGATCTTCTGATTTGGTAGCGGGGGTTTCGGCAGGAGCAGCAGTAGACTCGAGGAGAGCCTCTACGTCGAGTCCAGACATTGCGAAAGGCGCGTCTTGCTCGCTGGTTGATATTCAAATAAGGGCGAGGGTCAGGGAAAGTCACTTGGGAACTCGGTCAGAGTGCGAAAGACAGTTTGAGTGTTGACTTTCGAACCCTTTTTTTCTCTCTTCTTTCCGTAAGCGAGCTTGCCTATACTAAATCTCTGTCACAATCGGAAAATCGGTTGGAATGTAAAGTGGGCAAAGTGGCTAATCGACGGTTCTGAAGGAGTCAAAAGCGTCGGGTGAGATGGTGTCCAGTCATGTGACTCCGAGATTTTTTATCTGCCTAAGGTGTCAATTGGCCACTTTCTCTGCTGATAGAAACTTTACTGCATAAGGTGAAGCGCAGTAAAGTTCAATGGAGGGAACATGGTAATAAGGTAAATACATGATTAAGGACCAGTTTCAGAAGGATTGGATTGGATCCTTGTGGAAATTTTCATTAAAATTAAGTCATGTACACTAATAAGTGGTAAGTGAGGCGTGTAGTACAATAAGACGACCAGACATCCTCTTTGACTCATCTCTTGGAGCCAGAGAGGCTGTCTAAAATGGCCTGGGTCATGAACAAGTATCGATCCGGAACGCCACAATTGCCGACATGAAGGAGCATGACTGTACAAGCCCCAGGTGAATTAGGAAAGACCCAGAAGCGAGACTCAAGCGTAAACTCGTGAATTCAAAAGCTAGTAGCCGTTGTAGAAGTGTCAGGCGAACGGACGAGCTTTTACTGAGCTTTCACTCCTTTGGGAGCCGGAGTCTCCAGCTCGGTTCCAAACACCCGATCCCAGAATCGGCTGGTCACGCCAAATCCGTTCTCGAAGTCAGCGTAGTGGTGCTGAAGGTGATACTTCTTCAGCTCCTTGTAATACAGAGGAAGGCTATGCAGACATGTTAGCACTATGCCATACTTGAAGGGAAAAAAAGGTGATAAAAGAAACGGAAAACTCACTTGCGGTGGTGGAGGAAATAGTGAGTCAAATCATAGCAAATATAGCCGAAGACACCACCACAGAATACCTGTACAGCCGCAAACCAGTTGTAGAAGAACACGGCATGTGCAAGCTTCCAGAAAGGAGCTGCCAGAATCACGAACAATGTTGGGGGCATAACCAGTCGATAGCGGTCCATGGGCAGGTAGTGGTGAATGCCGTGGAGGAGGAAGTGCAGGGTCAGACCGACTCGGTTATCCGGGAGCCAGCTAGAAGAAAATGAATTAGCGATTCAACACGGACAACTTATCGGGAAGGAAAGACCATACTTATCGACATGGAACAGGAAGCGATGCATGAGGTACTCGATCAGAGTCCAAAGACAAACACCGCCGATCCAGTATGCGGCAGCCACGGTAGGGTCTCCTAGACCCTGCGCTCCAATCACAGTCCCATAGAAGACCAGCGGCAGCCAGATCATAGGCACCACATACCAGGCTGTCTTGCTGAGGGGCTCGAGAAAATTGCCAAAGAGTGGGGCAGAGTCTCCTCCTCTGTAGTGTCGAGGGCGGTGGATTTGCTCAAGGTAAAACTCCTTGGAGAAGTTGCTGTACCAAAGCTGAGCGAAAAGTGGCTTGTTCAGATCCAGGAACTTGTGTGTCTTGTAGTCCTGAGTATAATCCGTGTCGATTGACAGATCCTCTTCCCGGGACATGCCGGTGCTCTCGTAGACGGGCTCAGAAACCGCCCCCTCTGAATCGACACCAGATGCCTTTGCCTTTCCGGTTGCATCCGAGGAAATAAATCCAACGTGGTAGTCGGTCAAGATCTCGTAGGCGGCCTCAGAGTGCTCGTGAGAAATTTCATCCTTCATAATCTCGGCGACATCCTTGCCCGCGTAATCCAAAATCAAGTCACCACCACCCGGATGGTCCTCCACAAACTCTGTGACATCGTAGACATTGCGGCCGATCGTGATGTAGCACGATTTGGCGTTGTTATGCAATTCAACCTGGGCAGGTGTGAAAGTCGGCAGGACCCGTCCTGGCATCTTTGCGAGTGTTTTGAGGGTTGCGAAATTGGGTCGAGTCAGTTGTAGCGTACGATACGATATCTGAGAAAAGGTGTATGGGTGAGATGGATGAGAGAATGCAGACAAACAGGAAGGCGACGACAAATCTTGATCGGAGGGTCGCGGCACTAAATTATTATTCAGGGGAGCGTGTGGCGTGACGGGCAATGTCTCCGCCCCGGGCAGAATAATTAATGCTCCACTAGGGACCCCTTGTCCGGGTCAAGTCAGGCAACGCCTCGAGTTTCTTTGGTCTCTGCTAGTGCGAGGGCAGGAACGATCAGGCCATCAAACACATTGCCTGAGGTAGATATGTCGCAGAATGCTGCATCCCATCCTTTCTTTTTTTCAGGAGCGACCGAACGACGATTAAAGAATACATGTGCTTTCGCTCAGGGCTCAACCAATCATGAAGGGTTCATAAAACTGATGTAATCAGATTCATGCTGGAACCACCTAACGTGATTCGAGTTTTATTGATTTTTAGTCTCAGTCGCTAGTGACTTGATGCCCATCACTACGCAGATATTACAACTAGAATATCAGAAACTGAGAAATTAATGCTGGTTATTGGTTAAAGACTGCTGGGGAAGACAAATCACTATCGCGCAATGGAGACTCCAAGAAGTATCCTTGTACTATGGGTCAGGGCTATCTATATAGTGAGTCATTTACGTTTGTTTGCCCTGCGCTGTTCCATCTTACGGCTTTGAAGAAGACGGTTGCTGTGTGGTTTTGATACTATAGACGCAACGTTAGCACGTACTTTGACAACAGCTGTGCTGGGACATATTTTTGTGTTTCTGGGAGCTGTGGTTACCACCACAGCTGGTCATCTTTTTAGCTGCTTTCTCAATCAACACAGACAGTTCTGCATCTCTTGAGAGAACATTTTCTAGAATTAGATGATGGTTTCCCCTCCTTCCAAGCTAGCCCAGGGACCCGTCAAGCCTCCAGGTTTTGCCCATGAATAGATCCACTTATCTTGCCTTTTTCTTTTCGCCTCTTTGCTTCCCTTCCACAAAACCTGGTTCTTTAACCAGTTCCCTCTACTAAAATCAGCTCTCTTGCCTCTTGAACGATGACTGACGTATCATTTCAATGAATTAAGCAAGTTAATATTCATGATTGTGCTGGAGAAGCTTTTGCGGCCAATTAAAGCGACACCAGTTCGAATGAGAACATCCACCTCATGTCTTGGTCTACCGCTATCGCACCGATATGTTAAGTTCCTGACGACTACACCGTCTGTTGGATCTGCGCTATCGAATCCGAGTACCTTGCCGCACACCTCTGTCTCGACGAAAGCTACCCATACCTAGAATGTTACCCGTCGCTAAACAATACCAACACGTACACCATAGGTAGAATTGCCAACCACCATATGCTTATCGCCTGTTCACCCGATGGAACCTATGGCACATTCTCCACGGAAACGTGTCAAACTGATTCAGGAACCTTGGTATCGCGACTGGGAGTGCATGACACGACCGCGAAAGCCCAGTAGTTCACTACGGCTTAATTGACTTGGGAAACAAGTTGACGAAGGGCGCGTTGCGCGGAGATGAACTTCCGAGATATTGGAACGCTCTTTGTTTGGATATGGAGGCAGCTGGTCTAAAGAATAATTTCCCCTGCTTGCCATTCGTGGCATATGCGAGTACTCGGGCTCGCATAAGAACAACATGTTGCACGGATATGCTGCATTGGCGGCGGCTATTACATGCGAAAGACATTCTCCGCCAAATTTTTCCTGATCGAGTCAAGGCTGAGAGGCCGATCGCCGACACAGTCTCCGCTTAGTCAAACTCCACCTAACATATTGTTGTAAATCTAACATCTTAGAGCCTTGGTGGGCGTTAGAGAAGGTATCGACGAGTGTGTCCGTGGCCAAGAAAGTGAGCGAACTTGTTCTGTCCAGGCATTCCCGGAGCCGGAAATACGATTCTCACCTTGATCATAATATTGATCTTAGCGCTTGGCGTTCAAAATAATGAGCGAAACGATGTTGCACATGTCATGTCTACTTCATGTCTACTGGGACTTCCGGCGGAAGGACGACCAGAAGGCTGACGACCTCCTCGCAAGTCTACTAAAGCTGCGGGCTCAGAAACAATCTTCATTTCCAACGAGCGTGAAAGACCTTTACGATCGGTGAAATGAATCTATCAACTTTCAGTCACAGCCTCGGCGATAAGTCTCCCATACATTTCATTCATACGGACAAGACATTCGGTTTCATAGTGGACATCTTAATGTCCTGATATTGGACTATGATGATCTGGAGGCCATTCATTATGGTCCATTCTCAATACTGATTACAGTATACTTGCCCCATGAATGAAAGGAGGATATTTTGTGGCTGTCCTCAAATATGGCCGACGCTTTGGCTACGCAATCTGACCCCGACCGAAAGTCTGACTCTGCAGCCATCCATGGTCTTCGGCCACAAAATGCCTAACGCAGCCCACCGTTTCCAATCAGGCTCTTTTCAAACTTTAGGTTGCTATATTCCACACAACGACAAACGTTCTCTTCCTGCATCGCGACTTGGAAATTTCGGGCCTATCGCGTCTTAGCTGATAGGCTAGTAGCTGAACAAATGTCAAGCTGAATATTTAGCAAGATAAATGAAAAGGCATTGTACTCAAAAGTGGCTTGCTTTCGGCGGTACCAAGGCTTATTAGCCAGGAAAAACCCACGGCTAGATAAACCTTACTGGGACGCTGTAGATCAGTGTGTTTTTTATCAGATTATTACCTACACACTATTAGTGCGTAATAACTGCGTAATTCGCATACTAGTTCAAATGCGACAACACCCGAACCGGGCCTTGAAAGTCAAGCATGTCTCTCAGAAATTTACTAATTCAACAAGGAAATATAACCACCTTCCTGTATGGGCATGGCCCCCGGAGCATGAAGCAGGTCTAGCATACCCACTACGCACTTCGATAGAGTTTGGGACAAGTAGACTATTTTTCGCGAGCATCACACAACCTTCACTCGTCCTCCGGGCCAGATCGAGACCAAGAATTCATATTTTCCGATACCAACGCCTTTCTCTGGACATCCTGGCAAAAGAATGCGAGAATCTGGAAATGGTGGTATGTCACGTGCCGACTCTTCCACCCCTCCAACGCCACGCCCAAAATTACCAAAAGTCCCGGGATTTGCGAAACCCAATGGTCGCAGCCATTGGGGTCTTTCACTACCCGTCCAAGGTTAGCTCAAGCTTAGACTGGGGCTAAAATTGCTGCGACATCCCATCACACAAACAAATGTTCCATTTCCCGCCCCGCGGGACGATCCGCACGATAACCCGAATCTGCGGTGGGACCGACCCCTCATCCAATAATGCACCCTAAACGCAAATGCCCATGATCATCCCCTACAGTACCATTGGGTCGACCGCTGGGCGATAGTGTGAATCCTTCGAGTATTCCTTCGAGATGCTCGCTCATTCGCCCGTCACTAACGGAGAAGACGATACGGGGACCGCAGCCACCGGTGAAGAGCGGCGACAGCTTGAGTACCCCGACCCTTTCCCCGATCGGATCGCATACTTTTGAGGCCCCCACCGAATAATAAGTGCACGCATCATACGGGCCCATTCCAATGATTCCTCTGCTCTCCATACGCTGGAGCTGCCCCCTCCCATTTCCGGAAACGCTCTTGAAGGCGATCTTCAATTTGGGGGGAAACAAGGCGATTCTTCTGCGGGCAATTTGAAATTGTCAGGAATAGACATCGCGCTAGCTCTCCCACGAAGTGGAGCTTGCTGCCCCGCTGGGACTTCCAGCTCCCTGATTAAAAGACCTCCTCGCTCTCCGAGTCTGCCCTCCTTCCCACAACCCTCCCAGCAGCACCCCTCCCCCTTCGCACGCACGACCGCCCAACAATGTCGGAGACGGATCGCGTTCCCGACAACCGAATCTTGGAGTACATCCAGGATTTGGCCGCGGCGAAGAAAGGTCTTCCTTACGGGCAACCCGTGGGCGTGCTCGTCTCCCAAACCATCACAGACTCCGCAACCCTCTTGAAATTAACGGCAGAGGTTGGCCCTCACATTGCGGTGCTTCAAGTCCAAGCAGATATTATCGACGACTGGTCCGACGATACCATTGATCAATTAACATACTATGCCAAGAAACATGGGTTCATCCTGTGGGAAGGGAGCCGAGTCTTGAATTGTACCGTCAACTTCATGGGCCGAGGGACCGCCAATTTCCAAACTCGACAGGTCCTGGCCGATCTCATCAGGCGGAAATACACACATGGAACTGCAAAAGTGGCGCAATGGTCAAATCTAGCGACCTCGTGGGCACCTGGTGTGCCGTTGCATGAACAGGAGAAAGACCTGTTGATTCCAACGCTTCGCAAGGCCGCCCGTGAGGCCGTTGCAACGACCGTGAAAACCATTGAAACCGAAATCTCTGCTACAAATGGCGAGGAAGATTACGACGAAATAGAAGTGCCAATGTCCCCGCCCAGCACCAACGGTTGGCTTGAATTCAGTTCAGAGAATTTTGGATCTGCCCTACGAAAATCATCAACCATCTCTGTCACAGAATCTACCACCCTCCAGCCCCATGTCGAGCCGGATGAGGGCGTTCCGGCCCCACCACTACTATCGCGAGGCCTGGCTCTGTGCCTGCCAAGCGCCATCGATTCCGCGTTCACACGCGAATTCCGACAGAGCACAATCATGGCGGCATGTGCAAATCATGACTTCGTCGTCGGCCTTCTCACAAGTGAGCCATTCTTCACAAGCTATACTGGAGACTATCTGTTCGATCTGGCCTTCCAAGACAACCATGGAACACCACAACTCGGCCGCGACATACTCGAGGCCATACCGTATCTCGAGAACAAGCATTCATTTGCATTATTCTCTCTCGTTCCGCCAGAGCTCATTCAAAACTATGAATCAGATCCCATTCGCAGCATGAAGGGAGACTCGCCGGAAGAGGACCAGCCTGAAAGTGTTGTTAAATTGTATTACATGGTTGAACAGGCATTGAAATTGCGAGGAGCCAACCGCAAAGAGTCCCTCGGCAGCCATCAAGAGACCTCATCGATACCCGCTGGCCCCAGCATTTTGCATGTCCCCGTTGTCATCCTCCCCTGATTGAGATGTTGTTATTATTCCGAGTTTCTCCACGACCCGCTATGCCCTTCCTCATTATAATCCTTTCATGTTTGTCTCACGTCATGCTAGATTTGCATAGGTCTATGTCATGTGCATTTTAAGATACATTTCTACATCTCCGTCATCCTAGACGTGTTGGAACAAAAGCCCCTGATTTGAGCTAATGTCCTGTCCTTTTAGCATCAGATTCTCTCGAGGCCTTGGAGCCTCAAGTTTCTTACCCTTCCCTTGTCCCGGCCTGTTTAGGTCTTCCCCCCACAAACTCTCTCTGTCTTCTACGAATCTCCCATACCCACAATTCTTCCCCTCCTACGATAGATCGTTCGTAGAAGGCCAGTACATTCTGTATTATAACAACTGCTAACAGCAATCCTTATAATCTACAACCATCATTCTGAGTTGCCTCTTCAATGCACTAGTGAAGGGTCCGGCAAGATGAGTGGGCAGTCCAATGTAGGGGGATTAGTCACGATCTTGGGCAACGTACGCCGCGAGCGGTCAGTTGGATAGTATACCGCTCGCTCTCATTCTCCCCACCATTCTGCCAGCAGTAAGTGTCCGATCCAAACGCCGATGGTAGTGAATGGGAACAGTATTCAGCATCCACACACATTGCCAGCGCCAGAGTGAAGAAATGTTACCTTTTCCGTTCTCACTTAAGCAAAATCTCTTTTTATCTCCTGATGCTCACTCTTCTTAACTTGTTGTACAAAACATACACGCCCACTCCGTAATCTTGGCACAACGCCTCGTCGGCCTCCACGCGATCAAAGATAGCCCGTGCATATCGACATAAGAACCAATTCCAGAGCCAAAACCATACTGGGACGCGTTGCTGCACATCATTACGCGCTTTTCCATTGGGATGTATGTATTCAACCATTGTATCTCATCATCTCAGTGTCAATCAGGAACAACGTTTAAGAATGTCTAACACTGGTTTTAGTAGCGGCAATGGCATCGCAGCCAGTCTTGCCCGGGAAATCCTCAACACCTCCATTGAAATCACTTTCTGAATTTAAGGAAGCCCCTAATCGGATTCTGCCTGAGAAACCAAACACGTCTCTGCTCAGGCCAAGGGAATCTCGCCCCAGTGACAGAAGCAGTCCAAGTTCGCCAATTGTCGCTTCGCCGAGTGGAGATGTGATTCTCAAGTACACTAAGCTATCCTCAGGAGAAAGCTACTACTGGAAAGTGGACAGTCGAATGCTCAGGGAGAATAGTCCCTATTTTCGAGTTCGCCTGGACCCTACCAATAACTTCATCGAGGGCCAACTGCTTGCACAACAGCTAGCAGAATCCTCGGGATCAGGCTCCCTCCCCATCGTGGTTATTCCCGCAACACCTTTGACTGAACTGTACGGTGTTGATGCTATGGAGCTATTCTTGCAGATTCTATGCTTCGAGTCTCTGGCATCCGATGAGAATTTCGACGAGGATGAAGGTCTGGAGAATGTGTTTACTTTCAACCTCAAAGCTCAACCTCTATCTCTGATTGCTAGATTGGTTGAGATTGCCGACTATTACAACTCCCCGCTGCCTGTTCTTGATGCCCTCCGCCGTATGGATTACTCTCTGGGCAAGGGCAGATCACGACTTCACAAGTTCAGCGAGTCAACCTTGAAGATGAGTGAAGATCGGATCCGGCAGGCGATTGTTGTTGCGGACTTCCTAAATCAGGAATCTGTCGCGAAGATTATGACGCACGCGTTGCTGATAGCCGGCTCCAAGCGCTGGGTTCACTCACCAGACGTACCAGAGGGTCCATATTTTCGTTGGCAGTACTTGGCGAATGGATTAGAGGGTATGCAACAATCCCCCTGCTCTTTGGCTTGCCTCTATGATAACAAGGATTATGGCTAACCGCTATCTAAAAAGAGGAGCTCTATTACCGACGACAGTGTGTCTTGAACACGATTACCGACCTCCAAGCATATTTTCTTCGCAAATACGGTGCACTGGAAAGTAACGAGCCCATGCCTGTCCCCTCTGGAGCCGTGCAACATCATACACCCTCACAGCACCGTGTTTACCAGTGCCGAGCTGGACTTGGCAATGCAAGCCAGTGCGATCTATTTCATTTGGGCCAGATGACTCGTTTCTTCGCGCTGCGGGCCAAGTCAATCTTCATAGGATCTACTCTAATTGATCCCGAGTTTAGTCCTCCTGGCGCCGAAGATGAGCATGACGGCAAGGAACAGCCCTCAATAGGCCCCGACCTCGCCTCCCTCATCGTCTCACTGAAAAAATACCCTGATTATCAGATTGATCTCCATCATCAGGCTTGTGGTGTAAAGCGTCGGTTACTTCCGATCCTTGATGGCATTGAGAAGTTTCTGATGGACGGGCGTGGCATGCTAGGCCTTGTGCCGTCGCACTGGGATCAGCTAGAGAATCGCCAACGGCTGCAGTGGCAATCCGAGACCTTGTTTGCTGAGGAAATACATATCGTACTCAACCAGATATCCTACGTGCATATCGGACCCCAAGGCGCCATCGCTGTCAAAAGCGGTTCTCACAGCACCAGATCACTCAGCCAGGAGGACCATGCAAGGGCATTGTTTACTGCCAAGAAGCGGAAGTGGGAGCCAGAAACGTTTTGATTACTTGGCTCTTGTCGGGTGATCACAGAACGCGTCGTTATTACATATTCCCATTCCCTGGCCCATCTTCTCTCGTTGCGATTTCCTTCGGTACTATGACTCGACTATGACGGTTTGTCGGCAGAGACCAATGCTGGAACCGAGAAGACGGGGTCTAGACTTTGGAGTTCCAGATTGCTTGTACATGCAGAATTGGACGTGGGTCTGTCTCCTAGAACAGATGATGCGCTTGGCTAGCAGGTTGAGATACTGGCTGAACGTTTGAATGTACTCGGCATGACTTTTATGATAGACGGAATGTAAAATATTGAGGTCTGTGTACAGATTCGAGTAACAACTTGAGGAAAACAGTACGGCCCTCATCATAGGGACCAGAGAAAACAAAAACTTTTGCCTGTTTGTCCTGAGTCTATGAGAATTTTCATGTATGAGATAAAAGTTAGGAATCAAACAGGAAGAAGCAGCGCAAGTTCAGGTTCAATATGACAATCTGCCATTTCTCATATACCAAAAACGAGACTTTTTCCTCTTGAGTCTGTGACTGGAAAACAGTGTCACTTTTCCCTCGCGTCTATCCAAACAGCACCACTTAACACACCGCATCGCCCCAGAAATACCCCATGTCAAGATCCATGTTCGGCCCTGAAGGGAAGAATGATCCAGTGATTTGACCTGTCGTTGGGTCATAGGGGAATAATTCGTCATAGGGTAGTTGACCTGGTAGAGAATTCTCCGACTTGGCCAATGTCTCTGAAAAATCAAGAGTCTCAATATTATAAGGGACCGAAATACCAAGAGGACTAACAGGCGGCTTTATTGGCGAGCAAACAATGGAGTCCATCTCAGCAGCGATTGAATCTGCCGTAGCCATAGGAGCTGCGGTCAAGGGCGATGGTTGGTCAAAGGCGAGATCGTCGATAAATTGATTATTTGCAGCTTCAGTAGATCCGGTAACGTCTGGAACTTCGAAAAGAGAGTTTTTCGATGACTCCTCATTATCAGAGAGCTCATTGACATCAATTCCGATGTGAGGTGCGAGACGGCGCAAGAATCCGTCGCATAGCTTCCAGGCTCTTTCCGACGCCATATTCGTCTTGGATAGTGCCGCAAGCCAGTCTATAGCCTTTTTGGCCGCTTTCAGTACCATGTTTGCTTTCTCAGGAACGTGCTGAGAATGAAACGCAAGCTCCAATAGAAGGACAGTTGTTGCTTGCATCAGATAATGCAGCGTGCACCACCATGGGGAATTACGGTGCAACATGGCAGCCTCGGGGGTGTCCGGGAATAAAGTCAACATATGACATGCAGACTCGACACACTCGGCAGCAGTCTTGCAGCAGAATTCATGTGTCTTGTCATCCTCGGGAGGAGACGATTCGAGTCGACACAGACACGGACGGGTGATCCCAATTTTGGTACTGTAAAATAGAAAAGCAAGCCCCATTCGCTGCCCCATGAGGCATTGGGAAGTCTGTGTGGAAGTAAAGTCATAGGCTGATGGAAGATTCATGAACCAAGAATCAATGCCGAGCATGAGGCTCTGGATGGTGAATTCGATACTAGCCCATGGAGACTGCAATGCCTCTGGGCTATATAGCTTGGTCGTCATTCGCTTTGCGATGGTAGTCAGGGATGTCATTTGCAAGAAGTACAGCGACATGCATGGTGGAAGACTCTTCAAGCACTCAGACCGACTTCTTTTTGTATCGCTTTCAGCTGGGGTGTCGTTTGTGTCCGAGTCCGCAGTAGAGTCCAAGGTGGCCGCGCTACTGCTGAATGACATGCGATCCAGAGGGCTCGATGTACCTCGCCCAGAAATACTAATGAGCTGCGCGACTTCTTCTTTCTGAAAGTCACTCTCATCGAAGGGAACTGGGAGTGGCGTGGTACAGGAGCTGTCGATGATGCAGGATGGACGCCCGGTCATCACACCAAGAAGGTGTTCAATGTTGTAGAGTGACCACCAGACGCGATACCGGATTTCCTTTGAAATATCAGATGTACACACGCCCACATTTTGGAGATGTAGGCCGAGGCCTAAGGCTCCTCGAATTGCGCTTCCAGACAATTTCCAGGCTCTGCGTTGAGAGAAAGGGGGAAATGTAAGTATTACTCTCGGAGCGTTTAGATCCATGACATACCGATTGATATGGCCAGATGCCATCAAGTAGAAGCAAGCAAGACCTTCGACCTGCAATTGCTGCAAATCAGGATGATGTAGAAGCTGGCCTTCCAGGCACAGACTTCTTGCCCGAGAGAAGTACATTTGATGATCATCGTCACCCTCTTTCCACTCGGCATCGGTCAACTGTCCATACTTCGATGCGATGGCAAATATCAGATTGAGAATAGCCAGCCATTTGCTCCCTGGTTTGAGAGAGGGCTGACTGAAGAAGACTTGAAATTGTGAGATGAATGTAGAAATGCCAATGATTGGGAAGGACGGATGAACTGAGATCAGATAGGCATTAAGTAGTTTAGTTGCGGCATCGCGCGAGGGAACCCCGAATACATTCACCTGGTCTTTCTTTGGGGCCTCCAAGTCGTCAATATAGTAATTGGAGGAAGCCACCAAAGGATCACTTGGCTTCTCGGGCAGGGGCGTCAAAGTTGGAGAGGGCAGACCGTTATCATCGTCGTCATTGGATTTGTTGGAGGACCACTCCTCACACTCGTTGCTGACTTCATTGCTTAGCTTTTGAAGCCAGGCAATTTCCGAGCTTCTACCGATGAACCCAGTTGCTCGTGCGGTCTCATCTCTGTTGAAGTCTTCTTCAGTATGGTCAGCACAATTCAATGCGCTGGGCGATGAGGCTCGATCAGGCGGAGGCTCCGAGTCTGAGCGCCGACTTCTCTCACCTGTACCGATCAGGCTCGCATCGGCGTTTAGCGTCAACTCAGGAGCTGATTCCTATATTATCTCAGACATGGCTTGGATACTGGAGGCAGGTCTCACTCCTTACCGCTACCAAGGCAATGTTAACAAGCTGCTCATCAGAGACTCCAAAGCGGTCGCTCAGTTTTCTGATGACATCTTCATAGGCCTGTACCTTAGCTGACAGACTGGCCAGCTGCCTGTAGGTTGAAAAAGCAATGAGCAAGAATTTTGGCCAAGGTAAGACAAGAAAAAGGCTTACTGACCGTTTTGACTTCTCTCTTTTACCGTCAGTATAGCAGCAGACGATGCCTGCCTCCCGGCAGTTGCGACATCCTGACTTGTCACCCGTGCATTTGGTTTTTCTCTGGCGACAACTTTCGCATGCACGACGCACATGTCGACGGTGAAATCTGCCAGGTGAAGTGAAGGCAGAGTCTGCCCCTTCTGCCAGTCGTGGAATGGCCATCTTCTTGATGCCCGCATCAGGCTCGGGCCGTTGAAGAGCTGGTAATGGGTTGTCCTGTAGGTAATATCAGAAGCCCGCCATGATGTTTGATGCCAATGTTCCAGGTATTCGAGCATACCAAGCTTAGCTGGTTGCACGTTTCGGCATCAACACTTGAAAGCAGGAATAGATTCTGTTGTTCGTTCCATGACGGGAATGGAATGCTCATTATGAAACAATTGGAAACTATAGACTCAAGTGTTCCTAAAGTAGAAGCATCCTGTCAGTAAGCTATTCCCATTCTTTCATGATTCTTCGCCGCATACAGAGATCTGCCTTGGAAGTATGAAGAAGGCTGAGCAAGGTCTGAAGTGTGAACTATCAGATAATGATGAAAGCACAAGATGAGGGGGCATCAATTGAGTTATAAAACCATTGGTAGGCTCAACCTTAAAAGGTAAATGGACCATTGCGTACCAGCTACCAGCAATTCCAGATCTATTTTCTGGGTCAGGGTGCCCGCTGGAGTCTAAAGCTCACCTGTAGATACCCGGTCATGACGATGTTGACAGAGCAGTATAGTATGCTCACAAAGTGGCAACTCAAAAACATGCGACGAAATACCTGCCTGGTGCACATTTGCCTCATCGCATGGAAATGATGGTTGAGGCGATACTGAGGTCTTTCTGGTTGGATTTGCACGATCTGTATGGCTGCTGGACCGTCACATTTGCCATCAACTGGCGGCGACGATCCTGTTGCATCAGATCTGAGCTGATAGCCGTACACATTGGCTAAACCGTTGAACAGGAGCCCCAGAACACCCATAGTTTTATTTTTTGTTTGTCGGTTCCAACAACCGATAGGCTCCGGCTCCGACGCTTCCTGGATTGTTAGAGCCTGTTCTCCCTGTATATTGGATGATCAGTAAATGGGTGGCTTTTACAAAGCCGAGATATAGATCTGATACAGCTTGTCTCGATTAGAAAACAGATCGCTCTCAAAGTTATATGGAGAGCTGGGGGTAAAGAGCAGGGCTCAATACGGGCACCGTGCTGCATTGCTAGCCTAGATGGGCTCAAAAGGTCTAGGCCTTACGAGTAGAGTCAATCTGACGTTTGATAATGTGGCACTGTTTTAGCTGTTGTCCCTGGTTGATGGCAGAATCGGACTGTCCTCATTCGGCCTGGAAGAGGAGCGGACTATAACGGGCCATGGATGGTCCCCGAGGTACCGAAAGCTTGAACGCAGTCTCGAGCTGTGTCGGACAACGCGAAGGGCATCCCTATTCAGCAAGACCCCTCATACTCATGGGTCTCATCCAGATTTTGCTAGCAGCGTGGGTCTATCATCCATAATCCTGACGTCGTATATTACCAAGACATGATCACGCTCATCATCACAACATCGATCAGCCTGCTATCCATCTGAGGCATGGGGACGATCACATTGGTGCAGTCAGTCGTGCTGACATTCTACTTGGTATTAGAGCTGAGTTCCAGGATTTGTTCTAATTCTAGGTAATGTGTCAATTTTTGGTTATCAAGGTTAAGACACGGACCCCAAAGGAGGTACCTTGAAAGTATTGGTAGGAGGGCAATCAAATCAGGGGGGCTGATAACAGGGTTGAGCAAAAAGAAAGCAACAAAATTGCCAAAAAAAGCAGGCCTCAAACAGAGCATCATTAAAAGAAGAAGATAAAAACTCTATACAATTCCAACACCACATCACTCGATCAAGAAGTTCTCCGCAACACTGCGGATATCCTTGGAGTATCCAGCACTCTCGCCTTCCATCTCCAGCAGGGACACGTCGAGAACATCCACGTCGACAAATGGCTGCGTCTTTGTGAATCGCACACTCATAGGGAAGAACTCATTCTCGTCATCGTCACCGGTGGACTCGAATTCGAAACTCCCAGAGGGGTTCGACTCGTCCACCGCACCCAGATTCCAGTCCAGGCTGTCCCCCGAGACTTCATACACAGCATCGAAGCTGGCTACGGCTGGCTCCGATGCACCATAAGGAATGGTAACAACAACATCGCGCAGGCTGTCCGTACCGGTAAGCTCATACTCCACGGTGACGGTTGTTGTGTCAGAGCCCTTGTTCACCCACACAGTGAATGTAATGGGCAGGATCTCGGCATTGTCAGCCGAACTTGCCACACGCCACCGCAGAACACCAATTGCGTTGTTAGCGGGGAAGCGTTTGGTGGTATCCTTGAGCTGGATTGCGGAGGTGCTTGTGAAAAGGGCTTTATCGACATTGGGGTGGGTACGGAATTGGGCACCCTGGGTAGGATTTGCCCTCAGACCAAGTCGGAGTTTGGTGAACGCCGGGTCAGTTATACGAAGCTGAAGGTCACCCTTGACCTCGAACGACTTCAGGGCACCTTCTCGCGTGAGGCTTGCAGAAATGGTCTCGGCGATCGTGACGTGGATGGGCTCGCGGTCCGCCGTAAGGGACGCTCGAGCAGAAGTAGGCTCCAGCACAGGAGTAGATGCTTGAGGAGTTACCAGTGGGCTAGACTCCTCGATCTCGGGACCTAGATCGCCGCGAACCTTCTCATAGATGTCAGTAGCCTTGGACTTCTTGCCAAGTTGCATACCCTTGCCGCGAGTGGGGAGGGGCCTAGATAGAAGTGACGCTGTTAGATACCAGAGCTCCATGTTCAGTTCCAAAATCATAGAAGGGCAAACATACTTGGCAAAGGTCTTTTTCTTCTCTGCCTCATAGGAGTCGTAGGTATCGGGTACGGATGGGCGCGATGGGGGTGTGTAGACTGGGTAGTTTGGTGCCCGGGGGGCGGCACCACGGCCTGTGCGAGCAGCCTCCTTGCGCTGCATCTCCAGTTGCTTGGCCTTGCGCTTGCGCTCCTCGCTGGCCTCCAGTTCTTTGTTCTGTCGATAAATGTAAGCTTTAGCAATAACCCCGCAGCTTGAAAGTCTAAACGTACCCGCTCAATGATCTCTTGAATGCGCTCCTCGTGACTCTCCATTTCCAGGAAGGTCTTGATCTGGGAAATGGAAAGATTCTCTCGGTAACCCAATGTCACCAACTCGTCGTATGCGCTCAACAGCTCGAAGGCATTGCGGACAATCTCTCGTTCGTCCAGGCTCTTGCAGATGCTTGTGGTGACTTGGGCAAATAGATGCAGACTGTCGATGTCTTGGAGAATGTTCGATTGGCGGTTGGTGATCAGGACAATGTACAGCTCATCCAATGGCTGGTAAACGAATCGTACGTTGTCTTGCTCGACAGTGGTGTGTTGAGTCTGCGAATCCGCAAGCTTAGGAAAAGAGGCGAGGAGAGCTTCAATGCGCGATCGGGGAATATCGCGGAATTGGCGCGAGAGGACCGCTTTGCCTCCGCGAGTGCAAATGGATGCCGCGAGGACGACCTGAACGGTGTGGGACAGACGATTAGCTTCAGGTTGTCACAACTGACAACAAACGCATGGAATGGGAACGACTTTACCATGGCGACGAATGAACAAGCAGAGACTTGGGAGAACGAAGGGGAAGAGAAAGTATTGCTCGCTGTATTGCGAGTATTGGGTGTTCTCTGGAAAACGACTGCTAGAGAAAGGCCCCCTGTAGTGTTGATGGACAAGTCAGTCGCCCGCGGGCCGCTACTCTGTTCTCTTCGGTCCTGGCCCGTGCACGCCCACCCCCCTTCGCTTAGTCTTCAACCCAACCCGGCAGCTTTTTTCCTTCCTCACCTCATCTCACTTCGTTCTCGCGTTTCCATCGCGTGAGAGATTTCTTACTTCCTATCAACTTTTTGATTTTTGAGCTGAACCGATCTTTTATTTCCCATGAACCTCCCATAACCTCCCCTTATTATCGATTCTTTTCTCTCGCCTCACCCGCCGACTTGACGCTTCCGAAACGCGCCCTCCACGGCCCTTGCAGCACACGTCCTCGGGGCAGACACTCCTCGACGCGTCTTATGCCATGACCACGGCTTCCTCTTTAACATTTGCTACGATGGAGGTTCCCGCTCTGGAAGACTCGATGGAGATGGCCTCTCCCTATCAGGGACAGGCCGATGATTTTGACATCGACCTCGACCTCATGGAAGACAACGTCTCAAACATGGACAGCGATATGATGGGAGCAGATGACTTCCCCAACACCTCCCAAGTCTCACTTTTCGCCGCCGAGGTGAACGATGATGCCGACATGGCTGATGAGCCTTCCGAAGGATCTATGGTCGACACCGATCTTGTTGACGAAGACCCTGACATCGATGTCCAGTACGAACAATCTACATACGAAGCAGAGATGCTGGAGGGTGACCAAGATGATCAACCTGTTCTTGTACCCAGCATTCATATTGAAGTACAACCACAGACCGTTGAGCATGAAGATAAGCCAAGCGAAATCCCTCAAGAAACCAAGGAGTCGGAATCTCAGTCCATTCACGATGGCCTAGAAACTGCTCTCCCAGAACCTGTTTCCGTGTCGAATGAGCCCCAGGAGCCCCAACCGCAAGAAGAAGTAGTAGTAGTAGAAGAAGAACTTCCTCGGGTCTCTAGCGAAACTCAGGATGGTCAACCCGGATACACTGAAGGCGATGGGACTGCTGAGGCGGAAGTCGACCGTCCAGATATTGAGCCCCATGAAACTAATGAAACTACCGGCAACACTGAAATTACCGAAAACAATGAAACTACCGGCAACACTGAAACCACCGACAACCGATCTTCATCTGTTGAAGGATATCATCAGCACAATGGTGCCTCCGTTGAGAAGGTTGAAAACCTTGAGCCTGAACAAGACACCAAATCAGCTGCGCACGAAAGCGAGTACAGAAATCCTGAGCATCTTGAGGCCACTGACTCTCATGAGTCAGAAGCTCAGCATACTCACGCGGAAGAGGAGTCTCTCCATCCAGTAAAGGTTCTCTACCAGGAAGCCGAGATTTCTCTTTTCCCACCTATGGAAGGTGACTCAGCGGAGACATTCTTCCTCCATGACGAAGATGTCGCCTACGACAACTTTGGTAAATTGTTCAGCGCTCTCCGTGAGGTGCTTTTGGATAATGTTGCCGAGAATGAGGTCCTGGTTATTGATATCGACTCCCTTGGTATTCAGATAACAGAGGTGCGCGCTTACCCCTTTTGTTCTTTCAACATCATTCACTAGACAACATTTGCTAACTTTTGACTGGTAGGACTCCTCGCTCACGTCCAACGTGACCTTGCATCGGATTTTGAACATTTATCTTCGTCTTTGTCAAAATGACAAAAATAATGAGCCAGAGGCTTTGTATTTGACTTTGAGCAGCAGACCGGCTGTTCATTCAGAATTAGCCGATCTTGAAGGTGCCGCCAATGAGGGCAAAGGATTGTCTCAGGTTCATCCTTGGAGCGAATTTGAGGATGGAGAAGAGAATGAGGATCATCGAGCGGACGAACATAGTGTTGAGGGGTCGCCTAGGACTCAGGGTGATCAGGCTCTGTCTTTCCATGAAAATGAAGACCAGGGTATCCCCAGTGGTTCTGCCGAGTCGGAAGTGCACGATGCTACAAACAAGGATGCTCAGAATGGTCCCCTCGAGGTGACTCGAGAGTCTGAGCACGATACTCAGGCAGAGCCAGAAACTGACGCCGCTGAAAAAAAGCAAGTTGATGAGACGGGTGGGGCCGATGCGCCACCCTATGCCGATGACAATGTGCACGATCAGGCTGAGGCGCAGTATGAGGAGCAGTATGATTCTGAACCTCCCAAGACAGAATCCACATCTACCGCCGTGCCTACCTCTGATCAGGTCGAAGGATTGGAGCCCACTGAAGATTTCTCAGGTGATGCCGCTGATGCTGTCTTGGATGAGAATGATTCAAACTATCACAACAGCACGGATCCTGCCGGTCACGGCGAAGGCTTAGATAACCGAGAATTGCCCGAAAACCCTGACGAATACCAAGATGAACTTGCTGGAGAGGAAACCTTTGCCCCTGGGGTCAATGATCACGTTCAGACGGTCGATCTTGCTTCGGTCCATGACGACGGCTCTCTCAGTCAAGTCGATTCCGCATCTGCCGCTGAGGATGGTTCTGGCGATGCTTTGCATGATGACTTCGATGACCAGTCGGAGTCCACTGTGGCCAACGTTCCTACTGGGGAATCTGCAACGCAGGAGCAAACTCTAGCGCTCGAGGATGACTTGCTCGGAATTGCTGAGGACATCTTGGAAGGCCCTCCCGACAACCATGAGCACGATCTCGATCACCTCGAGAGCGCAGATCCGGAGCAAGACCTTGAGGATGGTGATGCCAACGACGTTACCGCCGACGACGATTTGGTCGATGACGACAGGGGCGATTACGATGAGGACTCTTACAACATCCTTGAAATTTCGGAACACGTCGAGCTAGATGAAGCGGATCTGGTGCATACTGACTCCCAAACTCATGAGAATCCATCTAAGCGTGCTCGTGAGGAGGATGATGATGATGAGTGGGACTTTGAGGAGACCTCGACCCCCGAGATCAAACGTCGCCGCCCTTCGTAAAACCAACATCTCCCCCTTTCTTCACCGGCGATGTTCGATTCCCACCTCGCGCCCACCCTTCTTCAGACTGGCCATTCAGTCTTATCACTCATGGAGGCTACTGGCTTAGTGCCTCGACCGCTTCGCTTTCTTTCGCTATGATCATCAACCTGTACTAACCCCGATCATCCACAGCGACTAATCCGGTGAATGGGTGCAAAAATTCCGTCTTACTCAGGTCTAGGTACGTCCCATCTCCCTTCCTCCCCTGGTCATTTGGAAGGCACCATCTCTTTCCGTGATCAAATCACTGTGGAGAGGCCCCTTCGGATCAAGTTCGGTGGCTAGACAAGCTTTTTCTTCCTCCCCTGTTTGTGTACTTTATTGCCTGTTTGCTTTCCTTCTCCTCCGACCACCACCCCCTTTTGCGTGATACCATTTTGCGATCCAAAATCAGTTATTGGCGTTGAAGGCAGTCCCCGCTGGACTTGGACTTTTTGATGTTTTGCCCCAGTTACATCCCAACATAGTTATTGGCGTATCGGTATGATGGCATCGGCTACACTTTTATCAATAGGCTTCCACTATGAATGAGATTGGGTTCCGTTTGAGAAGAAAATTATGTTCAAGATCCAACGTAAACTCCATGATTTTGTAATATGTGTATCTGGGCTCCTGAAATGGGAGTTTGCTCGACTGTTGATTGCTGCCTAACAGCTTAGGGTGGGCCACGAACTCAAACGATTAAGCTTCCGGTAAACGCTGCTCCCAGTGCTTAGCACAAAGTCGTTGGGGTCGGCAAGAGGAAATAGACTACTGTAATGGAGAAAATCACGAGAAGGTCAGATTTTATGTGAATATATTGACCCCCTTTGCTTGCCATTTTGTTTCTCATGCCGACGGGAAATAATATACGCAGTCATTAGACCTTACGTAATATTGAACCTTTTTAAGGAACCGTCCTCCGTAATGGGTGATTGAACTGTACACATATAGTGTACATCCTTACGGGATAGGTAGAGATTGTTATACTTCCTCGCAAAGCCGGACTTCCCCCAAGCCGGTTCTATGAGGTAGGAATGTAGCTATCTCGACTTCATTTCTTGCATGTGGACTCTCAAATTAACGGCGCCCTGGTACCGCCCTGGTATGGGCGGGGTGGACCCCATTCGCTATGTATAGCCATTAGACATGCCCGAATGCGGTTGGATGGCCAGATCGATATGAAACGACGATCGCCGCCACTGGGAACACTCAGGGTCCAAGCATTAAAATTTGTGTTGCTGAAACTTGTGCATGGCCCCTGCCTTTTCGCCCATTGGCATGACTGGTCTGTCCACTTCCGGGCGGGCGGATTATACATATGAGTATAGTGTATACATACTAGTCAATGTACGGAGAAGAGACATAGTAGGTTGGCTCTCGATATCTCCGATACCAGCAACGGAGTTCAAAGAATTAGATCACCAAAAATTCCCTGAAAAGGCCATCACACGGTGATTGTAGCCAGCCTGGCGAACGAGTGTTGGTATTTTCCTTGGTTTTGCTCAGCCCGTTCACTCTTACGCGTCCCGATCGGCCCAGTCTCGAAACGGAACCCCACCGCACGCAGGCACCAAACACCTCGCCTGGCCCTCCAACCACACTACTACTATCGACTCCATCCTCTCTGTACTCCGTAGTACGACTCCTCGGCTGCGACTTCATCCTCTTACTCATCATTACTGTCCTCCTCCTCCTCTCCACCTGCCTCCTCTTCTTCATCCTCTAGGAAACAGAAAACTTCGGGCTGGCTCGTTTTTCTGGCGCGCTCGTTTCCTCTCCTCGTCGCCCTCCTCCTCCCTTCGCTCCTTGTGGAGTTGACCCCAATCCCGTGCCGCCCGACCGCTCAGCTCACCACTCTCCCTTCAATTATCGAGTCACTCGTTTCCATTCTCTCTCCTGGCCCCCTCAATATCCATTGCTGGCAGTGGAGGTCTGTCGATAGTAGGGGCTCTCCGCTCCTGAACAGAATTGCAAGATGCTTCCGGACAAGTACGTCCTCCCCGGATTCTCCGCGCATGAAAGCGCGGGTTCTTTGTGGACAAAGTGGCAAACGGTGCTAACTTGCGCAACCGCCAATAGATATGTCGGGCTCATATTAGCCATCCTATCAACAATGGCCATTGGTACGACTCCAGATCAATTCTACTGCGATCTCGCCCGGACGTCCAACTAACTCGGTTCCATAGGCACAAGTTTCGTGATCACGAAGAAGGTTCGTCTTGACGCAAACACAGATCGAAGCGGACGAGAAATACCCGTCCGATGCGATGATCGCATCCCATTTGATGGCATTCGGTGGACCGGGAACTGGAACTAGAGCGCTGATAGAAGTGATCACAGGGTTTACAACATGCCAACAGGCAGCATGGCTTTGAAGGAGAAGGCTTCTCATACTTAAAGAGCCCGATCTGGTGGGGAGGTGTTATAACATGTATGGATCTTGGATTGAGTTGAAAATTGCCTGGGCGATGGAAGCTAATGCACAACAACAGTGGCCATTGGAGAAGTTGCCAACTTCGCCGCATATGCATTTGCGCCCGCAATTCTCGTTACGCCCCTCGGCGCACTCAGTGTGTTGATCGGGTAAGTCAAGGCCATCAATTCACTTGATTCTAATTGGCAGCAATGTCTGACAACTCGCAGAGCGGTTCTAGGTTCCTATTTCCTGAACGAGCGATTGGGAACATTGGGTAAACTGGGTTGTGCTATGTGTCTACTCGGCTCGGTCGTCATTGTCCTTCATGCGCCCCCTGACAAGCCTGTGGAACGGATCGATGAAATTCTGGCCTATGCCGTGAAGCCAGGTGAGTCCGCGGCAGACTTGCTACTACTGCGTACTACCTCGGATCACTAACCATCTTCAGGGTTCCTCCTCTACTGCCTAGCAGTTGCAATCTTCTCCACGGTGATGATCTACCGGGTTGCCCCTGTTTACGGAAAAAAGAACCCTTTGATCTTCATCTCGATTTGCTCGACTGTCGGCTCGATCTCTGTGATGTCTGTCAAGGCGTTTGGTATCGCGGTGAAACTGACTCTTGGAGGCAACAATCAATTCGTCCACGCATCTACCTACGTTTTCGCCATCGTTACCGCCTTCTGCATTCTCACTCAGATGAATTATATCAACAAGGCATTGAACGCCTTCTCGACCTCGATGTGAGTGGAAAGTCCCAAGAATTCCGATACGACAAAGGCCAGGACTGGAGTACTAATGAGGAGCTCTTCCATAGTGTCAACCCCCTCTACTATGTGACGTTCACGACAGCTACGCTCTGCGCTTCTTTCATTCTCTTCCAAGGTTTCAATACCACCGATGCAGTCAACACAATCTCCTTGCTGTGTGGTTTCCTCATCATCTTCACGGGAGTGTACCTTCTCAACCTTTCGCGACATGACCCAGACGGTCGGCATTTGGTCAATTCCAAATTTGACGATGAAGGCATACCCACCGACGGGATCTCCAGCTTCCAGACCCGGCGATCGATGCAATCTCACCGAAGCTCATCGAGCATTGCCTTTATGAACGGCCACGGCGATCGGGAGGGTCTCATCCACTCCTATGACGTCGAGAACAACCATGCGATTGGCATGGACGACCTAGCAGAAAGCGACGGGGAGCCTGGGCCAACCTACGCTCGCAATGAGGAGCGCGAACGGACTGTCATGCATACGAAGCAAAACAGCCAGGTCTAGTTCGTTTGAAAATTCCCTCGAGTGTCTTGAATCGAACATCAAGCGCTCTCAGCACTTTCACGAGGTCAACTGTCGCCATGCTTTCAACCCCATTTCCTTTTATTCGTTCCTCACCTTCCCACCTTATCCCGATCTACTAGCCCATCTGGGTTCTCCTCTACGTCTCTCTCCCGAGCTCCTTGTACTTTTATTGTTGCCACCAAAATGCCCAAGATGGGTTTGATGGGCAATCTCATACCCAGGCACTGGACATGCCCGTACGACACGATTGGATATGACTTCTGGGTTCTCTAAATGGTTGGATTTTCTCTATTTGTGATTTTTTTTTTTAGTACCAAGGGCGAGAGAGCCATCATTGTATATACCGTGTGATCATTGGATTTTCTTCTTTTTTTTCCCTTGATGATTGTTCTGCCATAGTTGCATGTAGGCCTCCCACGTTTCTCTATTTGCTGTAGTCATAGCATACACTCTGTACAGTGAGTGCAGCAGGTCGCGGGCTGGCGGGGAGGAAGGAGCCTTGGAGTGGGGCCTCTTCAGATCCGATGATGTATTTCGCAGGTCAGCTGCTGTGCAAGTTCTTGTTTCCCAAGAGCATTCCTGCTCTGCCGGTTGATGGAGTCGGTGCTGTGAATTTGATCTTCTCTTCTCGGCGCAGACACGAACCAGGCGTCGAACTATTTGCCTTCTGCACATTCCCATTTCTCGGGGCGCACTGAAGCAAAATGCCGGACCTCTTGCGGAAGCTGGTTATCGTCGCCGCGGTCGATGGGCTGATCCTGCACGGGAATGGCGCCAACGGACTGCGGCCTAAACATACTGGGAGCAACAATGAGGCGTCTTCGATCCGAATCGATTATAAGACGAACAAGATTACCGCGTTGCCGGCCTCGTTGGAGTCACTGGAGGGGCAGGACGTGCTAGACGCATATGGACTTGTTGGTAAGGTCGCAAACACTGCGGGGCCAAGGCGGCGCACGATACCTTAACAGCCCTAACAAAACTACAATTTATAGGAATATTATATGTCGCGTCCTATTCATTCCTTATCTCCATCACTCAGCGCCAGCAGGTTGCACAAATCCGAGGCCGCCCTGTTTACGCCGTGACCAACGTCGCGATTATCCCCCTCTCCTCCAAAGCAGACGCCACACGTGCGATTGCCCAGGCTCGGAAGGAGGTTTCACAAGGTGATCCAGATCTCGACTCTTCTTCCGAGGAAGAGGTGTCAGATAATGTGAACGAAGGGGCGGGGCCTGAAATCGGCAGCGCACCATCCTCGCCTGTTCGTGAGACGTCCCATGCACGCGGACCGAGTGTCGGTAGTATCGCCGAGGATGTCATTGGGAAGCGCCTGAGGTTTGGTCGATTCGCGGCCAATTGGCTGTCGCGCAAGAACCTGGGCCTGCCCCGTCCCGGTGTGCTAGAGCAGGAAGCTCCAGAGTCGCCAGTTGACGATTTACCGCGGATGTCGGCCGATATACCTGAGGGTGAAGACGAGGCCGCTGAGGCTGCCGAGGCTGCGGTCCCTCGAGAGGCTAAGCTTGAGGCTGAGGCACCTACACAGGGCGATTTTAGCCGTTCGGGCTCTGATCAGGCGGCGGAGCTACTGCCGAAGCTCATTCGATATACCAAGCTTCTTTTTGCGTCGCATAATTTCTTCTTTGCATATGATTATGACTTGACGAGGTCATTCGAGGCGCAGGAGGTGCGGAATGGTCATCAGCCTCTTCACAAGGCAGTAGATCCATTGGTATGCTTTACTTCGAGGTCCTTGTGCTAGGACTCAAAGTGTCATTTAGGTGATGATTGCTAACCAATTAACAGTATTTCTGGAATAAATATCTCATGAATACATTCATAGATAGCGGTGCGCATGGATTTGTCCTGCCCCTGTTACAGGGCTTCGTTGGACAGCGCGAGTTTACAGTGGCAGTTCCGGAGCAAAAGCCGTCGTCGACCGAGCCTGCGGCAGAGCAACATGTTGAAGGTCGTGTTCTTGGTGACAGCCAAGAAACTCAGGCTCAGGAAACCAAGGTGCCCAAGCGTAATTTCCTTCTGACTGTGATCTCGCGGCGGTCTGTGAATCGACCTGGTGTTCGATACCTCCGTCGTGGTGTGGATGATGAAGGCAATACGGCAAATACTGTCGAGACAGAGCAGATTCTCTCAGTACCGAGCTGGGACCCATCTCATACTGTCTACTCCTACTTGCAAGTTCGAGGGTCAATCCCCCTGTACTTCTCACAGTCGCCGTACTCCTTCAAGCCCATGCCGATATTGCATCACTCTGCTGAGACCAATCAACTTGCCTTTGGTAGACACTTCAGAGAGTTAAGCCGCCGATATGGCAAGATTCAGGCCGTGTCTCTAATTGACAAGCATGCTGGAGAGTTGAAGCTAGGAGAGCAATACGACAGATATACTAATGTGTTCAATGAGGCGGGTGGCATCGATGGGGCGCCACTGAAGTTGGAGTGGTTTGATTTCCATGACGAATGTCGCGGAATGAAGTTTGAAAATGTCTCGCGCTTGGTTGATCGTGTCAAGGATACATTGGAAGACTTTGGATATATAGCCGTCAAGGACGGTTCTACTTCACGTAAGCAGACTGGCATTTTACGAACCAACTGCATGGACTGTCTTGACCGGACGGGCGTTGCACAGTGCGCTTTTGCCCAGTGGGCACTCGAGCAGCAGCTTCATAATGAGGGCATCGACATCGACTTAGGCGGAAACTCATCCACCCAGTGGTTCAATACTCTTTGGGCCGATAACGGCGATGCCATCTCCAAGCAATACTCGTCTACCGCAGCTTTGAAGGGTGACTACACTCGCACGAGGAAACGTGACTATCGCGGTGCTCTGAACGACTTTGGCCTCACACTTTCGCGCTACTATAACAATATTGTCAATGATTATTTCTCACAAGCCTGTATTGACTACCTGCTCGGCAATGTGTCGACCCGAGTCTTCGACGAGTTTGCCATGGAGCTTCAAACCACAGACCCAGGCATCTCCGTCGAGAAGATCCGACAGAATGCCATCGACACCAGCTGCAAGATCGTCATCAGTAGCCCCTCCGAAGAATTCCTCGGTGGTTGGACGATGCTCACTCCCCGCCAACCGAATACACTGCGCACGCTGCCCTTCGAAGAGTCAGTCATCTTACTCACGGACGCTGCAGTATACAGCTGCCGCTTCGACTGGGAGACCGACAAGGTCCTGTCCTTCGAGCGGATCGACCTCCGCTCCGTCTCTCGCATCTACTACGGTACATACATCACCTCCATCCTGACGGACAGCCAGTCAGATGAGAGCAGCAACGTTGGTCTAGTCATCGTCTACCGCGACGGCGACGCGAACGCTTTACGAGTCAACACTCGCTCGTTGCAATCCAATGTCCGCCCTGCCACTCTCGAAGCTACATCTAGCTCCAATGGTGAATGGGATCTCGTCTCCTGGCTACGCGGCAGCAAGCGCGCCACCACCCGCTTCCTCGCTTTCAAGTCCTTGCCTGTAAAGAACGCACTGGCTAGCCCGCGCCTGGGGCCCATGACTGGTGCCATCAACGTGCGGGAGCTGGACCGGGTACGGTCTATTTGTCTGGACATTGAACGCGCCTTGTTGGCGGGTGAAGGGCAGAACGTAGAGGCTGCGTCGGTCGTGGAGCAATCGGATATCATTTCGTTGGCGGAGGCGAGGAAGAGGACCGGGATCTTGGAATATTTGGTTTATGATATCAAGAAGATGGTTTGGGCTTAAGGGGTGAATGGGTTCGGCTTGTTAGACACGCATATAATGTTGCAAATACGCATGGGTTATGTACTGGGAACTGATATACATGTATGTCCTTGATTGCGCATAACTGGTAACTTCGGGCCTTCGTATGCATGGGCAATGATGATCTTTCACGGTGTCTTCCTATCAATTCTCTGCTGCTTGCGGCTGGCTCACTCTCTACAGAGGTCTAGAGAGGGTTTATCTGCCAGTGCAGCGTCGGGCTTTGCCATTTGTGTACGTGTTCAGCTCGTTTTTGTTGATTTCCTTCGTTTCCTTTCAGCCATCCTCTGCCGGACCTTTGGACCCCAGCCTTTAGTCAATTCATCTGATTAGACTTCACATCCGCTGCTAAAATATGCTTTTTGAGAGTCTTCAGGTCACTTTTCACGCCATAAGAACTTCTCGGATGGGTGGATTTACCGTAAATTTACAAATTCATATCACTACGATTTCAGCTGTATCAATCGCTTCAGGTACATATCAGATCGTTCCCCACGCACCCAAGCTTTGACAATTTATGTCAATTCATCATATGCGTGTTGCGCGCCGTTGTCGCGAGCTCAGCTTGCTCCACGATTTTATCTACCTCTATATGCCTGTACCACTTTATAAAAAAAAAAAAAAAAAAAAAAAAAAGGAAGGTACGTCTGGTGGTGCCGCTGTCAGAATATTCCGCGTCCCGGCTCTTGCCTCATATTTCTTCCTCGTCAACCTTCCCACCCCAGCCATCCTCCAAAATTCCTCTAAATCCTACTCAAACTCTTCCTATCCCAGACTCCCTGATCCTGGTCCCTATATCGCCCAGTATACCTTTCAACTCACAAGGTTCGTGCATGAACCAGTTCAAGATCAATTTTATAGATCTCTTGCATTGCAGCAACTTTCACCGCATTGGACACCGCCTTGGCCACCACCCATTTTTTTGCCCCGGCCACCTCCCGACCTCCTCGAATTTCGATAGGGCAGACCAACCGGTCCTAAAATTTTTTATTTCCACCGTGCTACATTGTCCCCCGCATTCTAGATCCAAGTCCCTGAAAATTGATCTTGTCTTCGGATCAAGGTTCTTTGTTGCAGGTCTGTGCCTCGATCCGGGGCATCAGCAAAGGGGGGCCCGTTCCCACATTCTTGGCGGGGCTCCTTGTGCCACAATCACTTTTGCTCTCACGGTCGCTGCGACCAGTCGACTTTGCACGTCTCCAACATGGATTGGCAACCACAAGATGAGCCATTGAGGCAGCTGGCCTGCTGTCTCAGGGACTCGCTGAACAGCGTGGACCCTCAGCTCCGAAAACAAGCCGAAAATGTACTTGAATCCCCATCTTTTCCCCTTGGTGTCCTCTGCACTTTTCCCCTCCCCGCTCTTTACCCTCGAGTATCAACGAATCAACCACACCCCCAAGTATGATGAGGGTCGCAATTACTGACTGGAAATTTTCGCTGGTACTAGATGCTGTCACAAGCAACTGGGTCCCCGGACTATGTCAACTACATCACCTACATGTTCTCCACGTCGCAGGTGCCTCCAGCCGTCGCCTCGGCGGGCATTGACCCCAGTACTTATAGTGTTGTCCGATTCGCCGCTACTATGAATATGAAGACGAAACTCTCGCTGGCCTACAACACAATCCCTCAGGAGAGTCTCAATTTCATCCGTTCCGCTGCCTTGGTCGCCCTACGAGACAATGACCGCCAAGTCCAACGCGGCGTTGGCAGTATCATCACGGAGCTGGTGCAAAAGGGTGGACTGCTCGCCTGGCCCGAGGTCTTGCAGGAGCTGCTGTCTCTCGTTGGCAATGATCAGGGCAACGTTTCCGTCGCTACTCAAGAGGCTGCTATGGCGGCTCTGTTCAAGGTGTGCGAGGATAATCGCAAAATTTTGGATCGGGACTACGCCGGGCAACGCCCGCTTGACGTGATCATTCCGAAGCTGCTCGAGTTCACTACCCGCGACAGCGCTCGCGTTCGTTCCCTCGCCTTGAACAGCATTCACGTCTTCCTTCCGCACCAGCCGCCTGCTCTGGTGGCCTCATTGGATGTCTTCCTGTCGCAACTCTTCAACCTTTCTGGAGATCAAGACACCGAGGTGCGCAAGATGGTGTGCCAGTCATTCTCGCAGTTGGTGGAGTTCTCGCCAGAGAAACTCATCCCGCACATGGAGGGCCTGGTCAGCTACATTCTCATGCAGCAGCAAAACCAGGAGGACCCAGAGCTTGCTCTTGATGCGGCTGAGTTCTGGATTGTTGCTGGTGAGCAGCAGAGCCTTCTTCAGCCCTTGGCTCCGTACATGCACAAGGTGATTCCAGTTCTGCTTCAGAACATGGTCTACGAAGAGGACGATGTTATCCGTCTCATGGGCGACGAGGACGATGCCGACGTTGAAGATCGTGCCGAAGATATGAAGCCTAAGTTTGCCAAGTCAAAGGGTGCTCGCCTCGATACGTCCAAATCCGGTGAACAGGCGGCCAATGGCCAGCAGCAGCAGCAGCAGCAACCCGAGGATGACGAAGATGACCTGAGCGAAGGTGAGATCGAGGACTCTGAGTTTGGAGATGACCCAGAGGGCGAATGGACACTTCGCAAGTGCTCAGCCGCTGCATTGGACGTCTTTTCAAATGTGTACCACGACCAGATCTTTACCATTATCCTGCCCTACCTGAAGGAGACCCTTCGCCACGAGCAGTGGCCCAACCGTGAGGCGGCCGTCCTCACCCTGGGTGCCGTTGCTGATGGCTGCATGGATGCAGTCACTCCTCACCTCCCCGAGCTTGTGCCGTACTTGATCTCCCTGCTGAACGATGCCCAGCCTGTCGTCCGGCAGATCACCTGTTGGTGCTTGGGACGCTACTCAGAATGGGCCTCTCATCTCCACGACCCGGCTCAGAAGCAACAGTACTTCGAGCCGATGATGGAGGGCATTTTGACCCGTATGCTAGACAACAACAAGAAGGTGCAGGAAGCCGCTGCCTCTGCCTTTGCCAGTCTGGAAGAGAAATCTGACGACAACTTGATCCCTTACTGCGAGCCCATCCTTCGCCAATTCGTCCAGTGTTTCGGCAAGTACAAGGACCGCAACATGTACATCCTTTACGACTGCATCCAGACTCTGGCTGAGTGTGTGATGACTGAGCTGGCCAAGCCTCAGCTTGTCAATATCCTCATGCCTGCTATGATCGAGCGGTACAACCACGTCAGTGATCAGTCACAGGAGCTGTTCCCCTTGCTGGAATGTATGGGCTACATTGCTGCTGCATACGGCGAAGCCTTTGCTCCATTCGCCCCCCACCTATTCCAGCGATGCACCAAGATAATCTATCAGAACCTCACGGAGTCTGCCGCCTCTCAAAGCAACGAGGCCATTGACGAGCCTGACAAGGACTTTTTGGTTACTAGCCTGGATTTGCTGAGTGCGATCATCCAGGCGATTGATCCACGACAGAGCGGCGAGCTGGTCTCAAATTCTAGCTTCTTCGACCTGCTTGGCCTCTGTTTGCAGGACCCCAACAATGAGGTCCGCCAGTCATCTTACGCTTTGTTGGGTGATTGTGCCATCAGCATCTTCCCGCACCTGGAGCCTTACATCCCCACCATCATGCCGGTCCTTATCAAGCAGCTTGACCTGGATCTCATTCGGGATGACGATCGGCAAACGGGTTTCAGCGTGCTGAACAACGCCTGCTGGTCCTGTGGTGAGATCGCAGTCCAAGAGAAGGCCGTGCTTGCTCCCTATGTTGACAAGCTGTACCATGGCCTCCTGACCATTATGGAGAACGAAGAGATCATTGACTCTGTCAATGAGAATGCGGCGATGGCATTGGGCCGACTTGGTCTCTTTTGCCCAGATTCTCTGGCGGCGGAACTCCAGAACTTTGCCACCTCGTTCCTGAAGTCGATGAGCAAGATTGATTTCACTCGTGAGAAGGCGTCTGCTTTCCTGGGCTTCAATAACATGGTCATGAAAAATCCCCAGGCCATGGAGGGCTGTTTGGGAGAATATTTCCAGTCAATTGCGTCGTTCCCAGTCAAGACGCTATCACAGGAGGAGTATCGGGATATCCAAGGCTCATTTCAACAGGTAGGTCTACCCCGTTTTGATTCCCCCATTTTCTGCTTCCCTTCTAACAAGCTCCCTCCCCCCCCAACAATAGGTCCTCCAAGGCTACAAAAACATGATACCCGACTTTGATGCGTTCCTCTCGCAGCTTCCTGGCCCCGTAGCCCAGAAGCTGCGTTCAGCCTACCAGGTCTAAACTTTTCTGGCCTTTCACCCATCCTGATTCTCCGTCACTTCGATTCGGCGACCCAACAGACTTTATGAGAAGTGCGTACAACGGTGCAATGACTGACATTGTTATGAATGACGGCCTTAAAAAATCTATTTTTCCCTCCTCTATCTCCTTGTTCCCCCTCGAACATTTGCACCTTTCCTCTTTCAAGGCTTGTGGCAGAAGTCATGCAGTTGCCGTCTCTCTTAAATCCAGCGTTTTCAATCTTGCTCAATGCTCAATCTTCGTTTCCCTTTCAAGTCGCTCTCTATCTCTTCCATCCGTGGTGTTGCTTGGCATTTCTCATTTGACCTAGAAAAAGAAGGAAGTTCTACGAACTGGGTAGGTACATAGGCATTAGGTCATTCTTATTGCGAGCGTCATATTTGGGCGTTTTCCCCTTTCCTGTCTTTGTTTCCTCGCCTTCATATCGAAGTGGTGCATATCTTATCCATCTCTACCCGGACAGGGGCGAGAAGAGGAGAACATGTCGGAGGAGACTGGGGACATTTGATCTGGCCATTCATCTACATGGCATCTGATGACTGCAAATGGTACTGATATCATCCACTTTCATCTATGATCTTCGGCCTCCCCGCTGTTCCCCTGCATATCGAAGTTATCGAGGCCAGGTCCTTCATGTTAGTGTTTTCTTCTTCTCTTTTTTTGCTCAGCGATGTGTCCCTCTTCATATCTTTACCCCCATTCCCTTTCTTAGATAGATAGATTAGATACCTAGGTAGATGCCTCCATGGAACTTCATTCACACCTACTGGCGGGGAGATTGAACGGTCTTCACCAATCTCCTGCCCTTTCCAGGATAGCACTTTTGTGCCTCTCTGGGGTCCGCGCCCTGTCATTGCGACGTCGGCACTATCCGCAGCATTATTTTTGGATACAGCAACTTCCTTAGTGGATCTAAGGCACCGACAAGGAGTCTGATCACCTTGGCTTGGTTTCCACGACTCACGATCAACACTGGGATATCTGCTTTACCCAATGCAGGTACTAGACGCTCTGACTTCCCGATAATAGTAGTGGAGTCCGTCACGTCTCTGCCGTTTCAGACGAGATCTTCACCAGCCCTCGCTTATTTGACGCTTCGGAAGTCAAGAGCTTAACTCGATCGGGACAGTGATTGGTCGGTCATCTGGTGCTGGGTATACCAAGACGCGAGCCTTTCCTTTTACCGCTGCTTTTCACGAAAAAGAGGGTCCCCCACCTACAGGTTTGCCGTTGGCACCACTCATCGTCATTTCCGTCAAGGTACAGGTTCTCCTCCGCTCCTCCCCTTTCCCCTTCCCGTCGCGATTCCTTCCGCAGTCCGTTCGGAGCACGGAGTATAAAGTACATCCATCTTATCTACGGACTAGTCTTCAGACCCTTGAACTACAACAAGGATCAATCTCGGCAGCCGAGGTTAGCGTTATGTCACTGGAAGGCGCAATGCGATCGGGTATTCAGTGACTCGACAGGTTCTTGGCAACTCGATCCTGCTTGCCGTAATTACAATCTCCCTTTGCTCCGCGGACCCTGCCCCTCACCCTGTGACGTGCAGATTGAGGCTACTCGGGGCAACCCCGGCTACACTAGTGCTTTAATTTACAGAGACAAGCGGGCGGGTCGCCACTATACCTTAAAAGGCGGCAATCCACGAGCTGGGCCGATTTATCATCCCCCCTTCACCGGGCACTCCTGGGCACTGGGGAAGAATGTACGCTGTATTATCTCAGGGGGTGTCAGTAGGGGGATATGTGAAGTTTCATTTTCAGCCTCAGCTGTATTTAGCGAAACTGGATTGTCTTCATTGGATGGTACTGTTCTCCCTTCTTGGCTAGGTCATTTGGGACATGATTATCTATCACTCCGCCGTTGATTCACCCTTCTACGCATGTGGATGCTGCGTACTTTGATAATCTCGCGTCGGCAAACCAAGCGGTGATGCGTGAATTTCCTTTTACTCATTTGGGTTATCGCAGGCCCTGGTCGATAGATGATGATGAGAGGAATTCTATGTATAGCAGACATACTTCTCTTCACTCGGCAAGAACAAAATACACTATCACAATAATAGTAATATGATACATGTGGGACGACTTCCATGGGCGCACGAATGGCCTTCTTCTCGATTCCTATTATCAACTCGAACAACAATGTTCCCCTTCTGGCTCCTTGACCGCACGGGACAAAGGGTGTAGATCTCCATCACCTCGCACGCCAGTACCCAAATTTAGAAACACTCCATGAACCACAGGTGTCCATCCTCGTTCTTGATGCACTCTGCCAAGTTGACGCAGGATTCGTGGTCCTCGTCGCCGTCCATCACCTTTGCATGGAGAATCGGGTTCTTGGGCTTGCTATCCCCCTCCCACTCGAGGTGGATATCATTCGCTGATTGCGAGAAGTCCTTGGCACCCCACGTAAGTTTACCTGTACCATTTGTGCGGTGGAGCCTCGCGTTAGCTTCTGCCCGTTATCGTGGTACCTTGAATACTCCCCGGGTGAGGTGGCTTGTCGACAGCATCAATGTCCCGCTGTCGTGCGTTGCAGGTACTCCTCCGGTCAGCCACCACGAGGCAGACTACAAACGCGCCAGGGAATGAAATGACCAAGTGGACGAGCCAGGTGTGGGACTTGATTGATGACTGCTTACCTTTCCTGACTCCGAGGAAATCGTTCAAATCCAGTTCCGAGTAGCGTGCCTCTCCAGACGGGCGGGCACAGTATGCAGTGAGTACATGACCTTTCTTGAGCTCGATGTTCATAGACGACTTGTGAAACCCCATCGTGGCTGGTTGTGTTTTAAGCCTGGGCGCGGCTAAGGGGTCAATCAAGTATGAATCGGCCACACTGTGAGGATAATGAAAGGGTCTCGGTAAGAGAGACAAACAAATATCACACCGAGACTGAGGTTCGGTCTTGGTGTATAGTTTTTGTTATTCGGAAGAGCGAAGGAAGATCACAGGAAAAGAACCCATGAAAACGGCTGAGATGCAGATATACAACGTGCAGTAGCAAGACTAGATCGGGCGAACAGTTCCACTAATGACATCGCTATGCTGTTATGCTGTCGAGGGGCACACCGTGAGGGGCGTTAAGTAGTGTCAGTGTGGTGGTGGTGGCTCGTCATCATCTTGGCCTCATGATGATGATGATGATGATGATGATGACAATCGGGCAAATTCACTCAAGTGCGCCTCGTCGATAGAGCGAGCCAGGAGTGTTAGAAAAGGATTTGAGAGGAGAGCTGTGCTGTAGTCTAGTAAAATCTACTTCTCCCCACTAGTATTTTACAATTGTCGCGGCGCAGTCGCTGCGACGTGTGCCCTAGTCATCATGACTTCATGCAAGGGTGAGATGGCACCGTTCCGTTATTAGATAGGGCATCGCCCAACGTGTGGTTTTCAGCCTCACACCTAGCGTTGCTGCCTTCGAACCCAGGCTTTGCAGACGACCATCGAGGACAAGCGGATGAGTTTTGCAGAGGTGGCTTAGGGGAGGGGGGGGGGGGGCAAAGAAGGTTGACGCTAACGACTTTATTTATTTAACTCGGGGCGAAGGCCCTTAGGGTAGAAGCTTGCAGGCTAGCGAAGGGAGACTATACTTTTAATTGGATCTATTTCAAGCGTGCGTTTCGCTGCTTGAAACGGTGGCGGGACAACAGGGTCTCCGGCTTATGTTCATCTCGCTTGGTTGAAATAGGTCTAGAGTGTGAGGTTCCATTTTCATGTTTTGGGTTCCCCTTTGCTTGGCTGCTTGGTTGAACGACGGAGAACTTCGGTCAGAATGGGCACTAGTGTAGTAATCTTAACAAAATTGGAGTCGCCGTACGTCTATTAATTGACTGATCGACGATATAACCCGAAACCTCCAGTGAGAAGGTAGTAATGCAAAAGCCAAAATATCACCCTTCTGTCCACGTTACTAATCGCCTGGACCCGATAGACCGGACCGACTAACTAATAGCCAGTGTGGTGATCGCAGGGCGCAGATCGACGGACAAAAGAAGCGTGGGCTAATTAACCTCGTCCCAGTCCCACGCGTCTACAATGGCACACTCTTGGCGGATTAAAGTTGTCTAGCGTGGTCTGCCTTCCATGGGCCGCGCTTTTTCTTTTTCTTGTTTTTCTTTTTCTTCCCTTCTCTATGGACAAAAAGACCTTTTGCCTGCGGTGATCGATGCCATCTGAAGGACAGGCTGGGATATCCGGGGGAACATCAGACCTCGAACTATGGTTCATCTGCCTCACTTTGTTCATTGCTGAAGACCCTGGATCCAGTGTTTGTATGGAATTTGCAATCCGGGGTATCGCGTACGCGGGGCTAGTCGTCTTAAGGCTGTGAACACTACAAAAGAGTTTTTGAGATACTACATTTATCTTTGCTGTAGTGCCGGAGCATGCCAAAAGAGTGTAATCAATCGCCAATCTGCCTTGTAAAGAGGCGAGAGAATAGGGCTAGAGCCGATAGGTGCGCGAGATAGGAGGTGACCTGGTGGATACCTCGAAGTTCCAACGGCGCCAGATATTCTTCCGGATGAGTAGACAGATCGTTGACTCAAGGATGACTCCACGACAATCAGGCCAAATTTAGTTAGTACTCTGAGAGTTGATAGATTCGGCAGGTGGATAGGAGGGCCTTGGACTAGAAAATAAGGGTGGAGGGAAGAGTGGAGGACCAGAGTTCGATTGCAGGGGAGCCGAAGGATCTCCGTCTCGCACATCACTGGAGGACCTCCTCTAAGGACAAAATTGCGAGAGATACTAGGACCAAAAGTGCAAGTTGACTTCTGTCCAGCCAGTCTGGAGCTCCAAAATCCCACGAGCGAAACGAATAGAGTTGTCTGTCAGAGCGGCTTGGCCCCCAAACCGCTGCCAAAGCTTCTGCAGATTACGCTAAACCCATTTTAGCTCCATGTAGCGAGTAGCGAAAACGCTAAACCGTTTCAAGACGCCGATGTTCTCCCTGCATTCCCAGCACGGGGCAAATAGGGCGAATTGAAGTGGAGATGGTGGAGGCGGATGAGGGATAGGGTCTCCACCCGTTGACTTCTGACTTGTTCCCGGCCGTGACTCTTGCGGGATGACTCTTGAGGCAGTCTTGATGGATCTCTTGGGAGTCTCTTGGGTCGTTGAGGTCAGGCCTGATGGACACCCGAACAAATCCGCCCGCACAGCCCATGGTTCTCAACGGGATTTTCCGCCCTAGCACCCTTCCAGGTAAGCAGCGTATTCGGCAGTCGCCTTATGCTCAAAAGGGTTAGTGGTGCGCTGTGTGCCAGGGTTTAATTTGTTGAATCCGGAGGCTATATGTGCTTCTACCTGGTCGTCGGGTCTGTCTAGTGAGTTTGGTCATCTCTGTCCCAATGTAGCCCCCCCCCCCTTTGGCCTCCGTGAGCAGGGACATTTGAGAGTGGCCTAGGGGATGAAACAGGTGGGATGATGCGAGAAGAGGATCGTCATGCTGCAGATTATTGTTGGAGGAGGATCGTGAAGCCACGTGTGGGGACAGGGGGTTCTCCTTGGGCTAGATTACTCAACTCATCCACGGAGATGGCTCACTGTGACACGGTCGTTCAGCTTGAAAAAAAAAATGTCCTGGAAGCTTTGGAAGGGAGTTGGGAGGATAACGATCAAACCAGATCGGGGGAAAACTGTTGAAGAAAAAGCAAACTCTACAGCAGTTGTACAAGTAATTTGTACCGAGTAGGTATTGCCATAGACAATGTACCTTCCACATCGTGGCTGTATCATGAGCTTTAGGTTCCATGTTCTGTCGAGTATCGATGTATCTTTTCGAAGTACATCCTCCTCTTTGCGAGTTGTTTCAATGTCGGCTAGATAGATAGATGGCTTTACTTTCTCGGTCGCCTTGGGCCCCACCTAAATCTACTTCCATGTGTGTACATTTCATGCTGGACACACCGACTTCTGACATGCACGCATCCCCAGAAAACGTGGTTTCAGGGTTCCAATAAGCGGTCACAGCAGGGCAGCAGCGTGACCCTCTTGCAGCAATCTTGCAGGAAGGAGAGCAATGTAAGGAGCAGATTGGATCAAGGTTGAGAGCGTCACAAGAGGCCATAGAGTAGCAGTAGCAATCTTCGGTACTTGAAGTGTAGATTGCCTTCGACACTAGACATCCTGTCTCACTGCCTAATTGAAGCCTAGTGAACTTCGAGACTAGTCCACCTATAATGGATATAATCATAAGGGCACGATCATTTCGTGGAATATTACTCCGTCAGATGATCTTCTATCTAGCCAGACGATATTCAACAATGTAACTAATTAGTTACTCGGTCTCACTAGTTTACTAATCGCCTTCATTCTGTCAAGATCGTCAAGAGTTAGCGTAGTCGCAGAGCTATTGGACTAGGGTCATCGTCTGCTGTGCTTGATATGGTTAAGCGCTCGCATTTACTGTCCCGAAACGTCAAGCTTGATTATAATGTTTATGTTTATCGTGTGTAACTCCCTCTCTTTGATTAAGTATTGAAAGAACAGTTCCAAGTCCCCTGAATGCTGCAGCAAAAAAGAAAAAAAAAGCCTCCATCCTCGACGCATCCCTGTATCACCCGAATCCCCGCGCAATTTCCCGTTTGAGTTCCCGTCGGCTCTGCTGCCCCCTTGTCTTGCTTCTCCTCCAACCACCATCACCGTCACTCCGCCTCCTCACAGCCGCTTCTTTATTTTCTGCATGGACCAGGGGGGAGTTTCCTGAGTTCCAGCTCTGTGGTAAGCTACCATGGGAAATGGGTTTCCGGAACGCCGGGCCTTACGATGCCACGATCGCATTGGGCCCTAGACCCGTGACGGAGCAATGAGACGGCGATCCCGACTCTGGCATGACGAGGATGATGATAATGATGATGGACATCTCGTCGAGACATCTGCTTTTGATCCAAGGGTTGTCCCATCTCTCTTCTCCCCTTCCTGGCGTCAGCACTCCATTTCTGCAACGTTCGAAACTCTGCACCTTCGGTTGTGTTTACCGAGTTGAGGCTACCGCGTCTCAAGTTCGTGCGGGTAGGAACGGGGCCCACCCGTCAACCCCAAAGAAACTCAAAGCCAGGCTTACCAGCCCGGCTCCTCAGCAATTCAACAGGCTTCACGACGGAAGCCGAACTGGGCCCCGTTGGGCCCGCAGAATCAAGTCCATCGGCCAGCCGTCAATCCTCCGTCCCATCTCTAACAGCCTGACCCCATAACGTATGTACAGTATGACTCTGATGGCCGAGTCCCACTGTGATGCACTAGGCCCCTTCGGGACTACTGCCATGTCATGCCATCCATGCTTCCTGTACAGTAAAACCCCCTCGTCCAGGCCCGCGGAGCCTGGGAATCGCGTGAATGATTGACATGCCCCTTTACCTAGTTGGGTATACGGTGGTTCTTGGCTCTCGACGTTGTGATCCACAAGCTAGGGTCCTCTCAGATCGCCGGAGCCCTGCTAGGCAAATCAGCAGCCCTCCAGGGCCGATCCATGGCACATTCTCTCCTCGCTGTAGGTCCAATCACCGTCAAATCCTCGTTGCTTTTTGGCTCGTTCCCGCTGGCGCCTTCATAGCTGGACCCCTTTTCCCACGTTTGCATATTGCTGCCTCTTCAGGGTGGCCCCTGCATAGATTATGGGCTAGACGCGAAGGCAAAGCTCTTCTCTTCCAGTGATCCTCATGGTCATCAATCTAATGGATTTTGAATCACAGGGATCTGACCTGCCCCGAGACAAGAACCGTTTGCCAAATGGCAAACTAACACGGCAGAGAAAAAGATCAAAACACCAAAAGGAGAGAATGAGAGGAACAAAAAGCAACGGGAAATATCTGCCACTCCTCCCCATTTGCTCTTTTTGTTTTGTTTTCTTTTCAGGTTCGATCAATTCACGCCGCCAGAGAGCTTAAGCCTTTTCCTCTTCTCTGGGTCCGAACATACCCCGGCCAGTTATACATATGTACCTAAACTTTTGCAAAGCTCATCCTCATCATCCTGGTACCAGAGCGCAGCCAGCTTCGCCAGCAGCAGAGCTCCCAGATATTCGCCCGTGTGTCACAAGCAAAGGGCGCATTGTGTGGTACCTTAACCCACAGCGTTCCCGCTGATGAACTACTCCGTATACCTATCTGTGGTCGACCCGCCATCGGCTTGGCCGACCCAGTAAATCTTCGGCTGTCCCGTTTTTTTTCCCTTTGGCTCCACCGCTTTCCAGCCAAGAAGGGCAGTTGTTGGAGCTCCCGATCAAAAGATCGGAGATCCTTGGGTTCCCCCGGCACGCCGCTTGACAAAGGCAAGGCCAGTTCCCAAGGATGGTCTCCTCTACCCCCAACTTTACCAACGTTACCTGTGGTTTGGGAATATGGTGATTACCAACCATAATCCTCCCGGGTCATCCACCAGGGAGCCTATTTTACACTTCCTTTCCTCTCCAGATAGATGGAGAGCTCACATGCCGCCTGGTGGAGTCAACAGGCCAGAGACAACCACCATTTACCATGCGACGGGTGCAACATCCCAAAGTCGGGCCCTGGTAGGGCCTAAGCCTTGGGAGGCAGCTGTATAAGCCCCCTCGAATTAGAGTATGACGGAGGTGCTATCGCCCGCAGCGATGCCTGCCCAGCCTCTGGTCCGGGCTCTTTTCCCACTGGCGCCATGTGGTCCACGCCGCCTGGTCGGTTTAGTTCGACATGGGTTGCCCTGGTCCATGCGCTTGTCTCCAGTCGTTGTCTCCAGTCGCTGTCTCTAGTCGTTCAGTCTCCAGTCTCCCGCTCCAGTGGGACTCTGAGTGAGCCGTCTGAATTGGCCCTCCAGCTGAGAGGGCTATTCCAGGCAACCCGCAGAGGCTTAAAATCTCAATCGTCACTGGGGACAACAAGGTCCTGCTAATAATATAATAAAGATTAATATTATTAAAATATTAAAAAAATAATCCCATTAATCGGAATCTTATTCTTACCATGCGGTTTATTCGATTTCCCTTTTTTCCTTTATTTCTCCCCCTCTTCCATGTTAGTTTACTCCACGCTTTTCTTTTTCTGTCTTTTTTTTTTCCTTTTTTTATTTTCAAAATTCTGTCTCCTCCTGTAAGATTAAGTGTGCCTCTTTTGCACCTGACCGTCGGGACCGGGGCGACTTTTTTTTATCAACGGCGATCCTAGCTCTCGCTCTTCGTCAATTCATCAGCACAATCCCTTCTTTTCTTCCCATCCGCCCTGATTCGATCTTACTTCTCTTCTTTCCTCGCACCCCCCGCTTACCGAACTCCCTAACGCCTGGGGAATTCTTTATTTTTGAATTTTCGGAAACCGTTTTTGAACGGAGGTGATCCCCCGACTCGTATTTCCCACGTGCGGGACTACATCGTCTCTAGAACTTCCCTCAACTTCCTCATTCCCCATCCCGCCAGAAGTTATTTTTGGAGTCTCCATGGGCGATCGTCTCTTATAAACTTCAACGACCTCATCTCTCTCCGATCTGGTCTCTATTGATCATTACTTAACCTACTGATCGACTCGAGTACTTGACGACAATCCGACTCAACGATCGGTTTCATCTTACTGGTCACCCCACCTTGAAGCTTACGTTGGTGACTCGACATCTTTTCTGCCCTTGTCTCCTCATAACGTCTTCCACGGTCTGCTCCTGGACCGAACTACTTTGTCACCTTCACTCTTCATCTTCGGCATATCTCAATCACAGTTACAATGGCTGGCCCCGGTGGTGGTCCCCCGCGCAAGAGCCATACCAAGTCGAGGAACGGATGTAAGACGTGCAAGCGGAGACACATTCGCTGCGACGAGACCTTCCCACAATGGTATGTTCCTAACATTGCAAGTTCATCCTTCAATTCCCACAACAAGACTAAGATAGATGCCTCTAGTCGCAATTGCACCAAGCACAACTGTCGCTGTGACTACCAAGACGTAGCTGCGGTGCGAGGTAGCCCACCTGCCTCGCGACGTGGTCCCGATCTCCTCATGTCTCCGGAAATCGAGATAGAGATCGAGAATTGGCACAGAACTGGTCTCACACCATATCCAGAGCTCGCTGGATGCCCTCCCTCTGGCTGGTCTGGTCTGTCTCGGTCAGATTTGCGCTTGGTTCACCACATGATTGGGCTTTCCATCGACCTACATCGACGGGGTCTGAGTAATTGCACAATTTGGGCGCAAATGTTGCCTAGGTAAGTTATGACCAAGAAGACTTTCGCTTATCTATAAGACTGACTAGATCCCGGATAGTTTCCTGGGCATTGCGCTATCAAACGACTTCGTCATGAGCGCCATCCTTTCCCTTTCTGCCTACCATCTCGCCTACCTCACGCGGGATCCGGAAACCAAGCAGCTCGCACTACACCACAAGGCAGCTGCTTTCAAGGGTCTTCGGACCGCGCTCGGCTACGCTATCACCTCTCCTTCCAAGGACAACGCAGAGGCCATCGTTTCAGCCCACGTCTTGCTTTCCTGGCAAGCAACCGAATAGTAAGGACTAGAGCCAAATGAATTCGAGATGGACACTACTAACATCACATAGCCAAAGCTGGGTTTCATTACAGCAGGGTCTTTCGTCTATCCTCGAGACTACGTATCTAGTTTGGAAGCAGGAGTCGGAGATTGTACAGTTTGTGGAGAACCAGCGCTCTTTGAGTACCCCGGACTTCCCGGTTTCATTCGATGAGGATTTGGCACAACTAGATCAGACCATCCACGGGCTACAGATTTCTCAGAAGCGAGTCTCACACAACGCAGAGCACTCTCAACGCCTGGGAGAGTTGATCGACTTTGTGCAGCAATTCCGAAAAGACTTCCCGACCCAGACCTCCGAGCAAGCCTTCGAGCGTATCCAGATTCTACGACAATGGCTCTTCTGGCTGCCCCCTTCTCTTCTCCGAAATGGCGAGTCCGAACTTAACGCTCTCTCGGTTTTGTCTCAATTCTTCGCCGTTGCAATCGCCCTCGAGCGCTTCTTCCCAGATCTGGGGGGCTCATACTTGGGAGCTCCGTCCGTTGGAACCATTGAGGAATCATATCGCATTATTGCCGCACACACCGCTACAGATCCATTCAATGCTGACATTCGTCTTGCTATAACTTTGATGGACCTGCCGCGCCACTGCGTTGCACGATATCGCAGCCGTTTGACCTGGTCCCCACGGGCCTCGATTGAGCATTACTCACCTGGCCCACCGAGCCCTTACCACGGCCTGCACGAATTTTCTCTCCCCTCATCATCTTCTCCCGCATCCGCCTCGCCTTCATATGCCGCATACACACCTCCTCTCCAGTCTCCTCCGGCCGTTACGGTTGCTGGATCTCCCTTCACCCTCGCAGATGGCTACGTTACCGCTGCACCTTCTCACACCCTCTACCCACCGTCGCCACAACTTCTCGATGTTCACGATCCTCAGCTCGGTCTCTCTGATCTCAGCCACTCTGGTGCTATCCCGCATTCCTCAGCCTTCACACCACCTTACGGTGGTGATGTTCTCTGCGCTGATATGCCGCGGACTGATGGGACCTTGGGGCTGAACATGGACGTGTACCCGCATTCCCATGCATTTGAGATGCCTGGAATGGTCGCACCAGAGACATGTTGGACATGAGGTCCGAATGACAAAAAGACCTTTTCGCCATTCCGCTTCTAAGCCCCCTCTTCTTCTTACCTGACTCTGTTTCTATACTGATGTCAAATTCTCTCTTTCTTTGGCTGTTGTTTTTTGGAGTTTGTGGTATTGAGTATGAGTGTTGGTGGCTATTCAGACTCGGTCACAATTTGTGGGCTGGGGGAAATGACTCTACTACGTGATATATACCCGGACAATATTGTTCCAATTTTTTCGTTGACATCATTTGAAGCGTCTGTATGCTATTTCTTTCTCATACTGGATGAATTCTTATTTACATGGGAACTATGCTATGATTAGAAATTGGGTGGTGTTTGGATTCTGAAACCTTGATATCTTGAATCAACCTCTTGTGCTTACCAAGTGCATTCTTCCCTCTACAACATATTAAAGCAGAAAGATTGGACGTGATATCAATCATTACTGGCACTTTCTTCTCGTCCTTGGGTAGTATTGCATCACATCCAAGGTGGCGCTCAGCTAAAAGCTCCAGCTCATCACACCTCCATTCTAAACATAGATCTCCCCCCCCTCCTCTTAATCTCCTACTCCCCCTCTGCGCACGGGCTATCTTGATAAATCACTATTCCCACTATCTCAAGGGTATCAAGTGCGATCTCGTCGCCAAATTCAAACGACGATCGCCAGGAACGAGGACCCTTCGATACCATGAATGCTAAGAATAGCGCAAGAGGCGGGGAAAGGCAAAGAGAACAAGGCACGAAACGAGTCTATGAAACACTTTCATTGGATAACAGCGTGCAAGATACCTGCAGCCGCAAATTAGTGCGTTTAGTGTATCTTCAGCACAGTCCAAGGACAAGTAAAGTTTAAGCAAAAGGATAACTATGTACAACGCAGTAAGGCGGTGGGGTACGGTAACCTTCCTCGTCTCTCTATCGGAGAATGGATCTGGTTGGATCAATAGAGTAGAAAAGAAAAAGGGTAACCTCGTATTCGGCCGGCTCCAGTTTCCGCACCCCGACCCACGACCGAACGGCGTCGTAGAGCATACATGGAGCTTCTCGCGTGGCACACAGGGATAGATGCACCCTAGAGAATGGGAACTGTGTATACTTACCCTGGAAGTGATGTAGGGGCGGAGCAGGGGATTCCAATTGTTTTTTTTTTTTTTGTCGTTTCAGGTGGTCACACAGTTTAAGGTTATACCTATCGTGGCTCGTTACTTGTTCGGGACATGCTCGTATCACCCTGCATATTTTTGTATTTATTTTGAGTATCTCGTTCTCCATGGCCCTTGCTGAGGCGTGCTTATGCCAGCTGTATGGTTTTCCTTTGTCGGACGGTGAAGCTAGATCCAGAGCTGAACAGGAAATAAAGGCCAAGGATTTAAGGACGGGATAGAATCAGGTTGGCCTAGGAAGATTTAAGTTAAAAGATCGGCGCTGGAGATGAAGATGAAGCTACTAAAACCGCTACTCAATACCCGCCAGTCGATTAGGACCTACGACACTTAGGGCTAGTGATCGGCCCGCCCCTTCACGTTTCTATATTTATCGCCCCCTCCGTTATCCCTTCCTCCTGCCATGTGGTCCCCGCCCTATACTTTCTAATCTGAAGAATCTTCTTCGAGTAATTTTTGGGGGCCATCGCTCGGTATGTGGGATGAATTTAGGCTTTCATCCTGCCTAGGGCATTTGGGTCCGATCAACGTGCCTTCCTGTCTGGGTGATCGACTTGCGTCTACGATGGCACATGTGCTGGATTCAGTTAGGAGTCTGTCCACCTGCTATATCAAGTAATTATGATGATCATAGGACGAAATTTTGTGCTTTGCAGAAGCTCAGTAGTTTGGAGAAGCCGAACAGGCTATATTTACCTCTGAGTTTATTCTGGATTTTGGTTATTTTTTTAACATGACGTAGTTGTACATCTTGAAGCTCATGGTGGATTGAGACCGAGGTCACTTGCTGCAATTTACAGTCGATGGTCTATAGGATGAACAAAATATGGTTCCCATTATACGCCTTGGCAGATTAAAACGACAATGAGGGACATGAGCGATTTCAGCCACTTGACACTGAAACCTCGATGCTGAGGTACTTCGAGATGTTTTAAGAGGAATAGGTAGTGACCTTGAAGTTGAATTAATACGCTAGCTAACGCATACGGCAATAGTCTTGAAACATTCTCCCTGCTTCAAGCCTTGTGAGTGGATCGAGGTCGCCGTTTTTCTTCTCCAGTGACTCGATGTCGAAGTTGTGCTTGAGGACTAGCTACTGCTACAACGAATATTTGGGAGGACCGAAGAAGCATCTGATAAGACATACTTCCTCGCAATCAACTTATACCTCGATCATAAGATTACATAAGTCACAGTCATCGACCGTACAAGCGGATAGGTGGCATTGGAATCATTATGAACTTGTTGCATGCTATACTCGGATGGCATAACAGTGCTTGTGGACTGGGAATGGTAATATTAACCGCTCTTGGTTCCGATCTCGACTTTGAGAAATGAGTCTTTGAGTACGTAAACTATTGTTACCCTGAACATACTTCGTTGGACTGCGCGCTCTAATTGCAAATTAGGTATTTACATGTTCTCGCTAATAAGTTTGAACTACATCATGAGAATTCTTAGAAACAAAGTATTTATTTATATGCTATGTTTGAACGTCATGTTTTTCTTAGCCTCAGATAGAGTCATTTAACATAAGAATAGTCAATTCTTCTACGTATCTCAATGAAAACGTCAACAGTAACTACACAGTCATAATAATGGTCCGTTGAATCAATTTTTTAGATCAATCAAGGCATTTGCCGTGTCCTCCGGCAAGTATACACCATCCAAAAGATCGTATTTTGGCTACTGATGCTTAAAACTAAGCCTTGGATGATTTCCTCATGCCCGCGAAGAAGCCTCTCATGGTATGCCAAAGTTTGGGGGGCCTTGCTCTTCACGATCATTTTTTGCGTATTATTGCGCACGAAGCTAAGCTAGCTACTTCTACTTCGTCAAGATGGTGCTCATAATATGTGGCACACTCTAACTCATAAACACAGGGAATCATCGCTATTCTCTTCAAGGCATCAAGAATGGAATTGTTATTTGGCCCGGCGAGTAACCGTTTAGGCTAAAGAGCTGAGTGGAACCGGCACGTTCATTGTCATCATCGATGAAATAAATCATAGAATTAACCATTGTAGGTCCTTGATAAGTTTTTGACTTTATTAGCAACGAGATACACTTGAAGAATCTTATTTGACTATATCTTTGGCCAGGAATGGGCGTTGTTGGTGAATCAGGTCTGAAACTGACTCGCAGCGGCAATGAGGGAACTGGGGTTCTGTGTAGGCTAAAAGGTAGTCTCCACACTTCGGACCCCATGTGAGACTGGAAATGGGCCATCATATCAGACAGAAATGCCGAAAAGCCAATGGCTCTCTCGATTCTAAGCCAACGCTGCAAGGCGAATTCCAGGGTTCTTACGCTTAGATACACCGGGAGATCTTAGAAAGCTATCTAGTTACATTGTCGCATACTTGATTAGTAATGTCGATTGACTATTCAGACTAAGGTATGAACTGATTGTCTGCATTATTGTTAACAATACATGCGAAGGATAAGGATAATAGAAGGAAAATAAACAAGTCACTGCTGGTTCTGAAGGAACTGACCCTGCAGATTGTCCCTGGAGTTTAATCTCTCTTGACCTATAGTTCGGTACCCCGCAGTTGAGATGTAACGTTCAAGGGTCTAACTGTATAGTAGCGTCTGACAGACAATCGGCAATATAGTCCCCGAAGGGATAGACTCCGTCAGTATGTGTTGACGGGCCTTTTCCCGTGTCCTGGAGAGTCATCTGAATCAAGGAATTGAACTTAAGTTTCTACAGCGAAGAGGTTTCGTCTAATCCTCGTGTAGTAATCCTCGTGTAGACATAGTCTCCCGACTAACATGTCGGGTTTCCAGCAATTCGAAATGCCGAAGTTATGGCATTAGCGGGATATTGTTTAGATGAAAGGTCCGCCACAAGGCTTCCGGGAAATAAACTTCTTCAGTGTATGTTTAGGGCCGCGTTCCGTGTCTTAAAAAGGCAAATTAGAACAGGATGCCAGATCTACACATTGATATTGGAAGATTAAGAATTAATCACATTATTTATGACCTCTATAAAAAGATCCGAGGACCCTGACTCCTTCCCTCTTCTTGTCTTGACACCACTCTATCAGAGCTATATCAGAAACATGAAATCTCAACCAGGTCACAGTCTGCTTGCCCTACTTGGCATTGGTGGAACGGTATTAGGGCAGCAGTCGGCTTGGGGACAATGTGAGTAATGAACACTAAGCATATATGTTAAACGTCTCTGAAAATTTCCCCAGGTGGCGGAACTGGCTGGACTGGCCAAACAACATGTGTATCTGGATACCACTGCTCCGTTCAAAACAATTATTACTCTCAGTGCCTTCCAGGCACATCGTGTAAGTGACCCACCGTATCTATATTGTATTCCATATTGACAGTATACTATTTTGTAGCCACTAGCAGTGGTACTTCCACCACCACCACCCTCGTCACAAAAACCTCTGCGACGACCTCCACAAGTTCTTCTGTGCCGACTACCAAAGTGAAATTTGCCGGTGTTAATATCGCTGGCTTTGACTTCGGCATGGTAATCAGTGGTACCCAGGACCAGTCTCAGGTCTTCGATGAGTCGGTGGACGGTGTCAACCAAATGAAGCATTTTGTCAACGATGACACCTTCAACATTTTCCGTCTGCCGACGGGGTGGCAGTATATTGTTGCAAATAACCTCGGCGGGTCTCTCGACTCGACAAATTTTGGTAAATACGACAAGTTGGTTCAAGGGTGTCTCTCCCTGGGCGTTTATTGCATTGTTGATATTCATAACTACGCCCGTTGGAATGGTGGCATTATTGGACAAGGTGGCCCAACGGACGACCAGTTCGTGAATCTCTGGACACAATTGGCGACTCATTACAAGAGTCAGAGCAAAGTTATATTTGGCATCATGAATGAACCCCATGACCTGAATATCAACACTTGGGCTACCACGGTGCAAAAGACTGTGACTGCGATCAGAAATGCCGGAGCGACCTCTCAGATGATTCTGCTCCCCGGCACGGACTATACCAGCGCTGCAAACTTCATTGAGAATGGCTCCGGTGCCGCACTTTCAGCTGTGGTCAACCCCGATGGGTCTACTACTAATTTGATTTTTGATGTTCACAAGTATCTCGACAGTGACAATAGCGGTACCCACGCCGAGTGTGCGACCAACAATGTCGACGCATTCAACACTCTGGCACAGTGGCTACGTTCAGGCAAACGGCAAGCTTTGCTGAGTGAGACTGGTGGCGGTAACGTCCAAAGTTGTGCAACATATATGTGTCAACAGCTGGATGCACTCAAGTATGTTCAACTCCAACCTTATTATACTTATTGTTTAGGGTGAAATCCTTTGTGCATCTGTACTGATTTTCATCTAGTGCGAACGCGGATGTTTACCTCGGCTGGACATCCTGGAGCGCTGGTGCCTTCCAAACAACTTATACTCTGTCGGAAGTACCAGTCAATGGTGTTGATCAATACCTAGTTCAACAATGCTTTGTCCCTAAATGGAAGAGCTGAGCACTGATCGATAGCTTTGCCAGGTCAATCTTGGCTTCAAAGAGACCGGTAATTAGTGCTTTCAAGTTGTGAGAAGATGTGCTTAGATGAATATACAATGCAAGTATAGGGCCGTAGGCTCTGGTGCATAGGACCATTTCCCTCTTTATCGCATATCATTGTCGAGAGGATTTAGGTGTGATCTACGCTGAAGTAGTATAGTAAGATAGCGGTACTTACTGTTGGTAACTGATGTAAATATGCTACCCCACAGGATGTCTCCAATTAAGTGTGATATCAGGGTTACATCAATTAGGAATGATTCTTGTCGTCCATCAAGGAGAAACCCATACATACGAAACTCGAGGCGCAAAGGTCTCTAATAGATATCGAGACACGTGACTTATAACATACATCACACGTGACCTATGACATAAGTCGCCCATGCCGATAACTAAGTAAGTTCACTATCAACACGCCCTGGTCAAGCTACCCAACTGCAGAAACGCACCAGCAAGGGCTTGATCTTTACAAAGACTGTTCTTGTGAAGCTCCCTGCAGAAATTCAACCCCACACGATGTCCGACACCGGTGGCTGGAGCACTATCGAGTCCGACGAGGTATCTCCCCAAAGCAGGACTCCGCTCGCAGAGCTTAATGAGCTAACGGCATCTAGGGCCTATTCACCTCTCTCGTCGAGACCCTTGGCGTACAAAACGTCCAATTCGAAGAGCTCATCTCCCTAGACGCGGACACAATACGATCTCTTGGGTATTGACTCCTCCCTTTGCTCTGACTTTCCCCACCATCCACAGCAGCATCTAACCAAATCTCCGTACCTCCACAGATCCGTTTACGGTGTAATCTTCCTTTTCAAATGGACCCGTGAAGCAGCCGGCGCACGCGCCGAAGCTCCCCTCGATGGCAGCTATGACCCAACCGCCGCAGAGAACAACGTCTTCTTCGCCGCGCAAACGATCCAAAACGCCTGCGGCACCCAAGCCATCCTCTCCGTAATCCTGAACCACGATAACCCACCTCAGCCCCTCCCACCAATCACCCTCGGAGACGAGCTACGCTCCTTCAAAGAGTTCACCACGGGATTCACACCCGAACTGCGCGGGGAAGCCCTCTCAAACTCCGAAGTAATCCGCACCGCACACAACACGTTCGCTCGCGCGAGCCCATTCGCCGACGAAACCTCCCGTCCTCAGGATGAGGAGAATGCCGCAGATGTGTATCACTTTATTGCGTATACGCCCGTCAATGGCACGCTCTACGAGCTAGACGGTCTGCAACCACACCCCATCAGCCACGGTGCGTGCGACCCGTCCACGTTCCCAGAGAAGGTGATTGAGGTGCTGCAGCGGCGTATTGCGCGTTATCCACCTGAGGAGACGCATTTCAATCTCATGGCGGTGGTGAAGGACCCCCGCCCTCGGGCGCGGGAGATTGGAGATGTGGAGACGTTGGAGCGTGAGGAGCGGAAGAGGGCTGCGTGGGCGTGGGAGAATACGTTGCGCCGGTGGAACTTTGTTGGATTTATTGGGGAGATGATGAAGGGGGTGGTCGGGATGAAGGAGAGCCAGGACGGGAATGGGAAGGCGTATGAGGAGTGGGTTGATGCGGCGAAGAAGGCGACGAGGAAGAAGTTGGAGATGCGGCGGTAATTCGCTGTTTTCGACTTCCTTCTGGCTTTTGAGATCTAAATATTTGGAAATTAGAGTGTTGCGAAAGTGGCCACTTACCTACTGCATGTCCATGCTTGGTGGACTGGCCTTTTTGATGCGATATGAATCCGCATTCAGGATGGATATATACGGAACTCTTGTCTTATTGAATGAGATACCCCTTTGGTGATGATAGAAACGTTTCGGGAACAATTCGAAATTTGAGAGTATTTATGCGCACCGCTAGCTATGTACAGCGTAACTGACATCCACATCGTAATATAATCATCGTGCGTACCCTCGCTCATGCATTCAATCAATCATATCGACACGATCAGATCAGATCCTCAAGTCTGATCAATAGTCGACAGCCCGCGCCCGGATGTGCTCAACCATCGGTGCGGGCAGATCATCTGGATTAACCAGACCCAAAGCCAACAGGTCAGACCAGAAGAACATAGCCCGGTCCTGGGAATAAGCCAAGTAATCAAACTCCTCCTCTTCTTCATCAACATTATGGTCAACTGGCGGAGTCTTATGCTCGCCATTGCCATCGGAATGAGTCTCATGCTCTGAAGAGTCATTTCCAGACGCAGCTGTCATCTCGGTAATGCCTTCATCCATGCCAGGCACTTTAGCCTGTACGATACCCCACGCTACCCATTGTGCCGAGTTCATAACACGCCACAAGCGGGTCTGATGCATAAGGTATCTCACCTGGGACTCAAGCTCGTCCTCGCCGGAAGCCTCGAGCTGCTGCCCAAGAGGACCTTCGGGGCCGTCGTCGAGGTTCAAGGGGGTGATAGAGGTTGTTGAACGGCCGCCGCGCATGAAGGGAGTAGCGGATGGGGTGGCCAAGGGCGAAGCAGGGCCACCAGGAATAGCGGGACGGTGAGCGAGATAGGTGGCCACGAATCGGTGCTGCTCCTCCGGTGTGGGGTAGAGGCGGTTGTTACAAGCCCATGGAATTTCTTCGTCATGGTAGTTGTAGCACCACTCGGTCTGTAGAGAATTAGACAGGGTAATCGGTATATATAGGATGCCGGGCTGTATACTTACAAAGTGGTTGGCAAACTCGAGACCAGGGGTGTTGGCTGATGAATACTCAAAGTCAATGACAACAAGCTGCTTGTGTTCATTGGCGGGCAACAGGAGAGGAGATTGCGTAGCAGGCTCCATCCGAAGCAGATTGCCGTATTGAGTCTAGACAACTTGTTAGCATCCCGTAATTGATATCGATCACAGAGGAGATTGAATCCTACATCATTGTGCGCAAACACCAGCTGGCGCTTGATCTCACTGATGCCACCGCAGCTGGCAATCAGCCACATCCGATAATTGTCCACTGCCTTACGGAATATCTCCCATGGTACACCACATACATAGCCGCGCCGACGCCAGAGTTCTACGGCCGCCTTTGCCTCATTCTCCGGGGATAGAAGCTCCTTGTCCAACCAAGTGGTGACCTGCTCACAGCGGTCCACCCACTTGTCCCAATTCTTGAAAATGACGGGACCACCCTCACGCTCCTCTTCTAGAAGTTCAATACCATCATGAAGCTCTCGCATGCGCTTCGCGATCTGCTTGGCTGTCTCTGGAAGCCGGAGTTCCCGTGGCGTGAGTGGACGTGCTTCGAAGAACTCTTCAAAACGACCGTTGAGGAAGGTTCCCAGGACACGGGGTCCAATGTTCTTGCGGCCCAAGCGGCGCAAAATCTGTAATTCCTTCTCACGATCGATCAAATGATCAACCTGCGGACCGTAGATGCGTAGTAGTAGCTTTGGCGGGGGCTTTCTTGAAACCACCGGAGCAGAGCCATTGTTGCTCCGAGAAAGAACAGGCAGCTGCTTAGGTGGCTCGACCACATAAACCGCATTGGTTAGAGCACCACTGAGACGGATGACCCTAATATCTCCAGCCGCCTCCATTGAAACTTTGCGCCAGCCCCGGAGTTGCATGGTATGCGCAATACGCACAATATCCGTCTTAAACGTCAACCAGGCATCTTGGTCTTTCAGACGCTTTGAGCAGGTACTACTTTCCGTGGACTCCTCCTCTGCGGCACCGCCCGTATAAGCGAGGGTCTTTGAATTGTCAAGGACAGCTTCTACGCTAGGCACGGGGGCCTCAATATCGGTGACATCAGACTCCGAGGCTGATCCACGACGCAAGCCTTTAGGACGTCGCCGGACTGCTCGCTTGATGGGCTGGAGAGACGAGAGGCCGTCCCCGGTACGAGCACCCGAGTAGTGCAGAAGAATTTTCTCTAGCTTGTCGAGAGAGAAAGTGCTTTCTGAGAATTGCGGTGCTTCATCTATCGAATAATCTTCCGAATCAGGGGTAGCTTCCGTAGCACCAGACGACGCTGCCTCAGCTCGGCGAGCCTTGCGGTTCTTGCGTCTGACCTTTTCATGCTGCAGCCATTCTGAAACTTGATGGAACAAATTCATCTGGGGATCTTCATCACCCTTGGAGTTTTGCTCGGTCTCGTCTCCCACCGAAGCATCATGCTTGGCGCTTGACTGACTGCCCAAAGCAGAAGGCATTGACGATAGTGGCTGAATTGGGGGTCTTGCAGTTACTTTAGCGACGGGTGCACGGTATTGTTTCAGAGTCGTCCCGTCAGGTGGGGATGCAGGACCGGTTGCACTCGCGTGCAAGGCCTTGAGCAACGAAGGAATTCTCAAGCCAGTCCCTGAGATAGGTGTGGTGTCTACCGGATATTAGTTAAATGATGATGAAAAAGAGCGCGTAGGACCGAAGAAAAGGTTGCATATGGAGATAGATGGCGACGTCACAACCTGGGGGCCGTCCGATATGAACAATATCGGAGGACCAGTCAGGGGGCACGTGAAATTTGATACGGATTTGACGATAGCTTAGGACATGGGGAAGGTCGCATAGGCAGAGCAGTAGACGTTTACTTGTGCAACGAGAGATAGAATATCATCGAAGCAGGAAGAAGGGGAGCGGAGCCTACCTGCTACTTCAGTATCGGGACCAGGGTGGTCCTCGGTGAAAGACGGCATGTGGTTTCGGGGAGACCGCCTAGAGGACCACGTAAGAGCGGTGTTTGCCAAGGCGGTAGAAATGGGTACAAGAACAGACGTCAGAGCTTCTAACGAGTAAGACGAGCGCGCTTGAAAGCTGAAACAGGTTGCAAGAAGATGGTTAATTTGACAGGTCGTGAAGGCGGGGTGGAATTTTGGTGCCCCAGAAAACCGCGGCTGGTGGGCAAGCGAACGGAAACGTTCCAGTGGTCAGGGACCAGGGTTCCTGTATATATGCAACCAAAACCCAGCCCGATAGGCGAGATGCGAGCTAGCTAGCCAGCGTATACACGGTCACGCGACAAACAAGACACGCACCAAACCGAATTCGCAGAATTTATTCGGAACACTCGCAAAAAGGGAGCAGGCTAGGGAAAAAAGTGGCGAAAAAGTGCGGCTTATCGGGAGACTCAGGTGACCATTTGTGGGCCTGGCGGATCTGGCATTCAAGATCCTCGGAAGCATGACTGGTCGTTCACAGGGCGCCATCTCCTAATCGAGGAACAAGAGAAAAGGCTTGGCTCTGGCTCAAAGACAACGTATGACCCATGATAAGGATGGCCTGAGATCATTTCCACACGGGCAGCGTTGCAATTGGAGCGATCATGGCCGGTTGCTTGCAGTGCTGATAGCGCCCCGATTTTTGATCACTCTTTTGAAACTGCTGAGTCGCTAGGGCACAGTCAAGGGCGTTGTAGTACATCATTTCGCTTCAGTAGCATACAAGTCGCAGATGGCTTTTATTTTGAGTTTTGATGTCGCGTGTGGGAGGATGATTGTGTGTGTGATCTGGTAGGCTCGAGTGTATTGGTAGATAGCGGAACGGACCAGAACGGGTCCCCTGGAATTGGGGATGTGGAGCCGTCTGGCAGCAAGGCATAACTAGGGAAGATGCCTAAGTAACAACCTGGTGTCAAGTCAGCTTTGGTGCGACTCTCACGAAGTCTCTGCAGTTGAAGAAGGGAAGACGAAGAGAAGAAGACGAGAAGGTGATGCACGAGGGGCAGGACCTGCAGAGGGGTTTGCCGGAATTACCGTACGGCGATAACGCCACAATACGTGGACACCCGATTGTTCAGGCTAGCATTGGGATCGCCTACAGTCAGCCAGACTAACAAAATAAGTATAGAGTATGATACCAAAGAGGCATTATAGGAGAAAATTCGTTCAAAATTTCATCATGAGTCATATAAGGGGGTATTGAGCCTCGGGAATAGTATGCTCCGCTGCAAGAATCGAATCCGCCCCTCGTCATCATCATCAAAGTCTCGAAGTTTATAATGCAGCCAATTCTGTACCTGCCCGTCCCCATTTTGATTCGAGGATACACCAAAATCCCAAACTCGATTCCAAAATGGAGGATTACAGCCTGGTTCCTTCAAGAACTGGCAAATGTCCAGCGGCTCCTCACGTACCACACTAGGGTTCTCCTCTAGGATTACGATCACTGCGATTACATGAGCAGCAGGTCCACACATGAAAAGCCCTTGCGCTGGCGGGGCTTCTTCCATCATGAGTTGAAGGGCTTGACGACGCAGTTGAGGAGATCGGCATTTGAGTGCCGTGATGAACAGTGGGAGAAAGACACCCATCTCGAACATGAATGGTGGCTGTGTGCCATCAGGGCTGCGGGTCGCTGCAATGGCGGTGGAGGCGTATTCAAGGATTTGTCCGAATTCGAATTCGTACTCATCATATGCAGTTTGATCAGTGCAGAGGACGGTTTCGATCTCGATAAAAAGACTTTTGTAGGTCATGAGGAGGAGTGCGCTTGCGCCATCGACGCCAAGGGCATCCTGAGTTCCCGGTGTATCTGAGGCCTTGAATGACATAAAGAGTCGGTGCCATTGACCAAGTTCCTCTCTGAGCTGATCTCGTCTAGCCTTGAGTGCTATTGCCTGGGTTCTGCGGCTCGCCGCCGCTAGCTTCCAATGCAACTTTGTAGCATTATTCAGATTCTTCATTTCAGCAACGATATCGCAGATTACGTCCCTGGCTTCATCCATCGACGTAAACCGGCTACTGGGAATGGTCATGGTAAGACCCCAATCTTTATCGGGAGATTCGTCATTGATAAAGACCCATATCCCCAGACGACGAAAGATTGGCGTCAGAATAGTGATCCATGGTCCACGGTCGGCATTGATCAACTGAGCTCCCTGTTTGTACAATGCCAAAGCCGCTTTTCGATTCCCCTGAAGAAGCTCAATCGCAATGAACAAGATACAGCTGATCAAAGAGACCCCCAGATTTGCAGTCCCTTGGTTGATGCGCTGCTGTAAGACTGCCAGGGAGCGCGAATACCAAACGAGTGCGTCACGATGCGTTTGACTGTGTACTGCCGCGGGAGTGTTGATAAGCCGGAATGGGGGTGTTTCGTGAAGAGGTGGACGTTCGTAGAGCGCACTGAGTGATATGATTGCATCCCACACCGCAGGCTCCATGCGGCATGTCTGCAAGACGCAGTCTCTCCAGAAAGCAAGATCGAGGTCGCCGGACAACAATGGACTGGCCCGGTGATAATAGAATTCAAAGGCACGTCTTTCTCGCCAACCTGCCTGTTGTTCACCCCGTGGGGAACTTGAAATTTCCGAATGTGTGTAAAGGTGACCCAAATTCGAAGTGGAGATGTTGGATGACTCTGTGCGTGCTGACTGGGATGCACCGTCGTAACAGCACCGTCGACCAGTGCTGGTGCATCTCATGCAATGAGGCTTTTCCTCTCCACAGCGCACTCGTCGGATTCTGTTTTATGATATTATCAGATCCACGTCTACCTGGGCATAATTGTCGATTTTTCCCGATGGAATACTAACTTGCAGGTATGGCAGCCAGTTTTTGACTTGGTCGTACCGATCCGGCCAGATCGCTTAGAGGAGGCAGACATGACCGTGAGCAAGGACCGATGAGTTCATTCCCTGCGGTGACTCAATTGCTCTCATGATCCCATCACGAAGTCGAGGTGCTCATGCGTCAGCCCATGGGTTGTGGATCAGGAGAGAAGCTGGTGGGGGGACAGACGGGTACCATTAAATCCGCCACTAACCCCGCTCGTCCATTGGCTGCCCACGCAGTAACAGTATGGAGCCGCACCTGATCATCATCCGACAATTAAGAGCACAAGGCTATCTGTGATTCGAGCTTATTGTCCTTTGATGCTTGCAAATACACTATTGATTCAATTGTGAGTAGATACTGCTTCCAGTGTCGTAATCTCCATCTCACTAGCCCTTTACGGTCATCACCATTTGTTTGGTGTCAATCACCAGCGAAACCTGCAGTCAGAAACCGCCCCCATCCAGTGAATAATACTGGTTCTCAACTTCACATCGACTACTCAAAGCTCTTTTCATCCACTACACGAATCATGGAACGCTTATTTTCTGCTTTTGTCCGTGTTCTCCGGAATCTGGATGATGTTGATGGCTTGCTGGCGACCTTTCAAGAATTTGAAAATAACCCTTCGGCTCTCAGTGCAAGGATCGTATTCGGCTTCTTGACTTTCCCGAACTTGCAACCCAAGTCGCAAATATTATTGCCGCAGCTCCAGCAACCTTGACTAAGCAGGATCTATTGAAGAAGGCTGCTGAGTCCCCTGGTGACCTAACTTCCTCTGAGATTGATTTGCTACAGGACCGCTACTGGGGAAACGTACCTTCGACGAAAAAGATGCATTCGAGGATGCTCTATGTGACTTAGCCGATGTCTCTTATGAGCATCGCACGGAAACCTTACAGCGCCTACTGGATTTTCAAGCTAAGGCAATCCCAAATGCGTCCGATGAGGACGACCGACAATTTCAAGAAATGGTCGAAGCTGGTGAGCAAAAGCAACTGGAGATAATGTTGCGACACGGGCACCCCTGGCTGAGACAGCTCTGGCAAGAAGATCAGGGAAAAAAGCCGTGGGGTTATGCGATATTTGTGGACCCTCATTGGGAGGCAGAGAATCCCGATCGCTCGGAATCTTATGATCTAAAGTCAGCGCATTAATAACATATGGCTTTTAGCGCAATCGCCTCCGGCCTCATAATCCAATCGAGATATACTGTCGAGCCTATAGACTGGCCTTCCGGAACGCCTACTGAAGACGAAAGCTTTCCTGTCATCCTGCGCGGATTACGGAAGCGGTTCAACCATCTCCGATCGTTCCCTCCAAAAAAGGAGATTCCGCACCTTATGAATTATTTAGCCGCGGGAATCATTGACTCGATGCCAGAGGGGCTCACTGTGGGCATTTTGGCGAATGTTTTCCTCTATGTGGATGGCAATTCTGCAGCCTCGGTTCTGGAAAATCGTTTAGCAGATAATTTCTGGATCTGGGCTGTGGATCCAGACTACGAGGGAGACGCCGAAAACTAAAGCTCCAGTGGGTACCAAGGCTACCTACGCGTGCGTCTCCAGCAGCTTATTCACAACTTTTACGTCGCCCAGAGCTGGCATGCCAATACGGTCTCACTGAAGGACTTATGGAAGGCGGCGCAGAAGGATCCTCATAATGGCTCTTTTGTTTCAATGGAAGATGAGGAAATATTTTCTCAAGACTCAAGGTGGGAAGTTGCAACCGCCATTCGATCGAAAAACGCGAGGCAGTGAGCCTCCAATTGATTGTATTTATGTGAAGAAAATAGGAAGAATAAGATGTTTATTTGGTATTTAGCAACATACGGGTGTTTTACCAAGTTAGATGGGTACGATCGAAAAGCATCGCCAGGAAAGCTAACACAAATTTGGTTACCAACAAGCATTTGGGGATTGTCACAACCCTATTGATATCGACATTCCATTGAATTGAGACATAGTGAATGTGCTGTTGTATGACTCTGTGATGCCGTAGCATGTGTTGTTCTTATTGACGGTATAGACGTTATAGACGTCACACTTGTGAGGCATACACAAGTTTGTGCCCGCGTCGGGGAAGTGGGTGCAGCCTGCTTCAAAGTTGTTGAAGTAGAGCATTTCTACTGTGAAAGCCCGCCGGGGTTGACTGGTCGAAGGAGCTCTCTCCCTTTCCCCTCCATCCTCCATTTCACCTTCCTTCACCACCCTCACGCCCGCATACAACCGACGGCGACAACCTCAGACTTCAACAGACATTTACGTCGTGCCATCTCCCACAGAACTCCCTCCACACGACTCCCTTTGAACTTCATCGTCCTCGCCGACACAAAATACAAGCCGCCAGCTTAAAGCCATGCAGATCCCACTTCACCCGCTGGTTCAACAAGACCCAGGCAAGGTAAATCGGACAGACACCTCCCCAATCAGGAAACATATCACTAATTTCTTTCTCCAAAGCGACCCGGCGTGGTTCGCATCGGTGTCAACATCTACCAGCCCGTCTGGTGGGGGCAGCCTTGCAACTGGGAATTCTTGTTTGGCAATGAATCCGGTGCGATGGTCATGCACCTTCCTAGCCCCGAGGACGACCCTTATTTCGCCTCACGCTGGCACCCGAGCCGGCTTCGCCATTTCGTCGACTGCGGGGATATTCCGTCCTCTCATTACGGTCTGGCATTGGGGCTGATTGATTCCTGCGCCAGAGGTGATAGGAATAGCCGAGACTCGATCTCATGGGTCTTCAGCAGCCTGATCAAGTTGTCTAGCCGATGCGCCATGAACTTCATTCCGAGGGTAGATGAGACTCTTCGCCATAAGATGACTGAACGACCTATCGGTTTTATGGACGAGCTCGGTTACACAAGACCCGAGCGTCCTTCCACGTTCGAATAAAGGCCAACGGGCAGCCACGGCTTTTAACGACTGAATTTGCCACTACCGAGATCCACGATTATCAGTGAAAGGGAACCATTGCTATGATATCATCTATCCTGTTACCCAACCTTTAATACAACAAATCTAATGTGGCTCCTTCACCATTTGATTCATCCTGAATTTCCGGCGTAATCATCTTGCATAGTAAATACGGACCAATTAGGCACCTGCTCACCTGCAGATCTATAGACCGACGACCCACCCAATCAAAACGGCGCATTTAGATCGTATTCGGCTGAAAAAGCAGGCTGCATTTGTTATACGAATCAGCTACACCGCGCTCTCTCCTATTCATCCCTATTGCGAGACATTCGTCATAACGGACATGCCGATCCCCCGCTAATATACACCAGCCCCATTGCCAAGCAACCCTCGGCCAGCTCTGTGGAGCAGCCACTGAGACATCTTCAGTCGGATGTTGCAGAACCAGGGTCCCGTGGCCGATCCTATAATTAGAGACCCTGCCTCGCCGCCGCAGCACCGGTCTTGCCCGGCTATAAAACAGTGGCCATTCCATTCCTTCATCAATCTTTGATTTAGGACCTACTCTTCTTCATCTTTCCAGATTCAAGAAAATTATCATACAATGAAGTTCACCGATGCCGTTGTTGCCTCGCTGCTCGCCACCAGCGCTGCTGCTTTCGACAAGTACCAACGTACGTACATCGTTCTATCTCGTATTCCACAACACTCACCCCGATCGCCTCAAAACTAATCACATCTGTCCAGCATGGGGTAAACGCGACTACGCCTGCGTCAACGTCTACCAAGGCATCCCCGACAACTCTACCGTAACAGCCGGACAAACCGTCCACCTCCGTTTCAACCGTGCCCCAACAACGCACTGCACAGACCCGCTGGCAAAGTACCCCGGCAGCAACTACACCGTCTTCCTGTACAACAACCCCGTGCGTAACCTGGACGCCATCCACTTTGACGCGCAGATCAAGATTGCTGGCGATATCCCCGAGTCTGCCGGTAAGGTGGATGTTAAGATCCCGAAGAACCTACCCAAGGTCAAGGATGGCTCGGTTTGGTATTTGAGATTGGACACTACGTTGGTGACGGCTCCTCAGGTAGGTAATTTCTTTTTTGGCCCCGTGCCCTGCCCTCTTGGGTATTGTAAATTGGACTAATGTCGGTCAATGATAGATGCCTTCTCTGTACAACGCTGCCGGACCGTTCACGATTACCTCGGCTTAGTATAGATTGACTTGGCTAGAGATTTGCAAGGGCAGGACCGAGAATTATAATCTTGACCAGAGTGTTGACCGCTGGAAGCTATTCTTGTTCAGCTTATATTATTTGTAGCATTGATGTATATAGCGGGATCTCCCATCAAATTCAATATTTTTTCTTGAATGATTGCCGTATGACAAGACTTATAGTCTCACAGCTGGCTAGTAGACTTGGGAATACCAGCAATACACTCAATCTCAACATCGGTACCCAGCGGCAAGGATGCCACACAGACACACGTGCGTGCCTAATCCACACCGTTAGTCATATACAAGACAAATCGCATCGAAATGGCTGTAACGTTGTAAGACATACCGGCATTGGCGCCTTGAAGAAGCTAGAGTACACCTCGTTCATTCCCGGGTAATCATTCATGCTCGTAAGGTAGATGTTGCACTTGACCACGTTGTCCAAGCTGGTTCCTGCAGCTTCCAGGACAGCGCGCATGTTGTTCAGGATTTGTTTCTGTATCCAGTGAAATTAGTCACTGAACATGTGTGTGGGGGGAGGGCGGCTAGGATTAGGCAGCCGGTGTAGTTCTCACGGTTCGCTCTTGGATGGGACCTTCCACGAGGTTGTCGGTCTTGGGGTCGCAGCCGATCTGGCCGGAGCAGAAGACATAATCACCCATGACGATGGCCTGGGAAAGGAAGGGGGGAGCCGGGGGGGCATTGGGGGTTGCGACGGCGGTCTTGGTGAAGGACATTTTGGAGGTCGTGTTGAGGGTAGGCTTGACACTGGGGATGGTGAAGGAAGTGGAATTGAAGTTGCGGTAGGCGTCGATGCTTAAGAAGTAATCACAAGCTTTGAAATGAGAAAATGTGGTCCGATATCGCTGAATAACTTCGTAGGGGTTGGAGGGGTTGCCGATGATTAATGTCGTGGATAAGTGGATACGAAACGTACAGTTCAGTGGCAGCCGATTTTTTCACGTATAATGCCAGATTAGCTATGTCAATGTGGGTACAGGTAACTTAAGACCTCGCCTTCGGTATGGGTACTCCGAATACTCCGATTACACCACACGACGGGTCAACATGGGGGCTTTCAGTTCTGTACGCTTGGACTTAGTCGATGAATCACTCCGTTTTCTGATGTATTTGCTAGTTCCCCGTCTTCCTATCTCATACTGGTCTACATGATGCACCAATCGGCCCTGCTTTGACAGATTCCACGGCGGTAGTTATCGACCCCGCGTTTCCCTGGGCCGGGCAACGGGCCGATGGCTTTTGGTTACACTTTCAACTACCCTAGGCGCTTTTGGGGCAGATTGGCGATCCGACGAATGAATATGTCGCGCCATTATCCACCAACCCACTTGCCAAGAGTCAGACTAGAATATCGCTCTGATTTACCTTGCATTGGGTTTGGACCAGATAGCACCGTACTCGGTGCTAGACTAGGTCCTCCATTTACCATTGTTCAAGTCGAGTTAACCTCCCATGGTCAATCGACTCTTCGCCAGCACAAGCTGCATCAACCCCGCATTCGCCTGACACTCGATCCCCAACTCTCTCGCGCGCCTCAAAATCCAACCATTAATATACTCAATTTCAGTCGCCCGTCCCTTCCGTACATCCTCTCGCATACTACTTGAATTCCCGGCCGTCTTCTCTATAGTGTCCATGACAAGAGCCTCCAACGAAGGAACCGAAAACCGATCTTTCTGTTCACCCGGCAGATCTTTGATTTCAGGTAAACTCCGAAAGACCACGGAAATCTCCCGAAGAAGACTCTGAATCAAGGGCTGCAAGTCAGGATTCTCCTTGATCACCCCATTGCGAACATCGAGGATAGCCGTGAGCGGATTCAGCACGCAGTTGGCCGCCAGCTTGAACAGCTGATTCTGCAATAACTCCTTCCACGCTAATTCCTCACAACGCAGAATAGGCGATCGCAATAACGTATCAAGCAGGAATTGCGGATCGGCTCGTCTCGAACTGCCAGTGCTACGTTCTTCACCATCCACAACCCCAATCGCGGCCGTCCCATTCAACCCGGACAAGATCGCCTCCGTGGATGACCGCAAGTAAACCCCGTGCCTCATAATCCCAAACATATACGTGGGCCGCCGCGCTTTATCTGTAAACACCCGCTCGTTTAAATCCTCAATTTGACCCATCCCATTCTGAAACAAACATATCGTAGACTGCGGGCCTAATCGGTGCCGGATAGGCTGTAAGGCTGATACGGTCGCCGAAGCCTTTACGGCGACGATTAGATTTTGGATTGGTTCCGAGGAAGGAGGTGATTTGGTGAGGAGCTCGGCATCGAAGCCGCTTTGTTCTTGGAGGGGTCCGTCTTCGTTGACTCGTAGACCGAGAGTCCAATTTCTGGAGGCGACCTCGTCGTAGAGGGTCTTGCGATGGACGAGGAGGTGCACTCGGGGTGGGGAGGGGAGGGAGCGTATTGAGTGGGCGAGGAAGGAACCGATGCTACCGAGTCCGAGGATGTGGACAGATTGGGGTGGGGCGGGCATGGTGGAGGGTGTCTATAGACTGGGAGTCTAGGGTAGACAGGGCCCTTTAAGAAGACCGGGGAGAGCCGCTAGGAGCTCTGGCGCGGAGAAGTGAAGCTCGGACTTCGCTGCGGGCGCCGACAAGGTCCCGCCCCACTTGGTCCAGGAACGAGACGCCCATTGAGAATGATCGAATGAAGCTTGAAAAGTAGTGCGATGACCCTTTTTCTTAGTAGCCCCGCAGATTGAGTTCAAATTGTCAAATCCCTCGGTCCTGGACCAACAAGCTCCTGCCTGAGCCTCGTGGGTCATTTGGATCGATCTTCACCAACTGGTTTACTTGGCTGGACTACACTACCGCATATTTAAATCTGTCATATGATCATCTTTCTCCATTTCAGAGTATTCAACTCTCGTAATGCATAACTGTGCATGAAATTCGTATCCTGGAGCTAGCTTGATCATGCAAATCAAACGCGAGAAAATAAATCAGTGGTCATGAATTCGCAAGTCATGCAGGCCGCCCTCTAAGTATGCAGGCACTATCATCATAAAACGCGCTCTCCAGAGGACGTTTTGTCAACCTCAAAATGAAATAGCATCAATCTCTGCTTTCGTCCGGCTAGCCGACTTCATTAATCATGGTAGGTCACGCTGAAAAGCTTGAAGCCCCAGTCCGGCACGCGCTTCCCGGTCGCGATCTTGAGACGGCCGACCCGGTCTACGTCGATGTACTGGTTACCATTGACATACTGCACGGCGTATCCCAGACCGTTACCCAAGAAGGTGATGCGCACAGGCTCGGCGTCCGAGGCCTGGTGGCTGTCCAGCAGAACACCACGAGCTCCCAGCCAGCGACCGTCGAGGGCGCTGGAGATGGTGAAGATCTCGCTCTCGGGATCCGAGGTGTAGTGGATGACCCAGCGCTGGTGTTTGGACTCGTGCTTCTCGGTCGCTGGGGTCACGGTCACGTAGTTGCGCTTGCCCGAGTTGGTCAACGCGGAGCCACCCTTCTCGGCAACGAGGTAGCGTCCTTCGGTCAAATAACCAACGACCTCCTTGAAACCGTCCTCAAACCAGAGGGCGTTGGTGGAGTTTGCCACCTGTTGGCCGTAGGGGACTGGGGGACGCGGGTTACCGAACTTGGACTGGCACTGGGATGAGCCGACGTAGTCGCCGTTGCTGTTGGTGATGGGGGTCTCGGCCTCGGGGATGTAAGGAAGAGACAAATCGGGCTATGCAAAGTTAGTGTCAAGTGTCAAGTGTCAAATTCGCAGAATGAGAGCTATTACATACGTTGTCCAGGTCCAGGGCATTGACCAGGTTGGACATGTGGGCACGTCGCCACGGAACCATCTGGTCGGTCTGGATGCCCTTGTACCCACGAGCCGTGAGCCACTGCTCCACGAAAAGGATCTGGGAGTTGTGATCGGCCCGCTCTGTAAAGACGCGATTGCCGCGAGTCCAGGGAGAGATCATGTAGAAAGGAACGCGGAAACCTAAAACATCAAGCCAATCAGAGGTGTCCCTCGGGTAGATAGAACCCTTGTTGACATACCAGGTCCCACAAAGACATCACCGAACACGCCCAATGGATCCTTCATCCATTCTCCGGGGGTACCCTGGGGCGAGTGGAAAGGAGCGACGTGGTCGCCAAAACCACCGGTCTCTGTACCAATCGTTAGCATACTCCAGCGAGAATGTAGGAATGCCAGTCTTGATCACGCTTACCATCGAAGCTGATCATGAGGAGGGTCGACGAGTACTTGGGGCTGTTGATGACCGCATCAACAACCTGCTTCTGCAGCCAGCCACCATCCTTGGGCTGGTAAGGCGGGTGCTCGGATAGCTCGGTCGGTCCAACAATGAAGCTGACCTCGGGTAGGGTACCATTGGCGGCGGCGGCGTAGAAGGCGTCCAGGCCCACGAAGGACATGCCTTTCTGAGCAAGAGGAGAATTCTTGCTCGCCTTCTGGTACTGTTGGAACCAGGCCAATGGATTATCGTCGAAGTTGTTGGTATCCTGGTACAGCTGCCACGAGACACCGGCCTCCTCGTAGAACTCGTAAACGGTCTTCCACTTCAGAGGGTAGCAGTTAATACCGTTGCCATCGCAGCCTGCACAAAAAGCGTTAGTCAAATCAAGTGACGAATAAGGGCACTGGCAGAATGACCTACCGGGCACTTCGTTGTTGTCAATGTACACACCACCCTCGGAGGAGTTTTGCGGGCTGCCGGGCACATTGACGGAGCCACTGACCAGAGTGACACGGTTAGGGTTGGTGGAAGTGATTTGTGATTCCTGTTCTTTGATTAGCATTCGTTGCTTGATTGTCATTTGATTATGAAAAGTGGTGAAGGCGTGCCTGGTACATGTCACCGGAGGTCCATCCCTCGGCAATGGCGAACTGAACGGGAATATCCTGGCGCTTGAAGTACCCCCAGCTCCAGGGAGTGTTGTTACGGGCCCAGTGGTTGTTCAGGCCATGGTTGAGGGCGGCCTGGTTATCATGGTAGCCGTTATCACCGGCAGCCATGCACTGAATGGCCTCATTCGAGTCCCCTCCCTTATAGCCTAGGTACCAGGGCAGAAGAGTGTTGGTAGCGGTAGACATGCTCGGGTCAACGACTCTATCAGAAGAGCGAGTCAGAAGAGGAGATTCGTGCAGGAAAAGACACGGGCTAAACATGTAGCTATGTGTATTTTTGGAAGACTCACTGGTTCCAGACCGACTGGCCATCGGAGTTGACCTGGACATTGGGGTCGTTGAAGCCACGGACACCGGCCATGGTACCAAAGTACTGTTCGCACAATTCAAGTCAGCCATTATCTTGGGTAGTGTTGTCACTCCTCACGATGAGGGGAAATCAGTCCGGAGAAGTAAGACTTACGGTATCCCACGCGCGATTCTCCTGCATGAAAATGACGACATGCTCAATATCGCGCAGGGAGCCCGCGGTGACGGGGGAGCTCCCCAATAGCACGGCAAGGACAGTTCCGAGGAGCAACACCATGGTGATGGATGGTGAAGTTACCGTGCGGAGAGAGGAAGAAAAGTGAGACGAAGAGAGAAGATGTGAAGAAATCGGAGAAGCAGGGAAAATCAAGCTCCTTCTTTTAAGAGCTCACCCGTCGTTCGGGGCACATCGGGTTGCACCAACGTAACCGATAGGCAAGGTTACAGAAGAAGGATCTTCGCACTTCGCACCGCAGGCTAATATGACTTGACTCTTCAGAACCCGCGGTGAGGTTGGAGAGAGTTGAGATACTAGGGGTTACATTCTTGAGTCCAATCTGCGCTGCGGGGAGCCCCACGTGAGGAAGCGGTGGTTGCTCATGACGCCGACTGGTTTGGGTCTAGTTTAAAGGTTGGAATACTCTAGGAGGGATTGGGAATAGATTCAAGGGTGTTTCAGGGCACACTAGCCCGTGGTTGGCGTCAGGGTCAGCTTGTTTTTGTTTCCGCGGCGATTCCATGACCGCCGTCTCGAAGATGCGGTTGGCCGAGAGTTCTCCAAGTGGGGAAAGATGAGGAGAAGAGGGGGAAAAGATGATCAGAGGGGATCAGAGCGGATCGGGGGAGGACATGGACAGTGGGCGAATCAAATCTGAGGGGAACCCAATCAGAAAATCGGAATCCCCGCGAAGAATCCTGCCCGAACTATATCGGGGAAGCTGCAGGGTCTACTCTGTGGAGGTTAAAATATGATAAGACCTTTCTGATGACCTGGTAGTGATATTCTCTGGGCATATTCGAATTTGGATCTATACCATCCAGACGAGTCCATGAATTTCTGGTTATGAGCAGTCCATACTACTGCATACTACTGCCTAGGACTTGATTACTCCCATTGTTGATCGGCGGGTCGAAAGGGTCGAATCTCCACTCCCCACTTCCTTCGCCAAGCACGTGGAGGACTGCGACATTGTGACTGCTTCCCCATGGATGCACACCCTTGATTTCTCTCCTCCACTCTCTTGACCAGCTCACCATTTTCCATCTTGATTTCGCTTCGATCCGCTCTCAAAGTCACCCTACTGGCACCCTCCGGACACCTACCAGCCATACCTTACTCCACCGAGGTCCTCGCCATCGGCAAGGGCGCCGAAGGCCAGTGCGGCCGGGGATAAGCATCTCCCCCCAACTCCGTGCAGGTGATCGACTTTCATCTTGATCCAGCTTGTCACCAACTCGGACTCAGTCCCATTCAAAGGCAATCTGAATGCTGTCTCTGCCAATTTCTCCACGATTGACCGTTTTGGTGAGCGATGGAGCGGCAGAACAGTCGGCGGCGGAGGTCACCACCGACGCAGGAACCAGCCTCTAAGGAGCAGCCCGTCACACCACATCAAAAGATCTGGTCAGTGCGGACACGGTTTCTGATAGGTTCTCTCGTCGCGTGCCTGTTCATGATGGCATTTTCTATCATTCATCCTACTATTCATCTCTGCTGGTCTGACTGGATTGCTCCGCTCCAAACACGCCCTTCGCAGTATCTATCCGCTGCCAATCGTCCCCGCATAGAGCTTCACCCGGAAGATCATGTGTATCGTCCGCCAGTCACACACCATCTCGATTGGCGTATTACTTCGGGCCAGCGCAGACCCGATGGCGTCTTGAAACAGATTTATCTGATCAATGGTGTGTTCCTGAATATGTGTAATCATTTCGCATCTCTGACCCGTTCCATATAGATCTCTTCCCCGGCCCCACTATCGAGACCCGCTCCGGGGATACCCTCTTCATTACCGTAACCAACGCGGTAGAGGAAGAATCAATTGCCCTACATTGGCATGGCATCCATGTAGCCAGTATGTACATAAAATTTGCGTTTGCATCGATATCATGTAATTTTCTAAACAGACCCACTTGCTGACCCCTGACAGATGCCATGGATGGCGCCGCGGGGGTTTCACAATGTCCCATTGCGCCCGGCGCGCAATTCATCTATAATGTCACAATCCCTGCCGATCAGAGCGGTACCTTTTGGTACCATGCCCATTCGGGTGTCTTACGCGGGGATGGTCTCTACGGCGGACTGGTTGTTCATGCCCCCGCGGCCAAGAGTACCGTAAGAGGATTGATGTCGCGTGCTCGTGGAGATGCACAGGAATTCAATTATGAAAAGGAGCTTCTACTTCTTATTGGAGACTGGTACCACCGGCCGGCCAAAGATGTCTTGGCTTGGTACAAGCTCCCTGGAAATTTTGCGAATGAGGTGCGTTAATTCTGGAAGGATAGCAAAAAAGGGAGTGTGATCTAAATCTCTCTTCTCTGTTCTAGCCGGTGCCGGACTCCTTGCTGGTCAATGGAGTGGGCCACTTCGAATGCTCCATGGCCGTTCCTGCCCGTCCAGTCGATTGTATTGAGCAGCTGGCTAACACCTCATTCTTGGATCTTGAGCCGGACATGGCCTATCGAATCCGAGTCGTGAACACTGGGTATGTGAACACCGGAGCCATCATAATGTTAATTACTGATCCAAATACAGCTCCCTGGCAGGCTTGTCACTGGTATTCGACCAAGAAAACATTGATCTCATTCAGGTGGACAGCATTGACGTCGAGCGCTCCCACCAGGAAGGTCTCAACTCCGCAGGTGTCTTATACCCTGGCCAGCGCATGGATTTTGTAATCCGTACTTCATCGCACCAAGAATCATCTTCCATGATGGTGCAACTGGATCAGGGGTTGGACCCCCCTCCCCCCATCATGTCATGGTTGTGAATCAATTGCTTACTTGCTGTAGATGTTTCAAGTACAGTAATCCTGCACTCACCCCAGACCAGACCTTCCCGATCCATTACCGCTCCGCATCAATCTCCAGCACCGCCGAAATCTCAACACCCAAAGTACGAAATCATACCAATCTCGAGGATGTACCCTCCGCTCCTTCGATTCTGAAACGCCTACCTCCCAAAGCCCAACAAACGCACGTTGTCTACACCAAGATCCAGAAAATGGCTCGAAATCACAATATCCCCGAGGGCTATTTCAACCAAACTACCTGGAAACCCCAGAGTAGCCCTCCCGTGCCGTTAATCGGTCTCCCCCGAGAGCGCTGGGACTCGAATCAACTCGCCATCTCAACCGGGCCCGAAGCTGCATGGGTAGACTTTGTCGTAAACAACCTAGACGAAGGCCCCCACCCCTTCCATCTAGTAAGTAAACTCACGCCCTCCCTCTCTCCTCTCAGTCCCTCCAAAAGCTCCCATTTGCTAAGACGTCCCCAGCACGGCCACCACTTCTACATCCTAACAATCCAAGAATCCACCTACGGCTGGGGTTCCTACGACCCCTTCACAGACCCTTACCCACCCGGCCTAGCACCAAACCCCGAATCCACCCCGGAAACCGATCCGCCAACCCCAGCAGATCCCTCATACCAACCCTACGATCTCTCCCGTGCCACCCTCCGCGATACAGTCCAGATACCTAGTCGCGGGTACGCAGTGCTGCGCTTCCGCGCTGACAACCCGGGCGTGTGGCTATTCCATTGTCATATTTTGTGGCATTTGGCGACGGGGATGGCGATGGTTATCGATGTTATGGGAGATTCGGCGGGGAGGGTTGCGCATGATATTTCCATGTTAGTGGGTGCCGGAGGCGGAGTGTGTTCGGTCTAGGGACATGGTAGAGATTTACATATTTAGCATGGGGTAAAGTAAAAGAACAGCTACAGACACATCTATGAACATCGTATCGCATTTACGGCCACTTTGCAGTGGAGTATATGTCCTGAAATCAATTGTAGAATAGAATCCCTTAATATCTCTCCAGGTGTATCGGGGAGTAAGAATGTAAAATTCCAGAACATCTCCGCAACGCCAAAAGGAAGGTACAAGATCAAGTCATGAAAAGTAGGAGGAAGCCAACGTACGCCACCATCGCCAATGCAATACCATGGCCCTGATAAGCATGTTTGCGGGCCTTCAAACGCCAAAGTAGATCCCAAGCAATTGCGCTATCGAGTGCGAGGACATCAAAGTCCGGAAAAAAATGAATGGCTAAAAGGGAAGACCAGCTTCGCCGGGTTTGTGGTTGTACGAGTACATGGCTTAAGGGGTCAGAACAGGTAAAAAGAACGGGTATGCATGGGTGTCTCAGGCAGACCATTCGAGGACTTCCAGGGCACACATGACCAGGATAAGAGTCGAGGGGAGAATCCTAGAGTAAGAGTTAGTTAAATGGTTGACAGTGATGAAGACGACGAAAGGGGTTTAAACATACCAGACAACGTAGCTCTGGAATAGTAACTTCGACATTGCCCCCACATAAACATTATTGATCTGGCAAATCTGCGCCAACTGCAGCGCCGATGGCGCACCGGTAAGCAGGAAGCACACGATGATGAAAATCGGGTCGTCCATAATACTAATAGGCACAAATTTGGCCATCAGCGCCAGCAGTGGGGCCATAATGAGCGTCGGCAGGAGCATACGCGCGACCAGCGAGGCGATAATCAGCTTACGCTCCGCACTGGGATGTTCCACGTCAGCCAGATTCTCCTCAGACAATGTGTTGCGTGCGAGGTTCGCGCCGAGAACGACCAGGATCAGGGGAACTGCGACTTGCGCGTTCTGGTCGATAGCGCGAGTCACCGAGTTTCGGATAAAGGTGCCTTCGTCGAAGAAGAGGTGTTGTAGGGATGGCACGGAGGCTACAATCACGGAGACGAGCATCGCCCACAACGGTGGGTTCATAAAGTCCCATGCACCGTGGAGGAATCGAGACACCCCGCGCGTCGTGGTAGAGAGGACCTTTTGGGCCTTGGGGGGTAAACGTCCGTACAGCGCGTCCGTCTTCTTCTCCCAGGCGCCGCGAATATGCTCACCGCGTCGACGGAGAGAGCTCTTGCAGCGCTGAAGGAAGGTCTTGTCAGCCGCATGGGATTGACGTGCGGTGGCTTCAACGTCGGGGAAGGAGAGGATGTCGACTCCGGTATTTTGACGCGGCAAGAATGGACCAGCGGGTGGTGGCCCCAAGACCGATGGTGGCGCATGCGAGTCTTCTTGCTGGTCCAATTCATCATGGGAATGGATCGATGATACCTTGGTGTATGAATAGGCACGAGTCGATACGGGCGTTTGGTCCCCGGAGTGGAATCGACTACTGCCACCCGGAGAACGGTGGGGATCGTCGGAACTGCGTGTGCGGACTAAGGGTTCATCTGGATCGGTCTGATCTGGGTTGTCGCTGTACCGTGCCTGGCCTTGCTCAATGCGCGACTGGCCAGTTTCCTCGCCCTCTGCGTCCTCCAAGTATCGGTCCTTGGGAGCCAAGAGGATGTGATAACCCCAACTCCAGCGAACGAGCTGTCCCAACTGCTGGAAGATGAGCAGATAGAGGATACCTCGAGCTGCCACTTCGTCATCGTTATCGTTCGGGATGCGGTCCCAGTGGAGGCCCTTGAGGGTTTGGGAGAGGGACATGACGAGGGAGATGGGAAGGGAGTTGGAGTTTCCAAACACCTGTTGTAACAGATACCATTAGTATGTATCCTTTATTAGAGCCCATAATATAGATCTGGACATACCGCCATCGCCGCCACAAAGTTCGACTGGCGCTTCTTGAAACGGAAGCATCGCGCAATCACAAAGGCGCAAAGGTATGAAACGACGGTCTGCACGATGAAGATCACGGGGATAATCGCCAAATCGGCGAGGGTTTCGGCGGTCAATTGAGAGCCCAACTTGATGAAAACTATCGACCGCATTAGTTATCGCGACCGAGCCACTCATCGTCACCACTTTCCGCTGGTCGGGGCCATGTCATACTCAGGCAGGGGGTAAACAGTGTCACGTTGAGATTCGCCACCAGCTTCTGCGCTTCGGCATCGAACATGCCCTGTCGGGCAGCAAAATAGCCTGGCAAACTGACACAGACAACTTCCAACACGGCCTCAAAAACGAGGAGCACGAGATGGAAAAAGGGGGGGTGTTGTGAGGGAGCGCCGGCGATAAAGCTGGAGCTGGAGCTTGCCGCGCTTATGGCGGCGGATGCCATCGGGTTCTGGGGAGAGAAGGCATTGCTCTGGAACGACCGGGGCAGAGTAAAAATGGCCATCGATAGGGGGGGGACGATGGAGAAGATGAGCAAGAGAAACAAGAGAGAGAGAGAGAGAAGGACTGGGGTGTCCGTGGCGGAGGGGTGAAAAACCAAAAGCTGGAGGAGAAGGTTAATGATCCCGAATCTCGATTCCTCATTCCTTGGCCCAGGTTGCGCGACCCGCTTTAACCATGGATTGGTCTAAATGACGCCCAACCCGGTCGGATTGGGGATGATTGGTAGGGTTTGGTCTTGAAAGATAATTCAATAACCAAATTGTCGTAATTGCTATGTGGGTTTCTTGTCTACAAATGCTGGACTGCTGATATAGAGATGAAAGCTCCCGATCAAATTGTGCTGGGATGACAGCATGATAACGTCGATCACGTATACCGTAGCCAAGAGTGGCAGCTCCTCGCAGCAGGCAGGATCATGCCGATCATCGTCAACGGGGAACAAGATTCGCCATCGTCCATATATGATCATACAGTACTCTAGTTCACTAGCTAGCGTATTATGATCTGTGGCTTGCACTGCCGCTATTTAACCAAAGTTCCCCACCAAACCGGTCTCTATTGCTCTTGTTGCCAAGAAATCCCTAGTGACGTCGCTGCTTATCGCCAGCAAATCATTGCGGGTCTCTCGCTCACGTTGACTGGCCCGTGCAGCTAATTGGGGCTGAGTCGGTGGTTGAACTACGGGAATCCGCGATTTGTGCTTGATATACGTTTCTTATCTTTGCATCTTTGGTGCGGAGTACCAATGGGGCGCAAAAGTCTGTGTGCATACCGCTTCCGCCACCCTACCCTATCAAATATATATATCCATGGCAATATATCCTACACCACCAATTCATATTAGATCTAGAAGAAATTTTGTATGCCGAATAATTAGGTTCATATACAAATTTCCCACACTTAATACCTATTATTTACACACAATCTATCTATCCTTCTCCGTATACTTAATATTAACGTATCAATCTTCGCCTAATTATCCTATACAGCACTAATACTCTCTTTAAAATAGGCCTAATCGGCTTTTGATCTTCCTATTTACAGGTCTGGGTACATACGGAAACGTTAACGCTTAAGCATGTTCCACAACGGTTTAATAGGGTTTAAATCAGGAGAGTGTGTAGGCCAATCTTCAACGTATGTCCTGGATGCTCTTTAAACCACTCTTCAACGTATATCCCGGATGCTCTTTAAACCACTCTTACGTATCCTTCGCGACATAAATCCTTACGTTATCTTGCTGAAATATTATCCTAGGTTGATAGATTGGAAGTTCTTCGAGCGCTTCCATAAAACTCCGGCGTGAAGAATAACAAGATTGTAGGTCTTTGTTGGGGTGATGGGTGGTGGGGCTAAATGTACACAGGCTTTTGCTAAGGTGGTGTAGTTACAGTAGTGCGGAGTAGTTACAGTAGTTAACTTAAATGCTACCAATGTATCATATGATGTGCTAGTCTCAAATGTGCAATGCTTTTATTATGCGACTACGAACATGACACAACCCATGCACGTCCGACGACTCTCTCACAGAATGGTATATTACAACAGAAATGTCTCTTCTGTCCAAAGAAGAGTTTCAAACAAAACAAAGAAATAAGATAAAAAAGAAAGCACAACGCCCTTGCTGTATCCCCAGTCCGGTATGGCCTTGCCACCCCTTGGCAGGCAGGCATTATTCACCGAGGATACCGCAAAGCAGCCGTCCGTACGACAGCTCAGTCTTCCCCGACAAAGCCTAGCTTCTCACCCATCTTGATCCGTTGGCCCTTCTCAATGGCCCAGTTCCAGCCGTCGGGTCGCTCTTTGTCCGGCCAGCCAGCATCGAACGATTTCCGACCGCCCAGGGGAGCCTCGAACACCAGCACCACCGTGCTGCCCAGCTGGAACCCGCCCATCTCCTCACCGCGCCGCAGCGGGTGTCCACCCAGCGTGCGGCTGGCATGGGCATACGTAGCCTCGACGAATCCGGGGTCGGTTTCGCCCCGCTCCGCCGCCCGGGCTGCAGCCAAATCCGCCGCAGTGTCGGTCAGCAGGCTGTTGGTGCGCAGTTCCGAATCAAAGTTGATTTTGATCGAGCCCACATTGGTTGCGCCGACCGGAATGTAACTGAAGAAGCCCCAACGCCAACGGCCAAGTAGGGCCACACGCTCGTTCAAGGTGAACAGTCCGGGCAGGGTGCGCTGCAGATAGGGCGAGACAGAGTAGAGTTCACCTGCAAAGTGACGGCGGCTCTCCACCACCCATTCGGTGGGGGAATGGAAACGGTGATAGTCACCGGGGGCCAAGTAAATCACCACATAGAACAATGCGTGGTTGACGGCCTCCTTGGACGCAAACCATGAAGTTCCCTCTCCGCGGGCCAGCTCTTCTTGGACTTGAACCTCGGACGTCGTCTTTGAGGGAGTGGATGCATCAATCGATGCCCGTCTCTTGGCTGGGGCACCCGATTCACCGGACAGTAGCGATGGTAGAGTGTAGGAAATACCGTTCACGCTGGCAAATTCCTCATCGGCCTTCATATTCTCGACATCCTTGTGGGTATCTTTGATCGCGGGGTCAGACATGCGATTGCTGTGGTCGGCAGTGACGGGCGTAGCTGCACCCAAAAGCGCATCCAGACTGTAGGTCATGCCCTTGACTTGTTCCACCTCACCCCGCTCGATCATACCAAATTGGAGAATGCGTCCATCCGAGGGAGATATGAGTGCACGCGGGTCGGGGTCGAGAGGGCGGACGCCGGGCTTCAGCTTGCGATAAAAGAAGGCGGCAAGGTTGGGGTAGACGTGAAGATCGGGCTCAGCGACCTCGCTGAGGTTCACGCCGAAGACCCATGAGTAGAGCTTGAATCCAGGGACGCGGAAGTAGTATGGCAATTCGATCTCGTTGAACCGACCCCATAAACGCGAGATGGCCTTCAGGGGCAGAGTCGACATGACCTGGACCTGCCAGGGACCCGTCGGCACGACTCGAGGGCGTCGTGGTGGCCGCTTTCCATTCTCCCAGGCATCACCTGCCTCATCCTGCGCATTACGGTCACGTTCAGCACGCTGCGACTTGTAGAAGTGTAGTACCCCGAGCAGACCGATTCCGAGACCGACGGGAATCGGGTACCATTCCACCTTGGTGTTCCTCAGCGCAAACCGCAGCCTCGATCCAAACCCACCCCTTGCCTTTCCTTCATGATTGTTTTCTTTTTGGTATTGTTTCCATGATTTGGACGAAAACTGGCGAACGCTGGCCTTGTGGCGGGCAGTTGCCCGAAACGAGAGGACCTCCATCGACGTAGCAACCCCACTCACAGGGGCAGCAGCACGGCACTGGAGAAATGTTGAGTGATTGAGAAGGCGCTTGGCCATCGTGCAATTTAGTCCATTAGAGCTCTACGGCGAGGGTAGTAGACCTCTTTGGAGCTTCTCAGGAGAACGTTTTTCGTCCGCCGAATCAGGAAATGCGTTTGAACCGACTGACCGCCTGGGGGACACCTGGCAGAATGGCACGTGGATGTGTTGCGATTGAGCTGTCGCAATCGCATCAACTCGTTTATTTCTCTTCGAGGGCTTTGTTTGCCAGGGTAGAGGTATCTTTTGCTGATTTCCGGCATTTCCACATACCTTTGTACATTATCGTTGGTCATACTTCCTCCGGTGCATGACGTTGGACACGATACCGGCGAATAGCTTACTCTTATCGCCCTGGCCTTGGCTTCCTGCCAGATCTCCAGAGTGACCGTCACAACTAATGCGCCAACGGGCGTCAACTGATTTACACAGAGATTGAACCCGGTCCGAGCAGGGAAGTTTCCGTCTGGACTTCTCTCTCTTTCCTGCGACCGTCGTATTGCTGTTCTTCCCTCCGAGCCACCTCACCAACTCCAAGCAATCGCGACTTGATATTCTCCACGTCGAGGATACAACAACTATCTTGTCTATCAGCACCCGAACCGCAGAGTCGCTGCAGCCCAGCCACCGGAATCTTAGTCTTCGATCTCCTAATTTTACACGTTTGGTCCCCGTCTCATACGACACAGCTTGAACTCGATCACTGCACACATGGCTTCCCACGAGATACCCGGTGCTGCTGCCGCTGCAACTAGTGGTGGGAATGATTCGAGTGTACGGACTGTCACCATCCACATACTGTCTCCTTCGCATCCAGCTCCAAGTCGCTTCACATTTCGGGACTTGCCATTGGAAACCACTGTTGGAGAATTGCGAGCACGCATCACCCACTCCTTCCCGAATCACCCTCCACCATCAACTCAGAGGTTGATTTATCGAGGAAGGCCTTTGACGAATAACAATAATACCATGGCAGATATTTTTCGCTCCGTTGAGGTTGGTCTTAGCCATGAGAACTCCAATTTGCTTCATGTCTATCGGATTGTATCTGACCAAACCTACTTTAGGAAACCGAGCACTCGATACACATGGTCTTGCCACCCCCTTCAGCGCCGGTGCCTGCTCACAATAGTGCCTCTATTTCCGGAGCTATTAGCCACACGGATAGATTGAGTCAACTTTCGAATTCCATCGCGGCCAATAGTACTGCCCTACCTCAGGGTGCGGGGGATGGCCTACGATTCCGCGGTCTACCAACGCCGACCACTATACACGAGCGACACTTGGAGCAAGTTTCGAACATCTTGAATAGGGCCACATCCGCCACGGCCCCATTCTCATCATTGAACATGAACATGCCCAACCCAACCGATTTTGGCGAGTACGAAGACTTGCGCAGGCAAGTTGGAAGCGTAGAGCATAGCCTGGATCACAGCTTCGTTCCTTCACACGAGACCTTGTACCAACTACGATCGCGAACCGAGCAATTACTACAGCGCCATGGACACTTGCAGGGGTATACTCCTCATACCTCTATCCAAGCATTGCTGCAGCGTATCATTGCCCTTTATCAGCGTGTTGATAGTCTGCCCTCCAATCGCGACGCACATTCAGCAACGCCCGCGGACTCTTTCCAATCACCGCTACAGGTCTTCCTGGCCACCGGACCAGATGGTCGTCAGAGCTTGATTATGCCCATAAACAGCGCGAATGTGTTTCCACTGTCTACCCCCATCCCACAGCCTGGAAGTACCCCTACAGTCCCCATTGAGCATCACAATGTCCATCACCCTGCCCCAGCAGGTCAAAACCCGGCAGCTATGCAAGATATTGTCCGCCAGGCAGTCATCAATCAGCAGCGACGTCGTGAAGTCGAGAACGTTCCTGCGGGGCAATATCTGCGCCGAATCTGGCTCTTCATTCGACTGTACTTTTGTATCTACATGATCAGCAGTTCTGGCACCTGGGCGCGTGTGTTCCTCGTCACCGGTGCAGTACTGATCGCTCTGCTATCAGATACTGAAATCCCTCGCCGGCTGCAAGGAATGCTGGTTGAGCCCATCCAGCGCCATCTCGAAGGTCTCGCCAACATAGGCGGCCCAGCAGATCGAACCACACCGGCTGCTGGAGACCAAAATGCCTCAACTGCTCAGGCCGGTGGTAATGCTGATAACACGATTCGTGGTGAATTATGGAGCAGTGTTCGCCGTATTGAACGAGCTATCGTGTTACTGCTCGCAAGTCTTATTCCGGGCATTGGTGAACGGCAGGTAGAGGCACGGAACGCGGCCGAGGCAGAAGCTGAGCGTCTTCGTCAAGAGGGACAGCAGCGGCTACAGGAACAGCAGCGGCAAGAGGAAGCCCGGGCCGCGCAGGCTGAGCCTCAGCCTGATATCGTTGCAGATGGGGCAGTGGAAACTAATGCCACCGTCGACAGCGGAGCCACCGAGCAGCCGCAGCCCGAGCAAGCTGTTCCCGCATAGACCAGCCAAGAAGAGAAGAAACTAAAGTACCATTATGGAAACAAAAATTTGACAACATTGTCAGCGCCGCAGCGCCAAATGTGGGCTTACCCGCTGCATCATTTTATTTACAGTATCTTGTCTAGCATAACTAGCCGCATCACTACCGTTCTACTCCGAATTGGCTTAAACCGTCTTCTTGAGCCTGCGGTCTACTTTAATTCGAACCACAGCTGCCAAGACCGTAGCGGCCGTTGCCATCGAGCCAGCGTAGAAAATAGCGGGTCTATATGCACCAACACCACCTTCTTGTCCACCAGACGCATTGAGGATATAACCCGCAATCGGTGCACCCTACCAATAAACAATCAAATTAGTCATGAGCATCATGGTATAAGTTTAAAAAGACCCAAGAGATTGTAACTCACCAAGAGATATCCGCCAAGCCACCCACTCACAATCATGCCCACCGCAACTGACACTCTTGCCGAACCAAACACATTGCCCACAACAGTCGGCATCGTCGAAAAGAATCCACCATTCGCAGACCCGTTGATTATCACAAACGCAATCAACGGCCCAATCGAATTAGACACGGGCCAAAGTACAAAGATACTCAGCGCACTCAGCAACAACGACAAGAATAGCGTATTCAAAGAGCCGAGCTTATCACACGCAAACCCACACGACAGACGCCCAATAGCAGAGGAGAAGTTGAATGCTGCGACTAGACCCGCCCCGGCACTGGACGGTAGACCGAGACTGTTGGTGTACAGAGGGAGGAAGAACGCTGGTACGAAGAGGGGGAATGTGCCGATGGCGCCGACGGCGAAGAGGACGGAGAAGCGGACATCTTTGAAGAGGCTCCATTCAACCATTTTAGTGGGTTTGATAGGGGCGCGCTCTTTGATCAGGTAGGCGGCTGGAAGGCCGGTGGCCATGATCAGGAAGCCGAGGATGCGGAAGGTCCAGGCTATGCCGACGCTCTGGAGGAGGGCGTCCAGGATGAAGCTGATCACCGTGCCTCCGAGGCCTCCTCCGGCGTAAACGATGCCGTTCGCGATGCCGCGCTTGGCTTTGAAGTATTGCGCCGGTGTCACGGAGACAACCTACAGCCATTGTTAGTGAAAGGGAACGTATACTTCGGCGTCAAGTATATCTCACCATGAAACACAGACTAGTACCAAGTCCACCAACAAAGCCCCACGTCATGAACAATCCCACAATGCTATCGGTCGCAAACCCACTGAGAATACTTCCCAGTCCGAGCAAGAAAATACCCAATAACGCGGTAATCCGCGCCCCAATCTTCCGGATAACGGTCGCGTTCGGCACCGCAAGCAACGAAATACACGCCGGACACAATGACCCGACGAACGCCAGAGTCGATGATGAATAACCCTTCCGATCAACGAGTTCAGCCTGCATGACACCCCAAGTATAAGATGCCCCGACAAACCACCAGGTTACGACGGCACATGCAAAAATGAGAACCCAGCCATAACCTCCATCGGGTACTTGGGAATCTGCAATGAGCGATTGCTGCATCACATCGTCGGCGACGATGGACCCCGGTGCTGAAGAAGTAATTGGATTACGCTGTCGTTCTTCATTGGAGGTCTGGCCCAGGGTGGGGAGTTCAACTGCCGTAGTGGGCAGGGTGTGCGTGATAGTCGCCATGTGTGTGACTGCAGGGATGTTATGCAGCAACCTTAACCCAGTCGTAAAAGGAAATCAAGACAGGGGTTAAATTGTCTAAGTCTCAACTTGTACAGAATAGTTAACTATAAAGTTTTAGATTATTAATCTTTTCGGCTCGATTTTTTTCTAGATCTTCCATGCGTCATGAAGGGCGTGCACGTGACTGCGGCTACCCTCGGACTGCCTATTTAGGAAAGAGATCGAGGGTGCGACGAACATGAATGGCTACAGAGCTGATCCGACATAAACCTAGGGCTACTTGTGCTTAGACAATCTCTACGAGGGTCAGTGCAATGATATGGGCCCGAGGCGACGGGATATAATCTGATAACTTATGTATCTCTCTATATATTCGATGCAATATCTACCACCAACCTACTTGCTCACAGCTTGGTACCCAGTCTACCTCCCCCAGAGGCGGACGAATCCGCAATGACAGGCGGCTCAGTAGACGGTGCCATCGGGCCGGTGTTGAAAGACTCTTCGCCGTTGAAATGCCTGCAGCGATAAAGTACAATTAGCATAACCCAGAAACAAGTAAAATGCAACGGCCTGAAGAGTATAAACCAAATCCACGGGGGAAATGGGGAAAAAACTCACCATCCACGCTCGGCACCATCACTCAAGAAAGTACAATCTCCGTTCTTCGTACAATCCCATCCACCCCCAACACCCCGACCACCTTCCCAAGCCGGCACGCCCTGAGAACGAACAAACTGCGTGCCCTCAGCCAATAAAGCCTGGGGACGACTCTCATCTTTCTCCCTACACTCTCTCCGTTTGAAAGTGCTCATGCCCGCGGTGAACACATAAAAGTCCTCCTCAGAGCTATCTTCAGGCATCCGTCCGGTCAAAACACGGCCCATCGCAATAAGCGGCGCGGCATGTGCGCAGATCAGGATCGATTTCCCAGTGCGCTTCTCGACGGGGAGAGTAGCCTCCAGAGCGGTAATTTCTGCGTCGACATCGGCGATGATGCCTTCCAGTGCCGCGGCCACACGATTGTGTAGCTGGGCAATGGTCTCGCCACGGGTAGAGGGGTGCAGAAGCGGCATGTACCTGGTCTCCGGGGAAGACGGGACAATGAATGGGAAGTGAGTATGCATAGTGCTCGCAGTGGGGTGAGAAGGATGGTCGAAGAAGGTTGTTGGACCGAACCATTCACTGTGAATAGTGTCAATCACCGGAGCAAAAACATCAATGATTCGAGTTCTCCCTACCCTAAGCCATTCTCAATTCTCACATTAAAGTCGGCAGCTGGGTCTATTTCCCCGCGAGGAGCTGTTTTACTACCGGTAGACTTGGACTCTTGCTGTATCTTCTTGAGTGCCTCTACAGACGGCTGAATGGTCTGAAGACATCGGTAGAACGGACTCGAGTAGACTCGAAAGGGCTTCGGGTGGAAGTCTGGCCCGGCAATATGTACAGCAAGCTCATGTGACTGACGTACGCCGTGCGATGTCAGTGCTGGATCTGCTGGATTGCCCGTTGGAGTTGGAAATTGGGACTTGTAGGTGCCAGTGTGCACGTCAATCGTCCAGTTGAGGCGATGCTGGTAATAGGTTAGCGAATGATCACACGAGGCAATCTAGAACACGCGGGTAGATTCTGAGCACTCTCTCAGACACTGCTTACCCCATGGCGAGTAAGATATATCGTATCCAGCGGCATGGTGATCGTGAGGAATCAAAGACATGCTCGTCTTGCGGGGAAATATACGGGCAGAATGAGGAAAGGTACCAAGGCGGTGAACTCGAGCCTCGGTCCAGCTCGGGATTTTTTAACATCGGCCTATTGTGGATGGACTATTGAGCTACGCAAGGAATGATTAAATTGCAGACTAGAGTCGCCTGGCATTTGGACAAGAACCTTGTACTCTGTAGACTATGACATCGGGGTATTCTCCGCTACTCGTAAGATTACATTCCCAGGGCCCAGCCCAAGACATGCGAAACCAGTCAAAACAACAACTTTTTTTCGGATTGCTTTTTAAAGCGACTCCATCTAGTAGAAGAAGCCGAGGAGCTTGCCAGCAACGTGCTTGCGGCGAGCCTCCTCGTGGTCCATGATACCAGCGGAGGTGGTCAGGACGACGTAGCCGAACTGACGGGAGGGAAGGAGCTGGGTAGCCCACTTCTCGAGGTCACGGAGCTGGACGGGGTAGCGGGGGTTGATGACACCGCACTTGTTGAGACTGGAGCGAGAATATATCAGCATGAAGCTCAAAAAGAGCAGACGAAGCATAGAGAACTCACCGGCCGTTCAGCTGGATGACGATCTTGCCGGAGCGGTGGTCATCGACCTCCTCGAACTCGCCAATGTAGCCTGAAAGAAAAAATCAGTATGTCGCGAAAATTTAAAAGTCGCCAAATACTGAAGCATGAGCGCTTTGGAAACGTGTAAGATCTTCGCCAAGGGGTCAATCTATCGGGTACTTAAAAGGCAGACGTCGTAGGTTGTTGAGACCGGCCGCCTAGTTATCAACCCGAATAACAAAAAGGAAAACTACGAGTATTCCCCTTGGCGAGACCACTTTCCAAATGGAAATGGTAACAGTATTCACAGCGATAGGGATGGAAACGTACCGTGCTTCTGCATGACGGTGAGGAACTTGACGATGACCTTGGAAGAAGGACGGATCAGGACTTGGCGCTTGCCAGCCTTCTCGGCGTTGTTCATGGCGTTGAGGGCATCGTTGAGGACGGAAGTCTTGACCATTTTGGCGGCTGTGGAGAGTCGAGATTCTCAAATCGATCGGGAAGAGAGGATATGAGGTATCTGTTCGACGATGCGCAACAGAACCCCCTATCGCGACTGCGAACCTCGCAAGTAAATGCGAAGCTCTACGAGTCGAGAAGGGGTGTTCAATTGCAACTAAAGTCAGCCACCACTAGTCTTCGAGCGCAAAGAGTGCCCCTTCCTTGCAAAAGGAGTTCTTCAGCCCGTGCCGGGTTGGGAGATGCGTATCATCCTGCACGCCTGCTGTGATCGGGCAGATAAATCTCAAAATCGTAGGAGGACGACAGGATGATTGCATTCCCAGACTAGCTGAGAGGCTGGTGAGGGGAGAGGGCGTACATACCTCGAGGGAATGGTCCTTCGGTGTAGCGGGATGTCGAGAATGAAAAAGTTGCGGCGGTCGTCGAAGTTTGGTTTTCGCTGACTGTGCGGCTGCCCCCGTAGGGTTTGAAAGCTCTGCAACCCTTATCGGTACATAATCACGTGCTGATAACACGGACCAATCCCTGATGCCTTAGGCATCAGGCAGCCTCGCTCGTCCCCGGTTGTTGTACTTGGCTCAACCGTCAGGTTTCCTGTTGTTTACAAAAGAGAGGCTTCACGACTAGTGATGTAGAATGCAGATGAATCAGCTACACGTCGATACATGCAGAATTTCTTATCTCTATACAAGAGGATTGGAGAGGATGTCCATTGCAGTGGCATGGTCAGGGCCTAGGGATCGGGTCGGGGTCAAGGCCGGATTATACGATGAAGAGAGGTAACGGAAAAAAAACAGCTTTTCATGGCAGACTCTTTTTCTGAGCAAGGTTCAGACATGGTTCTGGGAGATACATGATTGGGAATACATAATTGTGTCGAGGGGAAGAAGATACATGAATTCTTTGGGCTACATGAGGTGCAATGCTATAAGGATGCGAAGGGGTCTTGGTCTAATTAAAAAACAGGGTAGGGAAAATTGAATGAGAAATATGATAAGAAGAGGGGGTGATACCAAGAAGAACGGACGAGGAGACGTGAGGGAGGGGATGGGATAGGGTCATTGCATGGTGTCATCAGGAGATCAGTCGCACCTGGGGAAGCAAGTGCTGGGAGATGGGAGGGCATGGGGAGTGCAGATGATGATCAACAAGGGGAGGGAGAGGACGATGAAATTGGGAATCTCATTGTCCAGGGTCGGGGAGGGTGCTATGGGGGATGGGAACACCTGGCACGAAAGTGTCCGCCAGCCATGGAGACAAGAATACTTACCGGCCATCAAGGTCCCTAATCCATGACAGGTCGGGTGGCCCCGTACTTTCATGAAGACTGGTCCCTGAAGCCTGAGCTTTCGCAAAACTATCCGCTCCACTTGTGCCAGCAAGATCGAGTCTTAATGGAACGGGAGAGGGCGAGGCACAGCGGAGGTTCTGTTGCCGACGGGATAAAACCAGTTGGTAACAATTTAAGCCATACCAGTGCTCATATTGATCTGGCGCTTGACCTGCTCCCGGGTCCAGCGAGCGGTCTCGATGGTCCGATCGCTATACTGGCGGGTGGTGCGAGTCTCCCGAACCAGGGTGGTAACCCAGTCGTTGCGGAAGTAGGCGGCGAGCTCACCGTTGGGGAAAGCGTCCGCGAGATCACCTATCACACCCATAGCAGAGCGCATCAAGCCCTCAGACCGGTTTCCTTCTTGGGAAATGATGTGGAGCAGCTGGAAGATGGACTCAACGAAGGGCTGGACGAGAGTAATCTGGGAGCTACCCTTGTAAGAGAGCAAGATGCCACCCCAAGCATCCATGATACCCTCACGCAGAGACACGATGTAGTCAACCATGTCATAAGGAAGATCAGAGCTTGTGGTAACAGAGGAGGCCTGCTGAAGAACCTGGCCAACGACGGGCAGGTAGTTATCGAAGTGGGGTGTTCCGATAGCCTGGGCGATATCTCCGAAGGTCTCCAAGATGGCGGGCTTGAGCTGGTTGGTGGAAGTCTAGTTGCAGAAGGTTAGCAAATGACTACTGATTATGTTTGAGCAGAATTTCGGACATACCCGGAGGATGTTGAGGAGGAGGTTCATGAAAGTGTCACAGTAAGGCTGGACCTTGTCGTTCAGGGCGCGGGCAATGTCGCTAACCAGGCCAATGGCCATGGAACACAAACCAGCCTCCTCCTGGTGCTCAAGAGCATTGTACAGGAAGGGGCTGAAAGACTCCATGTACTTGGCAAAGTCCTCATCCAGAGCGCTGGCAACGGCACCAACGGTGGCGAAAACGACATCGGGAACACTAGACTTGGTACCAACAGTGGTCAGAACGCTGAGCAGAACCTGCATGATGCGGTCGGCCTGAGGCTTGATCTCGAGTTCGAATCGTTGAACGATGGCCTGGGGTCAAAGTTAGTCGTGTTTACGAAGATGCTAGAGAGCGAAAGAAAACACCTACCAGAATGACACTGATCAAGCTAGTCTGCATCTCCTCGAGGAGAATACGGTCCTCCGTGCTCACGACCTGCTGCTGCATGGGGATGGTCTGCTCGAGACGTCCCAGAATGTGGTCCGACAGGCTGGCAACGGTGGGAAGGCTATCGTTGGCAGAGTTCATGACGAACGAGTTGAGAACCTCATATCCAGCGGTACGAAGCTGGTTATCAGCATCCTGTCTATTCGGGGATTAGTAAAGATGGATCAAGTTATCAGGTCCGGGGATGAAGTCTACATACCTCTCAGTCACTTGCATGAGAGACTTGACGCTCTCATCGAAGTGCTTGGACAAAGGGTTGGTCTGGGAACCGGCATCACCGGCAAATCGGTCGGCAACGTTCATGAGAGCCCAGCAGCAAGAGCTGGCAATCTTGGGGCTGCTAGCAAGGCCATTGAACAAGCAAGAGATGAGGGGCTGTAGGTGGACATCGGGGTCCAGAACCTCGGGGCAGCAGTCACACACGCGACCCAGGGCATAGGCAGTGGAATCTCGAACCTGGATAGAAGCGTCCTCCATCATGCCCAGAAGAACAGGAAGAGCCTGCTTAATCAAAGGCTCCAGCACAGTCGGCTCAGGGCCCTCCATGATACCACCGAAGGCAGCGACAGCAGCATCGCGACGGCGCCAGTCCTCGTTACGAATGTTCTCTTCGACAAAAGTGACAACGGGCTGGATGACATCACCCTGCACGCACTGGGCGTACAGCTGGAGAGCTTGATAAGCAGCACGCGACACGTTGTACTCGTTGTCATCAGCATCCTCATCCTGGCGGCACATGGCCTGCAAGAGGACGGGGATGACCTCACGAGCAGCCACGCGAGCAAATCCGTAGAACGGACGAGCTTCAACACCCTCTTGCTGAGCCTGTAACAAGAAACGAAAGTTAGTATGGGCATATCCAAGACTAAAACCGAGTGCGCAAAAATGACTGACCTCGGCATTGTCATCCTCGATAGCGATCTCCTCCTCGCAAACAGTGCACCAAAACTCGATGGCCAGCTTAGCGACATCCTCCTCCTCGCTCTTCATACCCATGATGCTGAGGCCAAAGAGAGCCTTCTCCATGTAGAAGCGCATCTTCTCATAGTATGCGCCCATAATCCGGTTCAGGCAGCCGAACGCACCAGCCTGCACACGGACCTCGTCAGCCTGGGTGGCCTCGCAGACTACCTGCATGATATAGTTGCGCTCGCCCTCGTTCTCCATGTTGGATCGCACACTTTCAAACCGATGTTAGTCAAGGTCGTGATGAAGAACCTCGGATACGTGAACTTACAAGTCAACGGCGTCACTAAGGGCGGCAATAGCGGCATAGCGAACGTCCATGTTCGGCTCCTCGCGCCGAGCACCCTGAACAACGGCAGTCAGGATGGCATTGGAGTGCGCAGTCAAGCTAGCGCGAAGGTCGGCATCTTGGGACTCGCAAATGAATCCAATAGTGGCAAGAGACGACTGCTTCAGGTTGTCGTTTCCACTGGCCACGTTCTGGACCAGGATGTTCATGAGGTCGGACCACTCATTTCGGGGGAGTTCGATAGCGGCGATCGAAACAATTAGCGTAGCGGCAGCATTCCCAGCTCGGGTATCGGATGCCAAGGTCTTGAGCGCGAGCTCCTTGACCTGTGTCTTGGTCTCGGGAGAAATTTGTTGGATCCATCGGGCCTGCACTTCACGGAGTTTGGTCTGGTCTCGGAAGGTGAAAGCGTTCTTCAAGGCGATACCGGCAGCAACACGGATGTGGGCAGGGCTCTCTTCGCTGGCCAGCTCCTGGCCTAGGGTGACAAGGTAGGTAGCCTAGGAAATCACACAAAGGATGTTAGATCGGGGGGACCGGAGGAGCGGAATTTGCGATAGTGGCCGAAGCAAAGGAAGGAGGGAATCAGAAGGGTTAAGGTTCACATACGAAGTCGACCTCCGCCGCATGGGCGAGCTGCTGCTCAGCATTGGTACGTTCCGCCGCATCTGCGGGTAGAAGAAAGACGGTCAGCGAGGGGCCACCACCACACCAGTCGAGTTCAAGGGGGCATATGGGAAGGTCTCATCCAGAGCTTATCAACGAAGGGGAAAGACATACCGGGCGACAAGGTGCTCTGCAACACCTGACGGGCATCCATGTTGTTTGCTTAGAGTAACGCAAAAAAGATGGAAGATGTGGGGGGGGGAGGGAAAGAGAGAGGGAGAAGAGGGAGAAAAGGAAAAAAAGGAAAGAAGACTGTAAAAAAGAAGAGAATCGAATCCCTCTTGGTGCCGTACGATCAACTGAAAGGGCGATAGGCACGCAAAAAATACAGTTGACTAGCAAGGTGGGCGGTGGTTGCAGGAGAATCCCTGGAGTGGTCAGTAGGTGGGAAGAGACGGGGTGTTTTTGTGGATATGACGAGGCATGCACCAGGTCTTTCCGCGAAGAGTCACAGAGAGAGAAAGGTGCCTTGAATGCACGCCCAGCGAAGTGTAGAAGGAGGGAGTCAAGATAGGACACTGGAGAAGCCCAGAGTGTCTGTTTGGCAAGAATAGAAATGATAGAAGGCAAATTTCGACGCCAGAGGGAACAGAACGAGGTGAGGTTCATCTTGAGAGAGGGCGCTGATTGGCGGCGCGGGGGGCCTCAGGCTGCACGTGAGAATTGCGGCCTCAGGCAGCCATGTCCCGAGTCGGCGCTGCTCAGATAAGCAAAGCTTTTTCCTTGTTTGGCGCTGTTTGATCTTAAGGAGACCCTGCAATAAATTGGACTTTGAAAAAAGTTTGTAGCTACTGATCACTCATTATATAACTCTGTATTTCTTTCTATACTGCCGGCCTTATTATCACTTCGGGGCGTAGGATTCTTTGTTTACACTCGACAGAGGGGCTCCCCTATTGTTTTGGTTTGCCCCTCCGTTTTGCTTGTTTTGATTTTCCTTCTTGAAGAAGGCACCCACACAGTTCAGCGTGTGGCCCTGGCGACAGGCTCCATTTAGCCCTGACCAGTGGCCACACACACAATTTCGCGCCACTCATGAACTATTTTTTACTGTGGAGACCACAAATGGATGTGTCAAAATAGTTCCTGCATGGACTCTCCCAGAAGATTCTTTTAGCTTTGGGGTTTCGATGGCCAAACTCGGCAAGGGGCAGTAAATTTCAAATGACACAGGAAGTTGAATCAGAACACCAACGTAGACTTCTACTACGATGCTCGTGCGAAGGGCTAGTAGGAAGAGTTGTAAAGAAATGAGAATCGAAAATTTCCTTCGGAATTAACGAAGTAGAAAGCGTGCAAAAAGGCACTATCCAGGACTTGCTATCGGCTAGGTCCACCCAACGCCGATAAATCCCTATGTACCATAGACACGCCTATTGGACAATAGCCATGACCACTAATCATATTCTTCGTCCTCGCCTTCTTCGTCTTCTTCGTCCTCTTCGTCTGCTGCTCCTTCCTCCTCGTATTCCTCTTCTTCCAACTCTGCATCCAAGTCCAAAACCTCGTAACGCATCATGTCGCCATACAACACACAGATAGCCCGACGACCCTGCCGCCCATTGACGTCAATGTGCAGAGGGTTTGCCTTCGGGCCCGATGATGCAAAGATATGTATGACAATATCTGTCTCTTCCAAGAGAGATCCGATGTCCAGTGGTGTGGGCTGGACGGTTGGTTTCGCCGTAGTGGGATGAGGCTCGTTGTTAAGGTAATTTAAAGGTACCGCTAAGGGTCCGCCTTTATCAGACGTCTCTAGAACCGACGCGGGCTGGAAGGGAAGGTTCAGAAGATAATTACTTTCGCTGTCGGCGTAGAGAATCATGAGAGTATCATCCTCGACAAATTGTAGCTGAGTCACCGCTCCTTCTTTGAATGAAAGAGCGGCAACCGACATTTCCCGAGTTGAGCTGACTCCGTTGACCGAATCAAGGACAATGCGATAAATGTAAACTGGAGATAAATGTCAACGACCAAGTAGAGAAAAGAAGAATCTCGATAGGCCTCGTACCTAGCGACTTGATACTGGCCGATCTTGCGGCCACATAGATAGAGCAAGGTCGCCCTTTCACCGTTTCCTTTAAAAGCAGTTAGTTCCAGGTCTGCAGGAGACGAAAGAGAATGAGGGCCTCCAACAAGATCTTACCTCGTAGCAAATCTTGACATCAATAACATTGCGGTCACAGTCCTTGTGTAGTGTAAGTGGAGACCGATGCAGGATGCCTCGCCTTTGCGTTAGTGCAATTTCTGCGAACACTTTCTCAAATTGAATTCCCAGACGCCGCGTCAAATCGTTCAATTTTGGTGCGTCCACAGAAGTTCCGTCTCCGCCTTCTGCCTGGACCTGCTTTTGTTGGTTCAGCAATGCCTTGAATGTGTCATAGAAGGACCGATCATGACCATCTGGCAGCCACTTGTCCGTGACGGGTGGAGGCACCTGCGGCACTCCAATCATGGGGAGTTGACGGATGAAGTTACGCAGAACGCTCTTGCGCAATGCCCCGGTTATGTATTTCACGGTTGGAGGAACGTCGAAAAGATCTCGTTTCTCAAGGAGTTCATCCCATGTTTGTGAGAGGGGTTCGCTGCCCAATATCATGATCTCGTGGCGGAGCCAGCGCGAAAATGCCGCAAACTGATCTAGCTCCTCGCTAGCGTGATTGAGGATACGATGGGCGAGAAGATGCAGACAATCGAGTGTCTCGACAATGGCATTGAGTTTTGAAGTATCCAGACCAAGCACATCGTTGAGCTTGTGGAATTTGGATAGTCCAACAAGTCGGCTGAGGAGGACTTGGCTTCGCTGCAGTGCTGGAAGCAGGGATTCATGGGTTAATCGTCGAATACTTTCATAGCCGCCCGACACGGCTTTATCCCATCGTTTGTGTCCCTGAGCAAGGTGTTAGTCATGAATTCTCAGCGGCAGTTCCTGGCATACTGACTCTTTCTCCAACAATATCTACCAAGAACTCCTTCATTGGCTCAAAACAGTGACCCGTCACGACTAGATGGTATATGGCCGTGGTGAAATCACATTGACACTGGTCTTGTAAGTCCTGGTTCACACTTCGTAAGAATCGTGCCGGTAACTCTTGTGCATTCTTCCATTCTACTTCGATCTGCTTCTGAACTTGGCTGATATAACGCAACAAATTCTGAAGCTGTGTGGTTTTTGACGCAAGTAGAGACAGATAACGCCCGGACTTGGTGATGAATCGAAGATCCAAGGTGACGAGATCGATAGGCCCACAAAATTCTCCTCCTTTGGCGGGGGACGAGAGTAAGGCGTGTGTTGAACTGAGAGGATGTGACGCGTGACGGAGAATATGGCACGACCCAGCGACACCCGCCGATTCCCCAATTGGGAACGAGCCGATTTCAAAACAGTCAAAAATCCGAAGATGGACGTTGCCATCATCGAAGCCAACAAAAAGCACGTCCACCGAGTCGCTATTATCCTTGGTTGATGAATGGAAAATAGCATCAATTGATGCACGCGAGCTAAACAGGTCATCCTCGGCACCCGTTGCGGGTAAAGTGCTCAGCTTGGGTAGGGAGCTTTCAATGTCCAGCAGTGCTAGTTCTCGCGGCAAGTCTGCCTTCAAGATAGCGGCCGCCTTGGACGGATGAATCCCTGGCGTAAGGAGGTCTTCAACGGAGATCTGGCCCGCGGCGCCATGCAGATGCTTCTGGGCAGCTTTGCTGTCCGTGAAATTGATGCCCCAGCCCAAGCAAGTAACTTTGGGAGATTGTTTTTGATCAGTCATTGCGGATTCTTCTTTGTTTTCCTCAAAGGCCTGATAGTGATGGACAGTCTTGCCGCTGTAAGCACTGATGATGCGGACAGAACCATCTCCGCAGGCGACCGCGAGGAGACGACCTAGTGATGTGGTCAGAGGCACCTTCTTTCACGGCCGTCATTTGGCGGGCGTTTTCGATGATATATTCCAGGGGTGTGGCCACTGTCAATAAATTCAAGGACAGATCGCACTCACCATTTCCTTTCCACGCTAATGCCCTCACCTCTCCATCCGCCTCATCCTCGCCAAGGTACGGGTCACCCTTGAAAGAACCCCCAAAGACTCGCTGGCCATTGAGTCGAAATACAAGTAACTCGTCATCATCAGTGGCCAGAGCAATCAGGTCCATCGATGGGCAGTATGCCAGGGTACTGGGTTTACATTTCGCTGGCAGGGACTTTTCTCCGACCGGGGTGAGTTGCGGGGCGTAGTCTTCCATAATGAGAATCAATGTTGAGGATGAGCTGACCTAGCCCATCCTTGAGCGATATGAAGTTGATCGGGCCTGTGCTCTCTTTTAGCTTGGATATGTCGGAGGTCTCTTCGCGGTGAAGTGTTGATCGCGGGTGGGTCGCGGGATTCTCCTCGCGTGGTCTGTTTTGGGTGGGTGCGGCCGCTGGATCACCCTCGCTGTTGGGTGGGTGCTAGCAATGTATAGTGCTACTATGACACCATTTCACCGAGAAGAAAATACACGTAGCAGGAGATTCCAAATGGAAACAATATCTCCTGCCAGTTGATTATCCAGGAACTCTAAGTTGTGACCATGTTATACAAGGCTGTTGGCCTCGAACCCGCCCAGCTCGCCAATCTCGCAACGCCATACTCTTAGGTAGTAGATTCGTCCGAGAGACCAGAGATTGCATGGGGTTTGTAACTTAATATGACCCGCTTTGAACTGTTTGAGATGAATATCCACGGTAACAGATGGATGACTTTGGGTGGACGTATTGATGCCTGATATGTCAGGCATCATTGTGTTGTCTCTCTCCATCGTTGCTCCGAATGCTTCCTTCATGACTCCCCTACTTGATAGGTTTTTTCCTTCCTGTCTATAGTTGAGGGTGGAAAATCAGCCCTTTCCAGCGCCAAAGGCTGTTATCCTCGATGTCGATTTCACAGGTCACTATATTCTATATATAAATAGTACAGACATCACCGAGCGAACCAGCACCCGCATGAAGCAATATAAAAAGCGAGTGTCAAGAAGCAAAAGAGAGACAGATCCCCTCCTGAAACCACCGCCTAAAACGGCTCCCCATCCATCTCAGCCTGAATCATATTCTTCAAATAACTCAGCTCGTCCAAAATCTCTTGCATAGTGCTATTCCCCCGGAACGAAGCCTCACTCGCCTGCGACAGGACACGGCGATATACTTCGTCATTGCCCTCGCTGCGCTCCCTATCGGAGCGGTGCTGGATCTCGGGCAAAAGAATCGGAGAGCCGTCTGGGCTGCGGGAGAGGGACAGAGATTCCATAGATTCGAGGGCACTGAAGAGGGCGGCGTGGCGTTTGGGATTGCTTTCTACTTCGTCCATTTGATCGATGCCCAGACCCGTGGGCAGGCCTGGGGAGGAGAGGGAGACGGTGAGTTGGGGGAGAGAGATGTTCATGGAGCTCATGTTCCATGGTGGGATGTCGCCTGAAGCAGAGTTGGGAGAGGACGGTTTCGAGTGCACAGTCAAATGGGGAGTGTTTGGATCGGTATTGGTTGCGGCGTCGTTGGCTTGAGATAGCTCTGGTGTGCGCCAGTCGTCCACGGCTGGGGAGTCGTTGAATTCATGATTGAAGGTGGATGTAGAGATCATTGATTCGGGAGAGTCATCCTGGGTCTCGGTCTCGGTCTCGGTCTCGGTGTCCGTGCTCCACTCTGAGAATCGGCTGCGTTCGGGGATAAAGCTAGAGTGGATGGACTGACCGGTTGTCGTGGTTAGACTCGAGAAGTAGCTACGGGGAACTTGAGCACTCATGGCCTTGTCCGTCTCGTCCATAGCTTGCAATGCTTCGTCCATGACTGAGGAAGGAGTGTTGGGTAGCGTGGGCAGTCGCTTGTCGTGAATATCGCGCCCCTTTGGAGTTATGAGATCACCAGAGCTCACCCAGGTGAGAGCATCTTTCAGAGCTTGTGTTTCATCAACCGTTCCCAAACTCGGTCCCGCTGCGGCGCCTCTTGAAACGCTAGGCTTGCGGAAATGGGGGCGCGTCTCCACGGTCAGAAGGTTGCAAGTCTGTCCGACCTCATTGCCGTTTGTCTTCATGGCACGACGAGTTTGAATAGTGGGCGCGATACATATTTCAGGGTGGTTTGCGGACGAAGAAGCAAGCTCGGGAGCAATTACATTGCCCGGCGCATTGCGGCGATCTTGCGGCCTTCCATCCACCGTGTTGGATCTCAACGGCATCTCGGTCCATTTCGGGCTCTTTGCCTCTTGGGCAGGTCGGAAAGTGGGAAGAGCACGATTTCTCGGTGGCGAGACAGAGCGAGCGTCCTTGGCATGATGGTATTTTCGGGTAGCACTATTCGGCTGAGATGCACTGCGATGAATTATACCCGGGGAAGTGCTGGTAGCAATAGACGGGGTGAGGGCTTGAGGATAAGGCACGGAGGTTTGTAGGCGTGCCAAGTTGGGCTTTGGCGGCTTCCGCGGGTTCATGAACTTGTCTTCCGGGTTCATTGTTCGGTAGTCGGCCTTTTGCGAGCCGTTGCTACTCGAACGTGCATGAGAGCGGCTGTCGGGGAGAATAATGGGCACATTCAAAATATTCACCGGCTGCCCTGGTAGCAAAGGACATTTGGTTGTGACAGGCTCGACTTGACTGAAGTATTCCACGTCACTATCCAAAAGATACTATTATTCGGTCAGTTGTTATACATTCATCAGAACCTTCAGGCGACTTACATAGTACCAGTAGGTGGCACCCATCTTCAGACCTCCCGTACGCCATTGGGACTTGTCACCGGGAGGCCCATCGCCTATGATATCCGTAAACGTATGACATCCACGCCATTGACCCGGTCCCACGCGCCTATCCCTCTCCATAGGATAAGCCTTTGAGAAATTATCCCATGATCCGAACAGCTTGACCGATCGAATCTCAGGGTTGGTAGTCCTAGACTGCGTTAGGGATCACTATTCAGCCACTGGGATGATGTACTCACAGCAAGAAAGTCATGAGGGTAGTCGAGGTCATTGCAATGCAAGAATCGCTGGAAAGAAAAAGCCAGATTCAACGGACCGGCAGATGCAAGGGATTGTATAACAAAATGCAACGCGAAAGCTCAAAGAAGAAAAAGAAAGGCTGGTCAACAGTCAAGAGAGAGGACACCACACAAGAGCAATGCTGGTAGAACGAAAGACCAAATGAAAGTATAGAGTGGATACCCCAGATATAGTACAGAAGCAACGAATGTAAATGCAAGACAAAAGGAAACAAGGAAAAGTCGAGTCGAGCTCTTTGTACAGAAAGAAACAACAACGATAAAGATAGAAAGACAGAAGACAGAGCCCGGCGCAAGGGTGAATTATAAGAAAGCACCGAGTGACAAGAGCCGCCGAGAGACCAGTCTAGACAAGCTAATGGTCAACACAAACAACAACAATCAAAAGCACCGGTTTCTATAATTACAGCCGACGGACAGCGCTGGCGCTGCAGTACACGCCGTAGCTGTTTCAGGACTCGGAGCTCCGAAGCAGGCCAGAATCCAAAAGTCCAATGACAGGTCTAAGAAAAAAATTCGCCGAGACGCGTTTCAGGTGGTCAACGCCGTTGGAATAAAAAGGGCAACTACCACCATGCCATGACCCAAGTGGAGAGAGCGCCCTCGACAGGCGTGTGACAGTGGCCTAGAGAATAGGACCAGCCTCTAGCCCAAGGGGAAGGGGGCGAGTGACACAGTATTCAGCGTTGCTGTCGGATGCGGATTCTTCAGGAACCGCGGGCTCGATTTCCCGGACGCACTGTAGAGCGACAGGGACAGCCAATAACGGACGCGGGTTGAAGGGCGAAGCGCCGGCTCGGTGCCTGGTACCTGCGTCAGGGCCCGGGCGCTTGGAGAGACCGGGCGTCTTTCTTGGTGGTGGTTTTGGGGGCGTCGCAGCTTGAGCTACTGCGACCGGTGGAATTGGGCTGTATAATTGATGTGTTGTGTACGAGGAGGAGGAGGAGGTATGGGAGAAGATGACGATGAGTTGTTTAATTTGGTGTCGTGAGGGGGAAGCGCGGACGCAAAGGTTTTTTTTTTCCGTAGCGAAGGACGATCGGCGTTGCGGGGAATTATTGACGATGGACTTCAATGCCGATCGACGAGGAAGCAGGCGATGGCAGGCTAAGTGGAGTAGGGCCCCGAGCTGAGATTGAAAGTAGGGCTTGTTGACCACTTTCACGATCAGGGGAGAGAATAGGCAACGAGATACTTTGGGGTGTAAGCAGAGTAATAGTCTAGGTAGCCTAGTGGATAGTCGAGGTACCTCGAGTCATGAAAAAGCAGAGAGAAGATGGTTTCAAGCACTGGAAAGGAAAAGAGATTATTATTATTATCATCTCCGGCGGAACCGTGGTTCGCCCCTCTTCCTGCAAGGCATCTCCAGTGGTTCACCGGGTCTACTATTGATTGATGAAATCATTTCTATTCCCCTTGCTATGATAAACTCCGATATTCATATCCTTGAACCATTTAACCAACTTCAATACTTCATACTCCGTACTCCATCCCTAACTCCCGTTGTCATATCCTCCCTCATACCGTTCAACCACAGAGTCTAACTCTACTCAACCCTAATCAACTCCGGTTCCTAAAGCCCTCCAGCTAGGACGACACGTCATGAAGCACACATCATATTGCCACTTCTGCAGGTAATCTGCCTTAGTCTATCCTCCATGGTCAGCTCGTACTAGGTAATTGGATATCCAACGAGGATATCACATCACCAGTGCTCTCGACGAATGAACGAACCTTTGGGCCCCCTGACGCAAGAAAGGCACGGAGATCGGCCATTGCAACGCGTTGATTGGTTGGGCAGGGATGTTGGGAAATTTAGCTCGGCCAAGTGGACTTGACTCCACTTTGGCGGTTCCCGAGTGGCTCTCAGGAGAGCTAATACTGCAGTATCGAAATGATTTTGATGATACGTCGATTTTCAGCTGGAGCTGAACATAGTAAAACATTTTACAATCAGCAAGTTGAATTTAGAGACCCGAGAAGCGATCCAATCACATACGGGAAAACTAGTCTGGAGATCATCAAATTAACATTCATAGATCCCATTGGCGCGCGTCCAAATTACCTCCCAAACATCGAAACAAGCAATGCTGCCATCCAACACCATCCCATGCCCTCAACGACAATAAAATCCCATAATGTAAATAAAAACATTCAAGAAGTAAACCCCAATCGGCAGAGATCAAACACTCCTTCGATCATACTTTTTATTCACTGCCCCCAAGACACACTTCAAGATCCCCTCCGCATTTAAAACCTCCCCACTCCTGCCCCTCCACGGCACCGTGTCTACAATATCTCTAACCTTCTCATCCCGACACCACTTCCCCAAATCATCATCCAACTCCTGCAAATACCGCCTCACCCTCTCATCCTCTCCAATCTGAAAGAATTGAATTCCCACCTGCCACGGCAACGCCCCACACCCGGCACTATCGAGGGTCCGCGCAACCTGCACGATGACACTCTCTGCGTCGTCGGTGAACTCGCCGTCCGTGATGGCGATGATGTTGACCGGCTTCACGTAGAGGGATGGGTCAGAGAGGTAACCGTCCGCGGTGCGGGCAGCTTGCATGGCTTGAATGCGGTGGAGGTAGGGTTGGAGAATTTGGAGAAGACGTCGACCGACGGGGGTAGAGCCGCGGGGCCGCACACTGTGGAAGATTTCCCGGACGTCATCTGCCGTGGTGATGTTGCTGTAGACACCCGTTGTAGAGGCCGTCGAGGCGCGGCGGTGGTTGAGGAAGTAGATATCGATGCCGTCGGCATCGTGTTGGGTGCAGATGGGGGCGATTGCGGAAATGGCCTTTTCGGCTTCCGCCCAGCGGGAACCGCTCATGCTAGAACTGTCGTCGACGAGGAAGATGGTGTCGAAGTCTTTTAGGAAGGAATAGCGGGAGTCTGAGTCTGACTCCGTGGAGGGTCTCGGAGATTTTGGAGATACTTTTGGGTGGGATTGTGATTCTTCGTAGGTGGGGGGATCCCATGCGGAGGACTTTTTCTTCCTAAATGAAGCTCCCCGGCAGAAGTTGATGAAAGAGGAGCCAGTGCGACTTCGGGGTTGGGAGTGATTGGATCCCATGATTGGGATAGGTCTTGGTAGTGAAATCGGGAAGTCCGGGGAGATGGGCAGGGCAGATTCCCGATGGCGACTATCTAGTCGACTGGAGGGGAAGGAGGACCACATGGGTGGTGGGATTGTTCGTTCGAACATTGGCATAGTGTGGATGGTTTGGAGATGATGCAAAGAATATGCACTGACTCCAATTAGTCAATGGTTGGGTGCAAAAGTACAATTTGCAGTTTCCAGAAAAGGTAACCTGGGCGATGATGATCCTACCCTTGAGGCCAGGCGAGATACCCCCATCTTATATTCTATTGCAAATTGCATAAAGGGATGTTACCCGCGCTTTGGGTGTCAAAGGGTGTAGGGCAGACTCCGAAACACCAAGGCTGACTTGTAGAACCCATGGAAGCAGTGCCTAACCTTGTCAAAGAGGGGCAAATTCATAGGACTAGCAAGGTCAATGGAACGCTACCAAGCGGGGTCAGCCTTCGTTTGACAGCCTGAACACAAAATGTCAAGGCAGATTTACCGCTGCAGGGCGTGGGAACACTATCACCGTAAGGCTCGCGCTACACTGAGGGGCAGTGGGGTCTCGTGCCTAAGGCAGTGATATGCGGCTCCCCCTAAGAAAGCCTGGTGATAGGGTTGTTCTACAGACTGCGCCTTAATTTAAAGAAAACATTAGTGAATAATGAATGTGACACTTTCCTAGTCTAGCCCTTTTAGTCTCGCCGCAGTGTATACTAGTTACCGCCGTTCATTGTTGAGTGGTGGTCGAAGCGCTTAGCCACCCCGTTGAGCGGGCGGAGCAGTAGTTGCATAGCCTCAACCTTACTACAGCACAAGGCCATACACCGTGTTGCAGGACGGACCAAAGAGATCAACCAGTCGTATGCATTCCAGACTGTCAAAGGGTCATGATGGCAGGGATATTGTTTCATTAGATCCTATCGGAATTCACCAAACTCTCCGCGCGTAAAAAGCGTCATGATTCATTGAGCGTCATAAAGAGTCCGAAGCCCCTCGACCCGAAGCCTCAGGCTCCCAGACCCTGCGCCCGACCGCACGAGACTGCATAGATCATGCAAGTCACTCAATACATACCTCGTGGCCAAGTAAATTAAGAGAGCTAACTCCAAGGATACGACGGGGTTGACTCAGAAAATCGTGTCCCCCGACTGAGGGATCTGGCTGTAGTGGAGATCAGGCGGAATCGTGGAGCTCGGAGTCTCTTCGGGCGTGGGATATTCTTCTGCCACAGCTCGTGCCTCAGCCTCGCGAAGAATACCCGGGTCAGCAGCCACGATATCCATGATAGCCAAAGCCTGGTCAAATCCATAGCTATGGCCCACCATTTTTAGACATTGTATGACCCATCGACGTAGCGCGTGATTCGGATTCTCAACGATGCCTGCCAAAAACAAAGGCCAAAGCAGCATAAGCCCTCCCATATAGCTCTCCGGGGGTGGGAAATTGGGTGAGGCATGCTTTAAATGTGCACCCAGGTGATATGGCACGCTGCGGCAGATATCGACTGCGAGTCGCTGGGTAGTAGCCCAAATGGTCTTGCAGTGCTGTCGGAACTCATCAGAGAGTAGTCGTATAGAAGATGAGTCAGACAACTTTCGGATATGAGAGACAATGATCTCGCTGACTAGAATGCGAGCGCAACGGTACTGATTCCACGTATTGCAGACCCAGAGACTAGGGTACTCGTAATATTTGTCGTCGTAGAGAGCTAGCCCACGACAACGCTCCTGGAACATGAAATCATATGGGGACTTGATATGGGTTTCGTAGTTAAACTCAGGCGGCAGTACCGCCAACCAGGCGATCAAATCGGCCTCAATACTGGAAGCGACTGATATAATCTCTCGGGGGTCGGTAAGGATCTTCTCTCGAATATCCACGCGGAGATTGGATAGTCGGCCGATGATCATGATCAATCGGTTGCCATGTGCTTCGCCTGGTCGAAGAAACATGGCGTACTCTGTACAGTCAAGTAAAGATTGCGGTACCCGGGCATCTCGTTGGATACAGCTGATGATCTGTACGATGTTAGAGGAGACGTCTGGCATCGGCGCCATGACGAAGATAGGAGGTGAAACACACAATCTGATAACGGAGATGTAAGAACAGACGGAGACCGATCTCTGTTTTTAACTGCTCGGGACCCCGCAAATCCAAGAGGGCGGTGGCTCCAGTGATATGGTTCGTCCACTGGTCAATGTCCCGTGGAGCTCGCGATGTGACAATCTAAGTAGAAAACGGTCAGACCCCACAAGCCCAGGCGTTGAAATCGTCCACGATGTAAGGGTGACAGCTCGAGTGGGTGACAGAACTTACTTCATAAACGGCAAGCAATACGACAGCCCCCAATGCTTGATTCGTCTTGGCCTCCCCCGCATCCTTCAATGCCGTGTTCAGTAGATTCAAAGCCGAGACATATTCCTTTTGCGCTAGGTCTCCAAGCGACGTCATCTTCCGGACCCGGCATAGCATGGCCGACGACACGGCAATTATACTAGATTGCATGGCTTTCTGGCTAGAGGTGGCCCCGGGTTCGGCCAAGAAGCGGGTGACAAAGTCCCCCATCCACAAGCTACCGGGAATCGCATTGCCTCGCAAAAAGTAACAGATGGCTTCTTGTTGAGATGCTTCAGGCGGGGGTTGGACCTCAAGCGGTAATGACCAAGGGTTTGGCATGGCAAAGTCCTCTGGTGGACCCATGTCGAAGATGAAGTTGAACGCCTGGTCCACCAGGGGCAGGGTCTGCTCAGACGGTAGATTCTCGGCGGCACTCCCACCTGGGGATGCAATGCGAGACGATCGCGTTGGCGACCGCTTTTGACTAGACCGGGCTGGCGACGCAGAAGACGCAGAGCTAGTAGAGGAGCCCGCCTCCGCCTTGGCCTTGCGCATGACCGATTTGCTCTCGTCGCGAAACATTAAAGATAGTTGATCCCGATATCCGGGGCAGTCCCGCTTACCCCGTATACATTGCGAACACGCCGGCCTGGCTTGATCGCATCGGATCTTTCTGGTGCGACACTCGCCGCAACCTTTGCTGGGTTTGCCACAGTATACCATGATTTTGGGGAGATAGTTTGATGATGGCTTGCGGACTATTCTCTCTCTTCGGGTTCCCCGTTCACCTTGTACAAAAGGGTAGCCTAGCGACGGCTGAGAGGGGGCGTCCTCACCTCGGGAGTGGCCGAGTGCACCGCCCCTCGCGGAATCTGCCCGATCGGGTCATCATGGAGACGCTAGTCCCAACGTGGCAAGCATTGCGATCGTAGTCACCGTAAAAGCTTGTCGACATTAAGCCACCGTCAGGGGCCATGTAGGGCTAAAACAACGATTTGATGGCTTGGTATGGATTGGATGGATCTTGTGGCTGGGCTTTCCCTAATGCTCCTCAATCATTTCTCTGCAGCTCAATCGAGCCCCATTCTAGAAGACTTTACCATTCTCAATAGAGTAGAATCCGCGACGAATCCACTAGCCTATCCATGTGTTATTGTCGACTCAGCCTCAGATCAATTCTCATCCCAAAATGGTATACAGCTCGAAGGGAAAAAAGAATATATAGGACGTCCAGGCCTCCCATAGCTTGATATTCTCATCATCATCAACAACTATCTTAATACCCATCCAATTGCCAACCCACAGCAAGACTACTCGCATATTACCCTCGACAGTCCCTGTACTTTCCTCTATCTCTTTTACTCGGAAAAGCCAAATACCATCTCAAAAATGGCCGTCACTTACCGCCACGGGATCTCAATCCTTGAATTGATCATCTACTTTCCCTCTCTATTCCTCGCCATCTTCCTTGTTATCCGCCATGGCCTCCGCACAAACAGTGGCTTCCTCTTCCTCACGACATTCGCTCTAGCCCGAATCGTGGGCGCATGCTGTGACCTTGCGACAATTAACAATCCCTCCGTGAGCCTCTACATCGCTGCCGCAATCTGTAGCTCCATCGGCCTTTCACCACTGATGCTCGCGTGCACTGGCCTCCTGTCCCGAGCGTGAGTATCCACCCGCCCGAGCCCTAACCCGACCCTGCCACGACCTTAACATACTAACGATCTTCCAACAGTAATCAATCCATTGAGAAACGTACCGGTCGCGCGGCACTCCCAAGCCTTTTCTTCTCTTTCTTCCGCATCCTCACGACCGTCGCCATGGTTCTGAGCATCGTTGGCCTTACGGCTAACATGACCGCCGAGGGCCTCCAAAACCCCGACATCAAGGTCAAGATCGGCATGATTCTGTATGTTGTCAGCTGGGGGGTAATGGTTGCCATGGTGGCACTCGTTGCTCTGCGAAAGAGCTCCGTGGAGCGCGGCGAGAAGCGCACCATCCTGGCTGGTGCACTCTCGAGCCCGTTCATTTTGGTCCGGGTGCTGTACGCATTGTTCGTCTGGTTCCTGCACGACTCCAAGTTCAGTCTCCTTAATGGCAATGTGACCATCCAGCTGGTCATGTCCGTACTTGAGGAGTTTGCTGTCGTTATAATTTGTCTTGCTGTGGGTATGACTCTGCGTGTGCGAAGCAAGCAGCCTCAGCGAGGCGAGGAGGAGGCTTTGGAGTCTCGTCCTTCGACCAAGCCCTAGATCTTCACCTTTGCATGGAAGGAGTTTGGATTTGTTTGATGGATAATTGGATGGGAAACTTAGAAGTGCATCATTCCTTTCTCTGCTATGTTTTCGACTCGCGGGATATCATATATTGACGTTTGTTGCTATTTATTTTGTGTATAGAGTGCGTGCGTTCGAGCATCCTTACTAGAGTCTTTATTATTTTTGTTATATTCTTTTACGATGATCCTATCCGTAGATTGATATCTTGGGCCCGAGGGGTTCATAGAGCTCCCACTAAGGCGGTAGCCGTTCCCCGATTACTGTAGTTGGTGATGAAGTTAGTGGAAGCGTATGACTTGAAGCTTTTGACGACATTAGGTACCACCCGATCATTCACTCATGAGATCTCGTCCGGATAATCCGGTATGCCTGACTCTGCTGTTTTCAGTATCTTAATATCCACTTCACTAGGGATTTGAGCTCGACAACTCGGAGCAGAAGAAGATAATGAGTCAAGCTTTGCGGAATCTCGAATTACGAACAGTGCCGACCGTTACTGCCCTCCATATCCGGAAACAAGCAATGCTCTTTCAAAGCCTAATCACATGGCATGCTAGCCTAACATGGATTTCACGTAAATTACTGATTTTGAATATATATAGTGATGTTACCTGATCTTCGAATCTACCTATCCGTGTGTATACGAGGCTCAGGCTAGGTGCCTAACACGACTAGAAAGAAGGCTCCATGAAAACCAAGCAAACTAGGCGACCGTTGGGAATCTGTGAACTTCCCTTTTCCATCTCTCGGGTGTCTCACTGCGAGAGACTCGGTGTAATCTTGCGTTGAGTGCGATAGGCCCGTTCAATCAAGCCGACAACGCCATGACGCAAGTACCCTTCATGAGCTTACCGAAGTCTACAACAGTATTCTACTAAAATGCAAACTAAGAATCATGACCACAGCATATACCGTCGATATGCGTAGTTGAGACAGAGCGCTTGACGACTGGATGAGCGGCACCGAAATGCACCTCCGACGAACTCAGCCACGTTGGACCCCCGACCACTGCAAAGTGAGGCAAGTAGATACAAAAGACGAGCCTCCCGCTTCACCAGTTATCAATTTCCCACCGTTCTTGTTTCCCTGGGATCACCAAGCGGGCCTAGCAATCTAGATTACACACATCTTCCGGGACACCCACCTCTATACGTTTTTCTGCAGCCTCCAAATACTTCGATTGTCTGGCAAAGTTCTTAATGTACTTACGCCACCCTGCTGAACAAGCCTTCATTCCTAACATCTCAAAACATCCGGTTTAGGGCCTCTGAAGAAACTGATCGGACGTTAGCCAATCAGCAAAGCCATATCGTAGATCCAAAATGATTCCAGGGAACGGCTTTGATGCGCAAATTTGGTAACACTCGCAGCGGCTCTATCCCGACCTCCCTCCAATCGAGGCGTACCTCGCACTTCACCGCGACTCCGTGGCACCTATAGTGGGGCCAGTCATCAAACAAGCGTTTACTAGACTCGAGGTCTACGCTCTACTGAGCAACTCTCCCTCAACACTCGCCGGAATCTAGGCAGCTCGCCTTAGTATAGATAGTGTAAACCAGCTCTATGTTTACATCAAAGGCCTTTTTGCAAACTCGCAATTAACCGCCGGGAATCTCACGGCAAACGAAAACGAGATTTCAGCTCAGCTCACCGCGGAAATCTAGAAGCGATATCAAGCGGGTACTCTAGGCCAACCGAACCCATTTATTGATAGCGTTAAGTCAGCGGCTAAGGGTATCAGCGTCTCCGGTAAAAGCGTGAAGAATATTCCCTAGGGAACGACGGAAAATAAGTCTTCGGCAGCTTCTACCAGCTCTAGACCCGCGGAGTCATTCTTCGATCGCATCGACTACTTAGAATGCTGGAATACAGCGTTACGAACAATCCGGATTGCCCAGACACAGCGGGTTATCAAAGCGCTAGATATCATCGCCGACCATCTCGGAGATAGGAATCACATTACTATGATGGGCGCAGGTAGTCCCGAAGGCTTTACCTGACCTATATACGACTTTATCAAAATGAAGATGAACAGAATTAATGCGGCGGACCGCAAAAACCATCGCTTCTTCATCTACCATAACTCAAATAATTAGCATCATGTATTCGAGAGGTTGACAAGCGAAAATCCTTTGCCTTCGGAATTCATCAACCATCCCTACGACGACCTCGACCACGTTTGCTTATTCATGTGTCAAGTCAGAGAGAAGCTCCTCGAGAAAGATTAAAAGAGTGGAAAGGGCATCACATTCCACCTACTCATCTCATCGTGGTCCAGGCTCCAGATCAAGGAGCCCTTGCATTTCCCTAAGGACCTTTACCCGCTGCAAATTAAGGGGATGAAGCACGGTGGCACAAACCAGGTCCAGTTAAATCTTCCAGCAGCACCTACTAGGCTTCTTCAAGGAGTCTCGAATGTACTTAACCCCAATGACTAGAACGCAATTGCAGGGGGTGCCAGCGCCGCAGTCACAGTGCCAGCCGTAGGCTAGGGGGTAAACGGCGTATCTCTCGGTGTTAGCCTCGGTGCCGGCGTCCTTACAGGACTAGGACCGCTTCTGGCTATGCCGATGTGGATAGGAACCTCATTTTCCGCTATAGGAAAGGCAATTCCATATATTGACGAAACCATTCACGAGGCGCTACGTGAAGAAGACCCCAGGGTGCTTGGGTCCAAGGAGCGTTTGCATATTCCGCGAGGGCAATTTTAATCGGGATGTAATTGAGAACCCTGATGATGTTTGATACCTTTGTTGATGCCTTTTTCAACATCGTTTATGAATTTCCACAATAGAGTCTAAGGTACGTCTGGGTATTTTAGTCCTATTTCTTATTCCTGAAGTAACTTTAAGGTAGCGATATTTCATTACACGAATCAGAGACTGTTACTGTAGCTACTAGAAGGTGCCATGAAGAGTGAACATATCTCGTAGGGGAGGGCTCTGCTTTTTAGCTTTTTTCTTACCTTTTTTTGATCTTATACCATGCTATCGAGCGCGTTTGATGCTAGATGACGATAGTAATACTATGAGCTCCTCCCAAGATAGAGATCGACGCATAGGCTAGGCTTTTCGGCGAGAAGCTATGTCCTCTTTCAGGTGCTCTTTCGAACCCTTAGTCAAATTTCAACAGTCTTACTACCAAACACATATCTAACCCCTCGTAACCCTCTTTAATTAGGGCGACAATAAGCACGTGACCATATTGTCTCGCCCACTGTGCAACTTGTGTAGCTGAACATTTGGTCAAATTCAGACATATGAATTCTGGCTTCTTACCATGTACCAACTAGGCAAACTATTCTTGTAGAGATGTGAAAAGCAGCAAGAAACTCTCTGGTACTGGCGATTTTGATTAGTGTGATATGAAAACCACAACCACTGCTGGAATCCATACTCATACACTAAGAATAATAAACGAAGATTGAAAAAGCAAGAAACAAAAAGAAAGCCAGAACTATCAACCGGGAGGGGATCCAGCTTCCAGCGCAAGAGCAAGAAGAAGAACGCCAGTACCAGGAAAACGGTGATATCAAAACCAGCTGGAAGTCTGGAACCCACTCCCCCAACGGACCACACCGCACGGACACGACCCACCCCCGACTTCATCCTCCACACCACAAGGGGCCACACAACAGCAGGAACGCCAGCCGACTACCACTCCTTGGCGATCCGATCAGTCGGCACTTCCTCGTCGAGGAGGGTCCCATCCTCTTGGTAGAGGGCGAGAACCCGCATAGACGCCAGTCCGCGACGTCTACGGGTTTCCGCTCCCATTACCGCAAGAAGGGATGCCTGCTCGGCGAGAATGGCCTCCTGGCTCATCACGTCAGCGCGGAGGGTGACCAGACGAACGAAGTCCTATCAAATTAAAAGAGAGTATAAGTTAGATTCGGCTCATTTCATATCAAAGATGCAAGACGGAGATGAGATCAACTTACTGCGTACAACTTCTTTCGCTTCTCGGCGTCGCTCTCCTGAACCAACCGCTTTCCCAGCCGGTTGACGCACTGGGTGATTTCCGCCCACGATAGGGAAGTTGAATTCCCGTGCCCGCCTTGCGGCTGGGCAATTGTCGTAGGGCTCAACCGGGCGTTTGCCGGAGACTGGTTGGCGGCCGGGGTAGGCACCGCAGGCCTTGGGACCGTCTCGGCCACCACGACCAATGTCGACTGTGCGGCCTGCAAGGCCGCAAGTCTGGATGGCGTGGGGCCAGAGGGAATGACTGGCACCGGGGCCGAAATGTCGACGGGCCGCACCTTCGTCAATCTGGCCGGCTTGGAGGTCCTAGCCTTGACCAGCTCGGGGATTGAGGACTGTGGCTTCAGTCCTTGGCTGGTGGTCTGGAGACTTGGCCCGCGAGACTCAGGTCGGCCTGCCCGGGCAAACAGGTTGCTAATGCTCTTCTTTAAGCCAACCCGTCTTGTCGGTGCCTTCACGATGCCCGTTTGGATGACTGGTCGCTCGGCCGGCATGTATTTCTCGAACAGGCTGCCGGAATTGGGCGGGAGCGTCCGCAGGTCGACGGGCTCAGGCGGGCTCGCGATGCCCTTCAGGGAGGAAGAGCGTGGTGGGGGAGGCGCAGGCTTCCGACGAATTTGAGGACAGCCTGCTTGGCTGCCGATGGGGGTAGAAGGCAGCGAGGATGACTGGCACAGCGGGGAGGGCAACTGCGGCGAGTACGGAGGGCGCACAAATGGCGCAGAGGACAACGAAGGCAGCGAGTGAACCTGATCATCGTCGTTCGGGGAATCCACGAGGAACCTGTTTGCACTTGATGAAATCCGCAAAACAGGACCGTAGCGTTCGCGTGGCGTCTGGTCAATCGCCGAAGTGGAAACGGAAGCAGCCAGGTGCGACTGCACGGTGCAATCGACGTTGCTCAACGGGGGAAGGCGGCGCAGATGGGCGTTGCTGGTAGCCTCTATCTCGGTGGGGGTTGTTGAAAACCCCGGGCGAAGAACAATCGGCACCTGTTCTTCGATTCTGGTTCCATTGCTGATACCAAAATCCGGCAGGTTGGTGAAGACCTGGCCAAGAGGGCGAGGACGAGGACTTCGAGAGAGAGACCGCGAGCGCCGCCGAACGGCTATCGGCTGATCAGATAGCAGCTTGCCATCGTAAAGGGAAGCTATCAGAGACAAGTCAGATCATGTGTATTGAAATGTTTATTCTCATTTAGGAATACATACCGTCAGCTTGAGGCTGACCCTCTGGACGGGTTCTACCCGTGAGCATTTCAAAACGAGTGCTTGAATGCACTTCGTAATAAGGCCGAGCCTTGACGGTTGGCTGCGACGAACCAAGGGCTTGAGACAACGCAGCTTCTGATTCGGATGTTAGCGCAAGCTCGGGTGATAAGATTGTCTAGTATCAGGGTATCACTTCTTACCTTTTACTTCGGTCTGCTCCGAAGCAAGCCCCCGGTCTCGACGGGGAAGGGGAGGTGGACGGGAAGGGGAAGGGGGAGCGACAGGAGAATACATCCCGCGATGTGCAAAGAGATGGAGAGAGAGGAGGTGATGGGATCAGGGGCAGAGCACAGAGACAACGCAACTTCTGTATAGGGATATCAGCCACCAAGATCAGATACCGTCGAGGATAAGTGGTGACTGCAGACGTACCTTTTACTTCGCTTTGCTCCGAAGTAGTACTCTGTCCCGAGGACGGGATGGGAGGCCTGCGCAAGAGTAAGTGGATGGTTTGGATTGAAAGGCGATGCGTCTTGTGGAGAGAAAGCGAGGACGACAACGGGGGAGGAGGCGAGGAGGCGAGGAAGAAAGAAAGCGAGGAGCGAGAAAAACAAGGAATAAGAGAAGCATCAATCGCGAGGGGTCTATAACTTACTTCGATTAGTCGTCAAGGAATTGACGGCCCTAAAGGGCAGGTGAACGGCGCCCCGGAGTGCTGGCTTCCTCGTTCGGCGGCAAATACAGCTCGAGCGTCGAGAGCGACGGTAGGGACCTCTCCAACGGGACCACATGGACATATGGCGACCCCATTTGCCGAGTTGGCTCACGCTGAGGCCTGACGACAAGGCGGTGCGAATTAGGGACCCATGTCACAGTGCTACCATCCGCATTGTCTTGCGAGGACTGGATAGCGAGCTGTGTAGGGTCTATGCCTTTTAGAACGGTCAGCCCGGCGATGTCGTCCTCCCTGTTGTCAGGGCTAGTGAGGCCCATGGAGCGTTCGCTCAACTCGTCGTCGCTATCGTCCTCCTCCTCTCCACCAGTCGTCACTCCGGACAGGGACGAACTTTCACGAGGCCGCTCAGGCGGCTCATGGGGATAGACCCGGTTGAACCCCCAGGCCTCCTTCTTGCTCTTGCGCTGAGACACATGTAAGTCTATACAGTACATGATGGCACCATCGATGGAGCTAACTTACCCATGTCGAGAGGCGACGGCGCCCTTTCTTAGCGGCCTTTTCCACGCCGCTGATGATCCTGCTCTGTTAAAGATGAGATATATCAGTATCACTTCTCAAAGAAGATGCCCTTGGAGGCAAATGCTGATGCAATCACAGTCCACGTGAGATACGGTCATATATCGACGGCTACATGCATCAGAAACGCAGAGAATTAATCCGAACTTACCTTACCCACTAGAAGTGGGTGCAAGATGCTGGCCTTGCGGCGCTTGACAACGTTCCACACCTTCTTAAAGCCCTTCATGGCTGCTGGGTTCAACTGTCAGTAACGTCTGTTGAAAATCGGATCTCTATCGAATGCCAGCATTACGCAAAGCTTCGAGATCGTGGAGAGGGCTTACCGAGTGGGAGACGGGCATACGGGGACTTGGAACGAAGGGTTTCGAAGGTGTTTGGGTTGAGGGGGAGAGGGGAAAAGAGAAATGAAGAAGGGACGGGGTCATGAAGCTATTCGCACGTGCGTGGACGCGCTAAGCGGAAACACGGACGACCACGCGATTATGACTCTTTTCCTCTGCCATATTAGGTAGTCGCGACTGGCTCGTGACATTCTCCCAGTGTCCTTCGATCCTTCCTTGTCGTCCATTCTCTATTCGATTATACAGTCTGATATACGCCAGCGTTCTCTAAATGGTCATTTCGACTATTTCCCATCGAAACGTGGCAGTTCATGATAACAACCTGGAAGGGAAGGTCAGAATGTGGATTCAAAGCAAATCAATTGCTCGAAGAACATCGAAATACGATCAAGTCTTGAATTTTGCCATGGGGCATCGGACGTGGTTGATATAAACATGTCAGAAGTATGCGCTAGGTAGGGAACGGGAACGGGACGGGAGCCGGGAGCGGCAACGCCAAGAACATTGAGGACTCTGAAGAATATAGGGATTTACAATACGATTTAAACAAGCTTTTTGATTTCATGGACTACCTCTCGCTCATCCAGCGATTGCCCGGTTCATGCGGGTGCCTCACACCCGTTTGGGCGAGGGCTCCACGTCTACATGACGGGCTTGCTTCCGCTTCCTTGTAGCCTGCCCATTAGAATCATCACTATCCTGCCCAAGCCCGCCAGAGCCATCATCCCGCCATTCGCTAATCTCCCATTCTACAGAGGTCGATTTGTCGAGACTAATACCCATCCCACGTCGTTGGCGCATCAAACCGGCCAACCGACTTCCCTCCACCATCTCCTCGAACCATGGGATACCACCAAAAGTACCGTGATGGACGGTTCGAGAGATATCCGGTTCACGAAGAGTGGGAACCACAATTGCAGAGGCTCGAATGTCGGACCCAGGCGTGGCGGTCGAGGACTTTGCCAGTCCAGCCACAGTCTTTTCTTCGCCGAGCACCTCCGGAAGTAGATCGAGATCTTCCAAGGCACGTTGGTGTGCACGGGACAAACTTCCAATTGAGATGGACATGAAGTTGGCCTCTTCTTCCGGTTCCTCCGTCCAGAAGGTCAAGGGTGTTCCGCAAAACCCGCAAAAGATTCGACGAGTCTGTGGCGCATGGGGAGGTGTGAATACGCGACGAATCGAAGTGTGAGTCTCGTCTGGGAAAAAGGATAGCGTGTGAGAGTGATACCACTCTAGAGGGACCCGCAGCCAGGATGCGAGGAATTGACCTATAACATGCCCTTAGCGCGGCTCGTCGGACCTAAGGTTTCAACTTTATACTCACGGCTGTCCCGGCCAGAGTCGAAATAGATCTGAGCGTGATCGGCCACGTCGTCAGGGATTTGAATGATGTATTCGTTCCGGCCACAAGAGCATGATCCATGCAAAGGCTCGTAGGCCATGGTGACACGATCGTACGACACACGACAAGAGCTGCTGAGCCGGCGAGATCGCTGGTTTTAGGGTCAAGATGGTAGTAGGATTATATGGCCGGCCAATGGCAGATCAGATTGGTAGAATAGAATCAGGTAGCTTAACGTAACTCTCAGTAAGCCGGTGCCTATTACGAGACAAAGAGAAGATGGGAGGGGGGAAAAAAAGGTAAAGTGCAGAAGAGCTAGGTGGAGCACGTTCTATGACGTTTGAGCCCGCCAAGGCCCAGGTTCCCGACTCGGTTTCTCCGCATCCTCTTATCGGTCCTATCGGTTTCCTTCCTCTCCAACCGTCTTCCCCGATCCTTCTTTTCCACCTCCGCACCGTCGCTTTCGATCGTTTTTACAAGTACGCCGGAAATCCCAGTCGCGATCGAGCGACACTACCAACGCGAACAACTTGTTCACGCCTACGCAAACACTTGGCACAACGCCCCCCTCCTTCCATCCTCCTCCCATTCGTCCGAGTGCCTCCAACCTCCAGCCCACGATGAACCCCGACGGCGACGATGACCGGTCTTCCTCGACCCCAACCGCCATATCCAAGTCCGCCTCTGGACAGGAGAAGGAGAAGCCTCGTCTGACCGACCAGGAGAAGAAGAACAATCACATTGCCTCCGAGCAGAAGCGCCGAGCAGCGATTCGGGAAGGCTTCGATCGACTTACGGAGTTGGTGCCTGGACTGGAGGGGCAGGGACGCAGTGAAAGCATCGTCCTACAAAAGACTGTGGATTTCATCCATTTGAAGCTCCAGGAGCGGCAAAATTTAATCACAGAGATTGAGAACAAGGGCGGCCGGGTGGATGATTCATTCCGGCCATCATGAAAATGCTGGATGGTCGCTTGATCGACCATCTTGCATATACTACGTTCTCTTTGCATCAATCCCTGTACTTGCGCCGACCTTGTTCTGATGGGTTGCGGTTCGGTTTACTCCATGGGCGGGGGCACGGAGGGATGTACCGAGGTCCCGTCGCGGCTCCTTCCCACACGAAAGTGAAAATTATGCATCTGTGACGAGTCTCTTTTCGATTCTACTCCGCTTCTCAATTCCATTTCTTTCCCCGGTCCTGCGAGAATCATCGGCATATCGGGCTTTTGCCTTGACGGTTTCCCCCGTTTGACACGTTATCAAGCCGGGGTATCATTTTCTGCTGTTCTATTTCACTCAATGGGTGCCCCGCGGTTATATTTCCCCACATTTTGCAAGTGGTTTTCTGGGGAAGTTCAGTGTTTCAAGATCGGGCGATCGCCTTCTGTCACATGCTACATTTACTTTCTTTGTACATCTTTTTTTTTCTCGAGGCCCAGAATGTATGCTACGGGGCTATTGGGGCGTTAAGTTTACTGGCTGGTTATTTTCCAATGAAATATATCCCAATCTAATATTACATCAATTTATGCCTGCTTGTGTGCCCAAGTTCATGTTGACCCCATTCAGGGGGTGTGTGGCGGTTCGGTCGTGGCCCAGTCTTAACAGTATCACGTGCAGAGAACCACCAACACGAGGGCGATCTATGATGATTCCATGGACGATCACGAGTATGATATGGCGCTTTTGAACTCCCTAGTCATTTGCGGCTGAAGTTAGGTGGACAAGCCTACTCACTAACTGCATTGACTGTCACTGACAAGATTTAAGTCATCTAAAACGCGCTTGGCCTCTCAAGTTATCTACCAAGCATGTGAAAGAGTGTAGGACTCGATTCGACCAAATTAAGAGATGCTTTTCCAATTACCTACCGTCCGTGTCCACATTTAGCTCTTTATCTATTCATCAGCCAGCATGTGTCAGGTTATAGGGATCGTTACCTAATGTGGGAATGACCATGAAAGCTGGTGGGTCAATTGCATGTTAGGATATACATGTGGGTGACATTTCAGAAATCAGTTAACTACCTATAGTCCTACATGTCCATTAAAGTTTTGACGTGAAGGAATAGACAACTTACAATGATCTGTAATTAGCTACCTGCAACAGGGTCAAGATAGAACACTTAATTTCAGAACATAATCCTAAAGAGGGCTGAAATATCGGAACACGACCATATGAGTTCCTGAGAGCCATCCATGGACCTGGCCCTAGTATGACGTTTTAGCCCTACTTTATGTTCGGCCCCCAATCCATACAAAGGAAAAAAAGGTATACTTAAGTACATTTAATATACCGTCCTCTCCTAATACTTTCAAGGTCAATTGCGCATATATATCTCAATGCCAATGACTCATATGTCGCACAATCAATGTAAACCCCTCCAGTCAAGATGAGCGGGGACCGCATTAGTATAAACCCGTGCGGGCAGCAATCAGCTCAAAAACTGCAGCTCCGACTTCATCCAACCCTCCCTCCACCTCCCACCTTCCATCTTCCACAACTTCCCTCCCAAAAAACCAAAAAACAACCACGTACATACAAAATGTCCGACTCGAAAACAAACCTCCTGGGTAACGAAGACCCAATCGACCCCCCACCAGCCTACGACCCTCCCAAACCCGCACGAGGAGCCCTCCCCCGCCCACCACCCCTCGCCCTCCCCGTCCTCAACAACCTCCGTAACAAGCGCGTAATCCTCGCCTCCCAATCTCCACGCCGCCGCCAAATAATCTCTTACCTGGGTCTCCCCAACATCGAAATCATCCCTTCCAACGCAGAAGAGAACCTCCCCAAAACCTTGACTCCATTCGAATACGTCCTCGGCACGGCTACAAAGAAAGCCCAAGCCGTCTACGCACAAGAAGTCGACAATGAAGTCGCCGGCGAACCAGCCCTCATTCTGGCCGCGGACACGATCGTCGTCGACGTCGTGTCGGGCAGTATCCTGGAGAAACCGCGCTCAGAGGCACACCACGTAACCATGTTGCGGTCGCTGCGGGATGTGCGCGACCACAAGGTTTACACTGCGCTCGTGGCGATGGCGCCGTTGGCGAGTGCGCGGCAGCCGGGGTATGCGATGGAGTCGCTTGTTGAGGAGACGAATGTCAGGTTTGATGGGGACGTTACGGATGAGTTGATTCTGGCTTATGTGCGGACGAGGGAGGGAGCGGATAAGGCGGGTGGGTATGGATTGCAGGGGTTGGGGTCGATTTTGGTGGAGAAGATTGAGGGTACGGCGGACAATGTGATTGGGATGCCGCTTAAGGCGACGTTGAAGTTGATTGAGACTGTTATGGCCAAGGCAGATGATGAGGATCGCTTGCCGGATGATCCGGTGTTGGATGAGGAAGATGAGGACGAGGGATTGGAGTGAAGGATGTCTGTTTAAAATCTGGGGTATATAGATGGTGATTTACATTATGTCTATTTTTTGAGCATTGGCATGATACCTTCCAGTCAGAGCGAGTTTTGGGTTCGGGTCTGCTTTTCGAGTTTGTTTTGTTGTAGATAGATCTTCATGAAGAAACGGCTTTTACCTCTTACTTCAGTCAACTGGTACACAAGTTTATATTGTTCTTACTCTGAAGACCGTAGCCAAGAGAATAATGTAGCACCGAGCAAAAGTCGGAGTCAAGACAAATGAAAGAAGAAGAAGCTTTCGACATATACAAAGGCGGAACGCCTAGACCTGGGAACAAAAGAAAACAACCATAACGACCCTTTTCAAACGACTAGCCCTCTCTATGCGTTCCAGATCCGGCGCAGAGCCTCGGTAACACCAACGTCGTTCGTCTCAAACTCGTACAGACCGACCGCGGTGGTCAGGGTGAAGGCGCGGAGGAGCCAGTTGCACACGGAGTTGAACTTGGGCACACGCTGGGGGCGGAAGTAATCGATGATGGCGGCCCTAATCGCACATATCAGAATGTGCGTGGTATGGAAGGGAGTCTGGTTTTAGCGGGAAAAAAATGCTTACTGGAAACCAATGTGGGAGTGAGCAACCAGGAGGGAGCAGAGGATGGCATCCATGACGGGGTTGAGGGAGCCGGCGGCGAAAGGAGCAATGCTGAGGGGGATCAGGCCGACGCAGACAGCTCTGTAGACAGAACTATTAGTGGTCTTCTTGATCGAATGGTCAGGGTTTCGCGTCGAACCTCTCGAAAGTCCAGTGATAGCTACCCTCCATGGGGTGAGGGCTGGGAACGGGAACCGGGTCGTTCACTATCGAAGCCGGTTAGAGTGGGGATCAATGGCCGATTCATCCATGCGGTTTATCCTCGCATCGCTCTGATTTTCGATCCCTAGGGAATCTTATAGAGTGCTGTAGGAGCCAATGCCAGGCTAGACCAAGGATCGAGGTTCGGGGAAGGTTCGGGTATTCACGACATACTGGTTCCTTCGATCGACTCTGTACGGCGGATACTCGTTAGCAAACATGTCTCATGCAATTGCACCAAAATGCACCCTCGGCTTGAAGTTATATCTTCCGACCAAAACAGAGGTTCTACTCACGAGGCAACGGGGGCAGGATCTGCTTGCGGGCAGAGGCGTGGAAGGCGACGACCTGCGAGACACCGACATTCTGGCGCAGGAGGGGCGACCGGGTGGTCGCAAGAGTCTGTCGGAGCAGCGACGGGCGCGCAAAAGAAGCCATTGTAGCGGGTTGAATGGAGGGAAGGACGAAGAGGTTCAACTCGCACAAGGATGAGGTTGAAGTGCCTCGGGAGTCCGACTCGGTATGTCATCCTAATGCGGGTCAGGTGATTGGTCGACGGCTTTCCGCCCAGCCGAAATTGGCCGATGCGGGCACCTTAAATGTTTAGCCCGGCAATACAGAGTCACCTCTTGTTGTGTAGAGATTGCTCAGAGCTAGATTATTCTCTTCAGTCTTTGATTTTTGGTGTTTATATGTACTTTTGATGGGCTGGTTATTTTGATGCAATTATTCAAATTATGCCAATAGCTATCTACCTCTCATTGCATTCCCCGATCTCGATAACCGAGGCCTTCCCGAATGAACTTAATTGCAAGGTATTCGTGGCGGGCATCTCATCATTTCAATTTATTTTCGTCTTTCCATCCTCCCTTATCCATGGAGAGGAAAGAAAAAACGAAAGGGTGGTATATAGGACTCCAGTCTCCTAGAACTTCAGAACGGCCTTGCCCTTGTTCTTGCCGTGAAAAATACCGACTAGACCCTCGGCCGCGTTGTCAATGCCCTCAGTCTCGTGGATGAGAACCTTGAACGAACCATCCTTAATCCACTTCTGCACACGCTCCTGGTGCTCCTTGGTGTAGATGGGGCCCATATCGGCGTCACCAACGATGAAGCCACGCATCGTGATACGCTTGACGAGAACGTTGTGAATGTTCTTGATAGGGTAGGGAGCGGAGTTGTACTGCGAGATCAGGCCGCAGACGACCACACGGCCAAAGTTCTTCAACGCGTCCAGAGCAGCCTCGAGGTGCTCACCGCCGACGTTCTCGTAGTAGATGTCAATACCCTCGGGAGCAAGACGGGCCAGCGCATCGGCAGGCTTCTCGTTCTTATAGTTGAAGCCGCCGTCGAAGCCGAGCTCATTGAGGATGAAGTCGAGCTTCTCGTCGGAGCCGACGGAGCCAATAACGCGCAGACCTTCGTGCTTGGCGAGCTGGCCGACGATCTGGCCGACGGCACCGCTGGCAGCGGAGACGAAGATGGTCTCGCCCTTCTTGGGCTTACCGATCGCGTACAGGGAGGAGTATGCGGTCAGACCGGGCATGCCAAGAGCACCGAGGAAGACACGGATGTCCTCAATTCCCAGAGGGTTCTCCAGCTTGCGAATGCGCACAAGATTTTGGGCATCAAGGGAGACGTACTCCTGGACGGGGACATGGCCAATGACGAGGTCACCCTCCTTGTAGGCATCGGTGTTGGAGCGGATGACCTTGGCAATGCTAGCACTTTCGATGGGCTTGTTCAAGTCGAAAGCAGGGGCGTAAGACTTGACCTCGGCGGGGCGCATGCGGCCGCGCATGTAGGGGTCGAAGCTGGTGTAGAGGGACTGGATAACGACACCGTCGGCGGGAGCGGCAACATTAGCGTCATAGGTGGCGGCCTCGACGGCCAAGTGCTGGCCGGGGACGGGGTATCCCTGAGGGATCTCCTTGAAAACCAGCGCCTTGTTGGCCATGATGTCAATTGGATGAATTGTGGGCGGGTAAAGAGGTTACGGTGATGTTGAATTGGAGAATCGGTGAGAGTGAATTGACGCGAGAGACGAGCGGTAAAGGGTTTGTAAAGCTGTACTGTTGAGCACCGGGCGACCAAAGCTCTCTTATAACCAAGAGAAAATCTGTACGACGGTTCAAGCGGGGCAATGAGGCGACCGAGGCAGTATTGGAGCTGGTTGCAATTCTAGTGTCATATTATAAAGCAACTTGCCGCTTGCCGATGGCTCCCGGAGAAGCTTCTGGAGAGGGTAATAGACTAACTGCCGTCTACATACACTAAGAATCCAAACTCCGTCGGAGTTTCCATGGTTACTGTGCTCACGTTCTAAGCCTTGGAGAGTGCTGACGGCTCCACTTTCCTGCACACCATAATCTAGCTTTAATAGGTGATTTAGATCGTGGTCAACGACAGTACAGTATAACATCAGTTTCAAATCCCTACTGTACTGTACTATTCCATACCGAGGTCCGACAATCCTAAACATAATCGCGGAGACTTTTGACTCCTCGAGTCCACCCTCCGTGGCGGTGGAGCTCGGAGGAACTCAAGACGCCCCAGGCCGACGGGAGTCGACCATTCTGGGCAAGAGGACCGCGCTGGTTGGTGGCTACGCAGTTCGTGATGGGCTGCAATGTCTGCGCAATGAATAATCTGAAATTCTAGCGATTTATTCCTCATCACGGAGGAAGCTTACCAATTCAAGACTGGCCCAACGGCGGGGAAAGGGTCGGTGCATCGAATTTGCAGGGATTGAAAGGGTCCATAGATCTCGATTGGCCTTGGCCCCCTGCCCCGAGGCGAATCATTTACTATCATTCGCTTCCTAGCCGCGATTTAATGGTTGGTAAGTTCAGCAATCCCCGTCGCCATGCATGACTCTGGATAATTTTGTTTCAATTGATGCCACCCCAAAGTCCGAACCATGGTGGTGATGTATTGCCCGCGATCTGCTGAATTCCTGATGATATCATGAGGGGCGGAATGGATGTCATCTACGTCTCCTGGTCCACAACGAACGAATGCCGTGGAAGCATGTATTAGTCAGGTCCTGGCTTCAAGGCGGAGGCTTCCAAAAGGTATAAACATTAAAACTATCCATTAATTCTAATCACAAGTCACTCTCGTATTAACCGGCCCTGGTAACTCTATCCCCCTTCTCACACTTCTTCTCAAGCCTTGCCGGCTAGGTACTGTGGCGCCTTGGACACAAAGTAGTCCTTGCCTTTGACGAACTTCACCATGAAGCTGAACGGTGTCATCCCAAATAATTGACCGGTGCCGCCAGTCTCCCCGACGGGCACCAACATCATGATACTGTCACCCTGATCGAAGGACTTGCGCTCGCCCTTGCCCAAGATATCTGCCTTGATGTTGGCAACGGCAACCTTGGCCTGTTCGGTAGCCTTGAAGCTAAGACGCAAATCATTGGTGTTGATATCGCCGACGGCATAGATGGGCAGGGCAGAGCCACCGTTGGACTGCACGCGCAGCTCCTTGTTGACCTTGACCCAGCCATTGCCGTCAAGGAACTCTGCAGGAATAAAGCTGCTGTTCGGGATGGCACCCGTCGTGGGAATGTACACGTCAGCCGACAATTTCTTTCCGTTGTCCAGAGTGACGGTCCAAGACTTGGTACCATCGGTCGAGGCCTCGGCACCGGTCACCTTGGTAGAGGTAATGACCTTGACATTCTTCTCCTGGAGCTTCTTCGCCCCCACAGCGCTAGCAGAGGGCTTGATCATAGGAAGCACACGGTCTGCAGCAGAGATCAAAGTGATGCTTGCTTTGCTGCCTAGGCTCTCAGCAAGCTCACCTGCCAACTCGACACCAACTGGGCCGGCACCGCCGATCACGATCTCCTTGGCATGAGCGATCTGTTGTTGGGCAGCCTCGACAATCTGTTTAATATCATCCCGGTTGGAGGGCTTGAATGGGATCGATGTTCCGGTAACTGCACCGGTGGCGGACGGGTTGGTGCTTCCGGATGCGATCACGAGATGATCGTAAGACAAATCCTTGGAGTCACCACTACCATTGAGCGTGACGGCCACAGTCTTTGCAGCAACGTTGATGGCGGTTGCAGTTCCCGCGACAAACTCGAAGGAGTTGGCCGAGTATTGGGCGAAAGCATCCTTGATTGGAAGCAAGTACTGCTCGGGCTTGAAGGCGTTTGGTTTGGCGAGGATGCGTGGAGAGGCAATGTTCCAGTAGAACGTCTGGGAAGGGTTGACCAGTACGATTTTGGCATCGGGAACCCCTTGAAGCAACGAGTGGGCAATGACAAGACCGGCAACTCCAGCCCCCACAATCACAACATTGACAGGTGCCATGGTATCCGAAACAGTGGATGATATGAGAAGAAAGGAAGAGTGATCCGATCAGAATGCATTCTCGACGTGGGGGGGGGGTATGCCGATCTTATAGGATTGGGGTTGTATAACTCTGTAGAGCGTGTCCATGTTTGCATGGATTGCAAGCCCACATTGAAACAGCAAAATTGTCGTGTTTGCATAAAGCAATCATGGCTGCAAAATGTCCAGGGAGTAGTTTGTCAGCGCCATAGTAGATCGCAGCAGTGCTTAGCAATCCCCAGTCTCTCAACCTTAAATCGCACCAAACCTTCCTCGATTGATTTGTTATTGCGCAAATTCCGCCAGTCCCCGAAATTCCGCTGACTCAGCGCTTTTAGGACGCCTGATTGGGTCGTTCAACGTAATCGGTCAAGAGCAAGATTGTGCATCACATTGGGAGGCCTGGTTTCCGTATTGATGTTCCATTCTTGCTACTGTACCTATAGTTATGAACTATATTATGCAATGCACCACCACTCCGTGTTGCAAAAGTACGTATAATTATTGATGCCTCAGGCATTATAACTATATCACGCTGGAACGCAGTTAGGTAAGCTAGTTGGTGCACCAATTGGAATCGCAATGAGTCTGAATTACTATGAAGCCCCTAGCTGGCAATTTGGATGGGCAACTTACATGACTACTCCTGATGGATCTATAGTATCTCCGTTTTCCGGGTTATCACTAATTCTGCTGCTCCAACATAATCATTTATGCCTCAGGCAACATTTATCAGGGGCAAATCTTATCGATAAGGATCATGTGACCTAAATTTTCGTTTTGCCTTTTCCCGTCGCGCGCCCGATCGCCACGACAGACTCTATCACCACCTCTACTTCATCCATTTAATTCATCATGCTTGGTGCTGTTCGCCGATTTGGTGTCTCCCAGGCTCTGCGGGCTTCCGCCCCGCGCTCTCTGTCTGCTCGATGGGCTCCCCAATTACTCAAATGGCAGGCACCAGCCAGCCGGGCTCCTGTTCTGGCCAAATCCCTTCACACCTCGTTCCCTGCGCTGAACGCCGCTTCAGCTGAGGCCACAGCGACCCTGGAGAATTTGTCACAGGCGCAAGAGCCTGAATTCATCACAGAGTTTGCGGATCTCAAGAACAAGGGACTGATTGATCCTTCAATCATCCGAAACATCTCTCAACGCATGGGCTTGACGACCATGACCGACGTGCAGAGCCAGACTATCAACCAGATGCTTGGTGGTGTCGATGTGTGAGTACTATTGCATCTATATTACACTTGAAATGAGTTATCGGGACAATTTGCTAACGATTTACTTCCAGCCTGGCCCAGGCAAAGACCGGAACTGGTAAAACTCTCGCCTTCCTCATCCCGACCATGCAAAATATTCTTAGCGACCCTACTCTCCAGCGAGCCCAACCCCAGGGACGTCACCGCTCCTCCGGTGCCGGCTCGTCTGACATTCGAGCCTTGATCATCTCCCCTACCCGCGAACTTGCTGAGCAGATCGCTGCCGAGGCCATCAAGGTCGCGCAGGGCACTGGTCTCGTGGTACAGACCGCTGTCGGTGGCACACACAAGAGGTCGGGTCTGATGCGGATTCAGCGTGATGGTTGCCATCTGCTGGTTGGCACGCCTGGTCGTATCAAGGATATCCTCTCGGACCCCTCCAGCGGTGTCTCTGCTCCCAAGCTGAACACTTTGATCCTGGACGAGGCTGATCGTCTTCTTGATCAGGGTTTCTCACAGGAAATCAATGAGATCAAGGACCTGCTTCCGGATCCGTTCAAGGTTGACCGTCAGACCCTCATGCTTTCTGCCACCGTACCCAAGGAGGTGATGACCATGGTCAAGCGCACTATGAAGCCGGACTTCAAGTTTATCAAGACTGTGCGCGACGACGAGATCCCCACCCACATTCGTGTGCCCCAAAAGACCGTCTTCCTGCACGGTTATGAGAACGCCCTCCCGGCAGTCCTCGAGCTGGCCAAGACCTACCAGGCTCGTCAAGCAGAGGACCAGACCCTGCGCCCCTTCAAGGCCATTGTCTACTTTAACACCTCCAACGAGGTCAATCTTGCCGCCGAGGCGTTCATGGTTCTCCGTGGTATTCGCGGTGATGGACGGAGCGGGTCTCCCCTGGGCCGCATGCGTGTGCACCAAATCCACTCGCGCCTTACCCAAGCTGCTCGAACCAACAGTGCCAACAACTTCCGCCGTGCTGAGGAGGCCATCCTCTTCTCGTCGGACGTCACTGCCCGCGGTATGGACTTCCCCGAGGTCACTCATGTCATCCAGGTGGGTCCTCCGCGCGACCGGGAGACTTATATTCACCGTATTGGCCGCACTGGTCGTGCCGGTAAGGAGGGCGAAGGCTACCTGTTCCTGCACGACGGTGAATACGAGTCCTATCAGAGCAAGCTTGGTGATTTGCCCCTCACTGAGGACACCACCCTCTCCACTGCTGCGCTGAACATGACTCGGGACCTGGCAACAGCCTCCCCGGCGGCGGCTGAGACCATCAACCAAATCAAGGAGGCCATGACCGAGGTTTCTCCGATCATGAAGGAGAGCACTTACCGCTCTCAGTTGGGTGTTGTGTCTCAGAGCTTCACCAAGAGACGTACTGCCATCCTGGCGCTGAACGACCTGGCTATTCACGGCTACGGGCTGGCCGAACCCCCCGCCGTTAAGGCTAGCATCGCACGCAACCTCGGCCTGGATCGCATCAAGGAGTTGAAGATCGAGGAAGGTGGCTCCTATGGCCGCCGTGCCATTGATCCCTTTGACTCTGGACGACGTGGCCGCAGCAATGACGACTCTCCCTTTGGAGGCCGTCGATCCAGCCGTGGCCGATCCAGCTACGGTCGATCTGACTTCGGCGGTCGATCTGACTTTGGCGAGTCTCGCTCGTCGAACCGCAACGGTGGCGGCCTGTACGGTGCTCGTCCCCGTTATTGATTATCTCCATGCGTGGACCGACGGGTCCTTTGAAAGGAAGTTGCTGGCCATCTGAGTCTGTCTTTGTCCGGTTTACGGCAAAAGAAGAAAATCGATAGAGTTATCCCATCCTTGCATTGGGCGGCGTTCTTTGTCTTTCCATTCTTGACATCTTTGTACTATACTCCCCCTCCCTTTCTCCATGACATTCTCCAACTTCTCTCCTCATGTGTTATATACTGTTCTTTGTGGGAAGATTATTTGAATTTAATTGGCAACTATTTCATGCACTAGCATACACTCGAGTCAATTCGAGTCTTTCTATAGGCCATGAAGTAATAGTTCACAGGTTTGGCGCCAAAAGAGTGGTGGTGGTTGTCAACAAACAATGAACAAAGCTTCAATGCATGCTCCACCTCGAAGCCGTTGACTCCACTCCACAATTCGTTTGCTTCAACGTACACGCCTAGTTACCCTAGGACCTAGTGCTATCTTTAGAACTGCCTGTTGAGCATCAAAGGACAACCCTTTCTTGCCAGGCACAGTGTTATTTTTCCACCTAGCTAGAAGTATAGTACTGCATATCCAAATTCTTCTCACGCAGATATCCTTTGCCCTTGTGTGATGTATTTAACTTGCATAGAACTCCCTGGAAAACAGTGTCTAATTCCAAGCCCAATTCGTTTGCTACGTGCATCAAACACATCCACACTTATTCCCTGACTTATATAATTCCCGATTTCCTCATGGACCCCCAGGAGTCCAGAGATACACGCTATAACCTCCGCCCCCGGAAACCCAAGCCACAGTCTCCGGAGGGCACACGTTCTATCAGTGCTCCTTCTCTTCGGAAACGATCCAGCCCCCAGGGCGTAACTAAGAGAAGCACGGGTAAAGGTAAAGGCAGAGGTAAGAAGCCAAGCCGCGGAAGAGCTGCAGGGAAAGGAAAGATGTCATCATCCAGCTTTGAGGGCGGTCGTTTCAAGCGCCCAGAAGAAAGAGTGGTTACTTGGCAGCATGATGGATCCCGCATCGATAATCCTGCTTATTTACCCGCTCAGTGGGATCCGAATGAGTATGATCTCAATGAGAAGTAAGTTGACTAGAAATGAGCTCATTCTGTGATGTGACGGTCACTAACAAAACGCTAGTGATATTGATGGCAACATTGAGCGTTGCCATCTGAGAATCCAGGAAAACATTCTACCAAACATGTTCCAAGCCCGCTTGGCGAGATACATGGAACGTAAGGCAGCACGAGAGTATGTTGAGACCCCTATCATTTCCTATATTGACTACTGATCATCCCTCGTTCACAGTGCAATCATCGCCGCTGCACCGGGGCTGCCTTCGAGAGTCGCCCAGCGCCTCGATGATCTTCGAGCTATTCAGGAGAACTTACTCAAGAACGACCCACAAGAGCAGATGGCCAATGTCCAAGCCATCATTGCCGCGTACCTCGACGGATCGCTTGTGTGGAAACGGGGCACTGTTACCTTCTGGTCGTACGGTAAGATGGTCTGGGGCCCAGGGAAGTTTGACTGGCAGACTTTCAATTCTGTCAACCAAGAGCACCGGGGCCACAGGTCATTCTGGGTTGAAGAGGTGAGTTGATCCAGGATCCCCTACGGTCTCGAATCATGACTAATTCCTTGTTCTTCCGTATACTAGTGCAATCCAAGTTCTGGAACTCTCTACACAAGTTGGAAGGAGCCCCCCGGTGGCACAAATTACCAGCACAGCGTACGTACACCTTGAAAATCCCCCCCTTTTGACCCTTGATAGAAAATCCAAAATTAACCTACTGCAGATGAGAATGCGCATCAGAATCCCAGGCATCGCCGACCCCTTCGTCACCCGCGTTTGGGACTTCCTCGACGACACCGGCGCCTCTTCCACGGGCGTCTTCCAATGCGACATCCAAGAACTCGAAAACGCAGCCCAAGTCCAAATCCAAGCCTTTGGCCACGAACGAGTCGCAACCGCCAACGGTAAAGTCTGCGTCCCGGCTTATCACCTGCAAGCCCGTTTACTCGCCAACAACGACTCCATGCTGTTAATCCCCTGGACCGATATCAAGGTCTGGGTTATGCCCGGGCAGCCGACGGCGAAGTTCAGGAGACTTTCCGGAATCTGGCCGCGGCACTTGCTGTATTTTGCTGACGTTCCAGACAATGAGGGTAATCTATATCTCTCTGATAATAAGGGTGAGTTATTGGTGAATTTGCCTGACGTTAATGTGACACAGGCGATTCCCCCGCGATGGGATGTTCTTGAACCCATGAGTGACGACGACAATATGGATTTGATGATTTAGAATGGGGCTTATGACGAGTACCGGCTTGGGATGTGGGAGGTAGGTCTCTTCCTCCGTCTATAGCTCGGCTTGTATGAGACTCTTTTTCGGTTCTCTGTCTGATGTGTCGTTTGGATATCTGAAGCTACCACGCTCATGGAAAGTCATTGGAGGACGGGTCTGATTCTTTTCGTATGGGTTGTCCAAGGCAGGGGCAGGAGTAGTAGACTCTGGAGTGTAAGAGCTTTGTTTACTTGATTTTAAGGTGGTTCACTGAGAGTTCAAAGTTGATATTGATTGATTACTATTCTCTGGTTGGATTCGGAATTAGAGTTTGAAAGTTTTTTGGGAGTTTGAAGAACGCTATCGCAATTTACAAAGGTTGCCAATTTGCAAGCGAGCTTAAATTACTTGGAATCTAGATGGTGTCAGAACCTATACCATTTATGCACCAACAAGAATAAATCCTCCTATATATTGTAAAGAAGAAGCTAAAGCATTAAACATGGTAGAACCAATTGCGCAGTGAACGTTAGCTGAGCTACATGCTACTAAAGTTGCTTGAATCATTTTGATATTCGGATATGTGCACATTATCACCGGTTAGCCACTTCCTCTAATAATCCACTCTTCCAAAGTAGATTCAATCTCTAAACCATTCATGTAGCTTTGCACTGAGCAAGCCAAATCGAGATGCAAATCAACCATAACGCAACCAATCTTTTGTGGGAAGAATAAGTAGAACATCACTCATGGCGGGATGAGGTATCAGAACAGATAAGGTCGAAACCGTGTATGATTCAATCAAAATATCCCATAATACTGCAATACGAAGGGGGAAAAAACAGAAACAACCGAACAGGAGGTCTAAAGTGACCCAGGAAAACAAAAAAATCTACCACGGGCAGATACTTACTATCAACTATCTCGAAATCGTAGACACGTCAAATACACTCTTTTACTCGCGGGCGATCATGTGTTCACGGGCAGGGCCGGTACCGATCCACTTGATGGGGACACCGCCAATCTCACGCTCGATGAATTCGATGTAAGCGCGGGCGTTGGCGGGCAGGTCCTCGTAGCGGGTGACACCCATGGTGTTGGACTTCCAGCCGGGAAGCGTAACGTACTCAACCTTGATCTTCTCGACAACGTTGGGGTCGGCGGGGAAGGTACCGGTGGTGCGCTTGCCGTCGGGCAGGACGTAAGCGACACCGACCTTGATCTCGTCGAAGTCATCCAGGACGTCGAGCTTGGTCAGGTTTAGCGCGGTGTAGTGGTTGATGGCGTGCGAGTAGCGGCACAGGACCAGGTCGAGCCAGCCACAGCGACGGCGACGGCCAGTGGTAACACCGAACTCGCGGCCGACGCTCTGGAGCTTGTCACCATCCTCGTTGAGCTGCTCGCTAGGGAAGGGACCGGAGCCGACACGGGTGGTGTAAGCCTTGACGACACCAATGACGTTCTTGATGCTGGCGGGGTTGAGGGCCAGAGCCTGGACGGCACCACCGAGACCCGTTGAGGAGGAAGTAACGAAGGGGTATGTGCCGTGGTCCAGGTCGAGCATCAGGGCGTTAGCACCCTCGACCAGGGTGTTGGGGGAGTTCTTATGCTCCTGGAGGAACTCAAGCTGATCGACAATGTAGGGCTTGAGCATGGTGCGGTATTCCTAGCGCAGGTGCGGGTCAGTTCTATATCTCTTCCGCACATCAATTTTTTTCTTCCCTCGCGATAAAAACATACCTTAAAGCGAGCGATTTCCTCCTCAACATCGTAGGCAATGTCACCGAAACGCGCGCGGTAGGCAGTGTCCAAGGTGCGCAGCTTGCGCTCAAAAGTCTCCTCATCCAGAATCTCGCCAACGCGGACACCACGGCGAGCAGCCTTGTCACTGTAGCAAGGGCCAATGCCCTTACCGGTGGTACCGACCTTGCGACCACCAAGACCAGCCTCCTCCAGGCCATCAACGACGGAGTGCAGGTCGAAGCAGACGTGCGCGCGGTCGGAGACGAAGATGCGCTTGCTGGCAGATGACAAGCCCTTTTCCTGGATGGCCTTCAGCTCCTTGAAGAAGCTGGGGACGTGGAAGACGGTACCAGCACCGATCAGGTTGATACATGTGGGCGAGACCAGGCCGGAGGGGAGGATGTGGAAGTCGTAGGTGACATTTTCGTGAACAATGGTGTGGCCGGCATCTATTTCACGAACCCAAGGCGGGTAATGGTCAGTCAACCTGGACCCGTGGGAAAATGACTCGCAATGCTTCGAGAAAATGTGCTCCGTAGATTTGAATCAATGACGAGCCCTTGGGGTCACTTACTGTGGCCACCAGCAGCACGACAGCAAAGCGTCGCCTGCTGCGACAGCATGTCTGTGATCTTTCCCTTGCCTGTACATCCCGCATCAGCGCTGCGAATTCCTCCACTTCCAACTTCATAAGTCCCGGAAAGGCCCACCTTCATCTCCCCATTGACTGCCTAAAACGATGGAGACCATAATGTATTCTCACGGTCGGTATGATTCTCGATCGTGACGTTCGGATTTGATATCGAATTGGGGGGTCAATTGGTCGTAGTGGTGGGGGGGGTTTGGAGAGGAAAGAGAAGTACGTCCGGCTTCGGATGGCGGGGCAAAGGTCTGGCTCGGGTCAGTCTCGGTGTGCTCGGCACTCTCCGGTAGAATTGATGAAACGTACCAACTATCCCTTGAGGATAACTAGAAGAAAAGAAAAGGAAAGGCAGGATTCTGCTTGGAATTGACTTTGCTTTTTAATTGAGTGACTCACGCCGACTTTTTTTCTTCCCGCATTGACACCCTGTAATTTTGGTATCTTTTTGGGTATTTGCAGTACACACTTCCGCGGGGTTGTCATTTTCGATTCCTTAGTGCCTGAGCCATCTTGGTGCCTGAGGCTTATAGGGCAGGGTTTTCCGCGAACTATAACGAAGCACTCGAAGCCTAGTATAACCGAGAAAAGCAGTAAATCTACAGAAGAACCACGGAGAATGGAGTCATGATTAAATCTATCAGATGAAAAATCAAATGCAGGGTATTTCACCAATCAAAGACATCATAACCCCCCAATGCAGGCGGCAAATAACGCAGCAACAAATAACGCCTGCCCAAAACCTCTCTACCGATGCTATACGCATCCAACGCCGACTTCGTCCGTAAATCATTTCTCGTATCCAAATACTGAGAGAGTAAGGAGAACGAACACTCACGCAACGAGTCTCTTTTCTCATGCCACCTTGCCCCCGTTGCGAATCCATTCTCGTAGACGACCGAGCTCAAGAATGCAATCACGGTGCAGCTCGCAGGCCACTTCCCAGTGCTTGCGTACTCTGATATCCTCCTCGATGCCACGCAAGTACGCACTGTAACCGCCCTTGCCACTGCCTGGCACAAGGTATTCGTCGAGCTCGGTAGGCTCGAGATCACCCCGAGCCCCGTTCCGCTCACCATTTCCATCCCCATCAACCCCATTCATCTTCAATCGGGTCGTATCACCAACAGCGCTGATCCAGCCGGGCGCGAGGCCAGTCTCAACGGCATCTTGGCGGGCATTGAAGTGAAGGAGCATGCGGCGGTTGAAGGTGTTCCATTCGTGCATGTACGTACCCATTGCGGATACATACCAGTTCCATTTATCCCGCGAGAGAACCGTTCTGTGTGACCCAGGCGCAATAGGAATTGGGGCCGGTGCCGTCGGTCGCTTGGGAGGGTTTGGCAACTGGAGATCCCGGGGGCGAACGTCTTCCCTGGTGGTAGTTTGAACTTTGGCCCTTGACTCGAACGGTAGTGTAGCAGAGACATCTCCAAGATTTTCAATGCCCCCGCTGTTGGTGCTAGTAAAGGGTGCAAGATTTCCGAAGTTGCCAAGATCATAGAGTGGCGAGCGTGAACCATTTTGAGATGGGATACGATTTTTCTGTGGAGGTGGATGAGATCTTTGCGGTGCACCTGCATGAGTCCCTGCTGCAGGATGTGCAGATAGATCGGGGTATTTGGTAGTTCTTGCGCTACCAATAGGTATATTCGGTTGCACAGACGCAGTTGCCGGTGGTATGGATGGCGAGTCATCGTCAAGGTCCATGGGCTCTTCACCGACAGGTATGGAGGAGTTGTGTTCGGGAAGAACGTCTTCGCTGACAGTCTCCTCAGCCTCTTCAACTTCGCTCGCCACTCTGACGGGTTTCGGTGTGCTTCGGACTTTAGTACCTGACCGCGGCGCCTTCTGAGGGCTCCGGGAGGAAGATGTATTGTCTGATTGTCCTGACTTTTCTGCAGCCGTCCAGGAGATATTGTGCAGGTCTTTGGACCACTTGTCTGCAGAGAACTTGGCCTGCGCAAAAGGGGTAGGTGCTTGCTGCGTCTGTGGTTCAAAAGAGCTTGCTCTAGAAGTGAACGCGTTCAGTCCCGATGGCGTTGATGACTGTGCTGGGCTAGCGCGAGTGCTGGCCCGTGGCCGGGCATTCGAGTTCGCTGATCCTGTCTTGCCGAGAGGAACTCGGTCTTTGAAAGTGGCGCCAAGGAAATTGACTTCATCGAGGTGTATCCGCCAATCTTCGGCAGAGAACTTTTTGTGAAGGTTATTGGCGTTATGGCGAGCATATGCAGCAGGATCTGTCTTCTCGTGTGTTGAGCTAATACTATAAGAGAAAATGTGAGCCATGAACTATAGAGTTGTGAGCCCAACATAATTTTACATACTTGGAATTCGAGTCCTGCTGCTCTGGGTGGTGTGATCCTTTCGCGAACGCAGCGCTGTCTGAGTTGTGACCTTTGTTATCGTCGCTGTCAGCGGTCAAGTCAATAAAAGTGGGAGCCCGTCGAGGATTTCGGGTTCCTTGTGTGGCTGACGACTGTCGATGGCCTTGGGCATCTGGCCGGGCGGAAGCTTCCTCACCAGTTCCAGGGCTAGAGTCCCTCGTTCGATAAAAGTTGCCAAACTTTTGATTGGGTCGAAGTCGACTTTTAGGGACAGCCATAGGTTTGAAACCGTTGGGTCGACGCACTTCTTCTTCGATTATATCGTCATCGAGATCACTTGAAGTTGTTGACGAAAATGAATAAGATCGGTCCCGTCGAGTCTGAGGGCTGGCGCTGCGATGTCTCTCCGGTTGAGCAGGGTCAGGGCTCGACGGGTTGGTGCGGGCATTCTTTGATGCTCGGTATGAAGACGTGGGTGTACGCATGGTCGATGAACGTCCTAGATTCGGGTGTGCAAAAAAGGTCTTCTCGCCTCCTGTGGTAGCATAGCTCCTGCTAGTTCGCTCGAATTCCTGCGCCAACGGTGGAGAGGGGGATTCTGCTGATTCTGATTGCCAATTTGGAGACACGGGTCGCGTTGACTTCTTGGCCGTTGGGGGAGGTGCAGAGTCAAAATACATGGTACTTGGCCGCTCGCTTCGGGTGCTGGTATAAGCACTGGTATTCGGTGCCATGGGCTCATCTCCCGCAGCGGTTCCTGGCGCATATCCATGCCTCTTCTTAGGTGGATTCGTGTCCGCACTTGCGGAATTTTTAGCCTGGACATTTTCCTTGTGAAACTCGTACGCGGACTTGGGCTTAGGGTTCCCAAAAGGCGCGTTCTGTTGCCGTGGCGTAGAGCCTGAGGTAGGGTCAAATCCTCGCCAGTTTTGACTCCTCATGTTATGGAAGCCCTTGAATGCATCCGCTCTTGTCTGAGCTTCGTCCTGTGACTTTTGCCATTGTTGGGGTCCTGCGCGCGCATGAGTAGCATATCGTGAAGCGCCAGCTGAAGGTCCACTAGACGCGCCTTGCGATCGACTATTAAAGGAAGATTTCGGAGCTTGTGACCTGTTAGGGGACGTGGTATTCCAGGGAGGGGAAGGGGAGTCGTCCGAGGGATTGGGACCTGTGGAGGGACCTCCGGGAGAAGCGGGGTGGTGCGAACCTTGTGTTTTGGGAGGAGCGGCCGTCGAGTAGCTCTGGGAGTAACTGGGCTGGGTCTTGCGTGGGGTAGTCCTGGACGGTCCATATACCTTGCCATATCCTGCGCGGAGGCGCTCTGTATCGTACTTCAACCGTTGTTGGGAGTCGCTGAGGATCTCGTGCGCCGCTTGGATGGCCTGGAATTTGGCGATTACATCTTGTTCACGCCCTTGGTTTCTATCAGGATGGAATTTGAGGGCTAGACAGGCCCGGTCAGCTTTCTCCGTCTTAACAAACGAGTCTCCAAAGGGCCTCAAAACTCACCCAGTCTCCTGAACTGCTTTTTAATGTCCTCCGCCTCCGCATTGGGTTGCAGACCCAGGTCCGCATAGTAGTCCCTTCGGACGTCCGCTTTCACCATGTTGATCCAGTTGTTCAGGCAATATCAGAGGCCCAGACGGTGGTCAAAGTTGCATTATCAACGTTTTGGTAAGGAAGGGGTGCTGTCGAGCATGTCCAGCCATAAAAAAAAGTTCTGCTCGAGTTTCCCAGTTCAAGGGCGTCGCATAGATGCGCAAACGAAGTGGGTATATGTCGTCGCCGTCGATAGAGAAACCAAGGTGAAACCCGCAGATTATTCAGCTAAGGACGTGTTATAGTCGCCCAGGCAGTCGTTCCTCTGCCTCGAAATGAAAGTGGAGGCTGGCGATGAGGGTCGACGGGAGTCGGTTGCCTACGGGACCCACGCGCTGGCAGGGCTGAGCGGGATAGAGTCAAAGCGAGTGTTCGGTTCAAGAGTTCGCGGAAAAGGGCGTATTACTGCGTTCAGTCGGCAGTAGTCGGGATGTCGCTCGTAGACAGGAGGTAGAGCGGGGAGGAATGGCTTTGCGTTTGGATTTGGTGGTCGCGGTAGCGGTTGCGGGCAGAAATCGCAAATGGTAAGATCGTGAGCACTGGGCACCTGATGAGGTTAATGTTAGGCAGATTTGGGTCTGAGCGCAGATCGCGCCGGATCACTGGGCAGAGCAACCAACGAGACGCGACCAAGCAGGCTGTCAGCCAGTCCCCCGAGTAGCCTGAAAGGTTAATGAGTTGGCTTCAGGTGACAAAAAGTTGAAGTGTTTGTTTTGGCGCGGATGGGGGGAGTTGCTGCCCAAGGCATTCACAAAACCTCTGGCCATCTCTCAGCCCGCCCCCATGCATCAAATCATTGGCCTTTCAGCGATGACCCCCTTACGACTCGGCAGGGGTCCCTTTGCGTACCTCATTTTCCGGATCGAGCTAGTTATCCAATGGTGCTATTGCATCATTAGCTATCTATTAAAATCTACAGATGAAACGCGAGGATTGGTCATTAGATCTAGTCTCTTGATATGTGTGTGATAGACAGTATATAGTATGTGGTATCGCGAATCGGACAAAAAGAGGTACAATGACAAAACAAGAAGAGTAGATGAAAATAAAGTCCGTGACCCCTTAGCCCGCAAAACCAGTCCTTTTCAACTGCAAATCCCCTCTTTGACGATATGGTCCCAAACAAAACAAGTAGGTCGTGGTAGAAAGAGGGAGACGGGGTGGGTAGCGGGAACGCACGAAGTACAGAGAAGAGACGGTGATGCAAAGAAAAGAAGTCAAGTGCATTTCGAAAACACCCGTGGCACCATGGGAGCAAGAATCAAGGCAAGGCAGAGGAATCCTTACGCATCCCCGCCAGGTGCGCCGGCGCCGGAGCCACCAAAGAAATATCCCTCGAGGATATCATAATTGGGATTTTCGCTCCAATCATGCTGGAAGTCCATGGCCATGCCGAATCCAAGATCAATACCCACATTCTGACCTAGGGTGGGCATACCTGCAAGATTGTACTCGGCATTTGGGTCTTGCCCCATACCCTGGTTCTCGGTGTCACCGGACGCAAAATCCAAAAAGTCCAAGCTAACGCCTTGCTGATTCTCCAGTTCGGTGGGTGGCAGACCATGGGGTCCACCAGCCGACTGAGCAACGCTACCCGGAGAGCCACTCTGTGGTGGGGAGTTTCCATAGTAGAACTGGGGATGGGCCTGGGCTTGGGCTTGGGCTTGCGGAGATGTTTGACCTTCATATTTCATATAGTACTCCATGGATGGAGTGCGTTGCCCGAATGGCCGCGTTAGACCGGGTGCAACAGCCTCTGCAGTTTCTGGTCGGACAGCGTAGTTGGTGCCTGGAGGCCTACTGTCGGTTCGAGACCTGTCGGCCAAAGGCGTGTTGGTGTCACTGAACAGATCGGCTAGATTCATATCGAACTTGGGCACCGGCCGTGCGGTCCGAGATTGAGTCGAGCGTCGGCCTTGCCCTTGGCCTCCCTGGTGTCTCTGGTTCATTGCCTGGCGCCGGCCTGAATACAGATTACCCGCAGCGTGTGCAGCCGCTTGGATTCGGGACATATCAACCTGAGATCCAAACCCAGTGGTTGACAGGCACATTTGAACGGTAGCCTTGCTCATCCGCTCAAAGGCATCCCGGCAATTCTCTGCAGGAGGACACTTGTGCATTAAGTCACCAAGAACAGAGGTTGCTGCAAGCACAGTAAAATCAACCTCGTCCAGAGTCTAATGAAAGAGAGGTCGTTAACATCAAGCAAGACGTAAAAGCAGAGCAATACTTACTAATCGACTGCGGACCAATGGCGAATGCCAAATAGCATATAAGAAGGATATTCCTAGATATCATCAAAATCAGCGAATAGATCAAAGAAACCGGAATCAAGACCCAAATATCCTACCGGCCATGAAAATATGATGCGTAGCAAGATAGGTGTAGTTCACCAAGCGCACGCGGTGCAACTGCCGATAGATTCGAATGACTTTCTGACCCGCCTCTGCAACGTTCAAGTAGACATGGTCCTCGTCATCGCCCTCCTCGGGATTAGAGAAAGATGGACTAGACACGTCATCTGCGGGTGTCAGCTCTGAAGCCAACTCTGCCGGTACTGTCAAGCTCTGTTGATACAACAAAATAATAGCTTGCCAGTAGTTCAACTCCAAAAGCTCGATAGAAAAGCGTACACCCGTGTCAGGACGCGTTGGTGCAGACTCATTCCACTCCACCAAACGACGATGTACATCATGACGCCATGAACGGAATGAATCGAAACCTTGGAGGAATGGGGATGTTAATTCGGCGTGGGGAAGGATCGTAGCACTTTCGGACGCCCGCCTACGCACGGCGCGGGCCTGTTGATATTGAAGGACGTCGTGAATTTCGGATTGAAGAAGGCGTAACTTGAAGTAGTGGAAAGCGACGTGCTTGTATGTTGGAGCTCCGTCGGGAGGCGTCAAGAGGCCGGATTTGGTGATGAACTTGTCATCCATCATGGACGGGAATTCCGTGCTGATAGCCTGATCACTGATGCCAAATGGTCGGCCCACACACGTGGCTACCAGACGGTCGAAGCTGTATACACACCACCACAAACGGCGCCGTAGATCACGCACCCATTCGCGGCGGCCTCGCTCGCGGGCATCGATGCGGGGCTGGACTTGGTTTCCATCTTTCGTACCCAAGCCAATGCCATCTTCATAATGAAGTCCGAGGTCGACAGCCAAGCGCATTGCAACACCGACAATATACCACAAACCAGGGGCAACCGGACGAAGCAAGGCAAAGCTGGCCAGCAGAAGCACTGCCTGGAGTTCTTCCAGGCCACCAAAACCTTCGCTAGATGAAGAACCAAGGAAAGATTCCAGATGAACGATTGCGGAGGCATGGTACTCCTCGGGCTGATACTGATGATTCGACAATCGTAACCTCTTTGTCGTTGATGAAGCTCGGTCACGGCCTGCGTGGTCCTCATCATCCGAAGCCTGAGGCTTGTCCTCAAAAATGATACCTGCACCGATAGCAAACACAATGTTGAGAACATAAAGAGCGCGAGGGGAACGATTTTTTTCTTCCAAGAGGTATGTGCGGTCGAGAAGCTCCATGAAATCTCCGCGGTGGAGGATGGGCATTTGAGGGTTGGCGTGTTCAAAATAAAGGTCCACCAGACGCTCGGCAAGCTCGCGATCTGGAAAGGCAGCGCGTTTCATCATCGGTCTCGTCTGGAGTCCGAAGAATGAGTCGCGCATACTGCCTCCAGCAGGACCAGCAGCCGTCTGCGGCAGACGCTCGCTAGGACGGATCGGGGCACGCTCGGGCACATGTCCTGGGAGCGAACTCCGTACCGCAGCGAAGACAACTCGGGCAAATGAGATGCCCGAAGTTGAACCAAGATATCGAGGATCGGAAGTGCCCTGTACGGAAACCATACCAATATTTGACACCAAATTATGCAGTCGCCAGTTGTCCTCGTTTGCAGCATCACGATTCCCGTCCGAATCTCGGCCTTGATCTCCACCTGCTCTTTGAACAGGTCCTTCAGCCTCTTCTTTGATCGCGGAGCCTTTCCATGACTTATCGGCACCCTCGGTACCGGGGCCATCGGCGCCAGAACCGGTTTGCGCCGTATCGCCTTCTGTCTCCGTCTTGACGGCTTCCTCTTCGTCGAAAGCCACGGCTTTTTTGAACTCGATATTGTGCTCTGCTAGTTGCTTCTCCAGATAGGCGACCCGAGTCTCTAGAAAATAGACATAGCTACGCGGAATCTCCCGCTTCGTGATAGGGTCGTATCCGACGCAGCGAACTCCAGCTTTTTCACAAGACTGGCACCGCGGAAGTCGCTGATCGCAGCGGTTCTTGCGCAGCCGGCAGCGATTACAGGCCGAGACATTTCGGAAGGATGAGGAAGAGGCGGTCGAAGCCACGGTGGTAGTCGAATGTGCTGTTGAGAGGGCGGGTGAGGTGGAAGGGACGGCCGCTGAGGTGGAGGGGTTGTCTCGCGAAACGTTCGCAGAATCGGATTGGGTGGGCGGCGTCTCGCCGGATGGATGAGGTCTCTTCTTGCCCGAAGAGATGGGTGAAGGCGGGGAGGGGAGGTTAGGCATGGTGAAGAGCGAGGGGCGAAGGCCGCAGACCTGCGATCATCTCTTGACGGTGGAGTTCGGCGAAGACGGCGGTCGGGAACAGCGGCTGGACTCCCCGGTTTAGATCAGCATTCATGATCCAAGTCCAGGAACGGGCGATGCGGGTTCGGTTCGGCGCAGGGCAGCGGTTCTTGCAAAGCGAAACGAAAGGAAAAGAGGCGGCCCGCACTCGTCAAATGTGGACGGCGAGCCAAACCTGCTCTCCGCGGCGCAAATGCACGCGACGGAGGGAGATTAATCTCCGAGGTAGGAAATGAGGTTCGCTGGATAGCGCGAGAGTAGTGCAATCCAAAAGATCAGGTGACCACCGTGTCTGAGCGAGGTGCAAGGGCAACATGTAGCTGCAGAATGAGGAGAGAGAGGAAAGAAGTTGCGTCGCATGGCTACGATGATAGGGCTCTGGTGGAGTTCGGACCAATGACCTTTCCCAGTCACGGAGAAATTTAAGTTGCCCTCGGGAATGGAGCGCTCGGCACTTCCGTACCCCAGATTTTTGGGGCGTTTGGGAACCAACTGGGGTAGGTCACAGCGAGGATAAGATCGGTGAGAACGGGGAGAGATTTAGGCTACTGGAGTCAAGTGTCAGCGCCAGTCCCTATATGTCCATTGGCCCTACATGAATGCCGCAGCGCTCGATATAATGTATCCAACTGTCGAGTCGAGCCAAGTGGATCTTTCCCCGGGAATAGTCTGCTGTCATTGGCTGAGCCGCGGAAGTAGTGAGAGGCGAAGGCCATTGAGGGTTGAGTTAGGGTCATGGCAGTCTCCAAGTGTAATTTCTTTGAGATGCTCTTGGGAGAGTCGCACACGGGATGGTTGAGCGAACGACGGAGGTATATACTGTAGCCTGCAGTCAGGTCATATGATCGGAATCGACTTGTCTGATGCAGACAAGGTAGCAATGAGGGATCTACTGAGTGGATATCCTTCTTGGCTTGCAGTTCAAACTGAAAATGCCCCTGGGTACGGCGCTAAACGCTAGTGTGGGCTCTGAAGGATGTTTTACGCCGAGATTTAAGAAAGTCTAAGCAGGAAAGCCGTGCAGAGCAATAAGGTAAGGCCGTGCATTGTGTCAAAAGTCCGTAACAGGAAAATCTATCGAGGATCCGCAATGGTGGTTTCGGGACAACAGGCAGAATGGAGAAATAGGTAAAGAACCGCAAGAGACGCAAAAATCACAGAGAACCTCCCAGATGCATGAGTATCATCATAATATAATCCCGTTTCAATGCTCCCGAAGACAAAAGGACAAAAACAAAAGAAGGGCCATCGTCTCATAACAATGGAAGAAGGGAAAAAAAACCAAACCCGAAGAAAGTAAACACAAGGTTTATGCTTTTCTGTCGCATATGCATCCACTCTATGTCAGTTGCGCCGTTCCTGATCTCGATGAAGCGAGCGGAAAAAGGAAAACAAAGCACACACGAAAAGACAGGAAAGAAAAAGAAAAAGAGAATCATGGGGAAAGTAGGAAAGGTATCATGGCTAGAAAATGAGGAGAAAATAAAAGAAAAAAGAAAAAAGAAGCCCTCCGTAGAAGAGAGGGGAGTGCAATAGCGTGAAGAAGAAGTGTGGGATGCCCTTCCAGAAGGACAAGGCGAGATGACAAGAGGGGTATGCTCATGGGTAACATACACCACTCTCATCTTTTAGCGGTGAGGAGTGATAGAGGACAAGTCGGTCTCCGGGGGAGTTGAGAAATCGTGAATGGGGTTCAAGCTCAAGGTGGAAACGTCGAATTCCTGATCAAGGCTGGAGCGCAGAGAGAGCAGGCGCTGCTCTTCCTCCGAAATAGAATCTCGGCAAGCGTAAGAATCATTCGACATGGTCTCATGCTTGAGCTCCATCTCGCTGACCTCGGAGTCTTGATCCTTGAAGCGCTCGGGCTCGGGGGACTCCTCCATCCAGAAACTTTGGATGGCACCAACGACGCAGACTAGCCCGCAGGCCCACCATGCCAGCACGGAGTAACCGCTCAGCAGACCTCTAGAGTGCAGTAGCCCCGTCACCGTGGGCCCAAAGGCACGACTGAGACTGGCGGTGGAGGCAGCAGCGCCGTTGATGGAACCGAGGACCTTTGACGAGGGAGCGGCGTTGGCCAGCAAGATGGCGATCGCGGGGAAGGCGATAACGTGCAAGGTGATCTTGCTGATCAGGGCGACGTAGACGGCGGGCATCTGGAGTTTAGCAGGGAGTAGGATGAGATAGGGCACGGCCAGGTAGAGCGGCGGCCATGCCAGCAAAACGAAGCGGAACGTGCGCAAGGTGCCAAAGTGCTTGACGACGAATGGGAAGAACCAGAGTTGAGCGATCATAGAATAAACTCCCTGGACGGCCAACATGAACCCGATGGTCTTCGTTGGCAACCCAAGACCACCGGTAAACTTGAGGGGCAGGACGATCGCATCGTCGGACTTGGGCGTGCTGAGGAAGACTGGCATCAGCTGATCGAAGGACACGCTGTGACTGTTGCGGGGAGATTAATGTCAGCAATTATGCAGGGCTGCAGGAGGGAGGGGGGAGGAGCAATAGTGGCATGCAGATGGAAGTTCATTGGGGCCAACTCACTAGGCGAGAATGCCGTAAGCAACGATGGTGAAGATGACTTGTCGAGTGAACGCCTTGGGCGCGGCCGGTTTCTGTCCCTCGACGTCGACGTCACACTCTGTTGCTCCCACACTCACGTTCACGGGGCGCAGGCAGGGCGATGATTCGGCACTTTCATATTCGGGTGGAACGTCGCCATACACGAAGTACTTGGTCTCCTCCACCCCCACGTCAGAATCATTGGGGAGCTGCACACGCGAGCCACAGCACTGGTTGATCAACCAGTGGCCCAACTCACGGCCGCGGTCTCTTCGGTGCTTCTTTTCGGGGTGCGTCTCCTCCAGAAACAGGAATCCGACCACAATTCCACACACCAGCACGACAATGCACACCAGGTTGGGCAGCAGGAACGGGAACCGGTCGAAGAGCGTGTTACGCGAGAACAGCCACGGGTAGTTGTCGCAGGGTTGGGCCAATGCACCGCCCATAGCCGGCCCAAGGATCGAGCCTAAGCACCACACGAACGGCATGATCGAATATGCTCGCGGCTGATGCTCCTTGACCGTCACGATCTCAGCCACCGTCGTTTGAAGCACTCCGATATTCCCATTCAACAGTCCACCCAGGGCTCGCGCAATCATCGCCGTCGCTAGGTTGGGCGCAAATCCAAAGGCGACCATGCTAATAGCCGTGCCAATGAGACCCATGATGAGCACCGGCTTGCGGCCGATCCGGTCACTCATCCGGCCCCAGAACATGCCAGCGGAGAATTCGGCAAAGGTGAAAGACGAGGTGATCATGCCGGCGTAGAGCGCGATTTTTTGGTCATTTTCGGTTACATGGAACGATTCCACCATGTGGTACACATAGGGGAAAATCGACATGAAAGCAATGGGTTCGCAAATTCGAACAAGTGCTGTAAGGACATGGTCAGTCTCTGGACACGGTCTCTCGGTATGCGCTGCGAAAACCTTTGCAGGCTGCGGCTGTTTTCTTTCGAGTGGCGTGTTCAATTGTATAGCTCATTGTCCCACTTATCCTCCTCTTTCTTTATCGTTTCTTCTCGATCTTACTTCGAAAACAGCCTCATAGATTGCAATGCGCGCATCAAAAGTACCACACTTACCTAAGACGAACAATTGCCGAATGGGAAATGTAGACCATTCCTCGGCCTCGCGATTGCGCGGTCGTCGGCCTTGCAAACATGCTGGTCGTCGGAACATATTGTGTGATAGATCGAAAATCAGCCCGAGGGCAAAAGGCCGAAAAGAACAGAAAAAAAAAAGATGTATCTGAACAAGAAGTTAAGGAGCAAAAATTGGACTCCCCACTTTCAACTCCGAGAGAATCGTTCGTGAGGGGGGAAAAAGTACCAAAGAGCGGTGCTTTTGTTTTCCCCCTAAAAGAGGCGACACTACCCCGGGTTAATGCGTCAGGGCTCGAAAGGGAGCGAGGAATGTAATATCGATGTGGAGACTGATGATATCGGAGTAAGGAGCAGGCGTCGTGATTTTAGGGCTTCAGCATTGCTCCCCCTGCGGTTGGGTAATTTCTATCGTGAACCCGATAAGGCGGAAGATCCTCGGGACCCAGCAGTTGGGAAAGAGTACGGGAGACTCTCTGCAAGGGAGATTGAACACAGATCGGTTGAGAAAAGGAGAACCGCCGTAAGATAGGGAGGGCGCGAGGGGACTATCGGAGATTTTGGTTCTCCACGTCGATCCCAGAAGAAATTGGAAATCAATACAAGAAAAAAAAAATATAGTGCACTCTGAATGTAGAGGAATAGACAAAGTTTCAATGGAAGACGAAGAGTTCAAAAGGGCGGTAGGAAGAATGGGGAAGGGATCTATGAAGAATCTCGGGGCACGGGTTGATGAAAGGAGGTGTAGAGTTGCGACTTGAGTTTCAAGAAGCAAAGACAATGAACAAGAAGGAGAGGAAGGGAGTCATTCCATGGAGCCGGAGGGAAAGGGGAGAACTATTATATGAAAAAGCGCGGGTGTCGACAGTAGAAGTGGATAGCTCCATCTATAGAACACCGATGTGATCAGGCGCCAAAAAGGGTGCCAAAAATCATCAACCGTTCAGCATCACCGCTTGGGAATTTCGGTTACAGCTGTACAAGAAGCCGCAGGATGCAGATTGGAGCAAGCAAACATCACGGTTGGATCAGGACAAGACCGAAAAAGGGAGTGGGTCCGGTGGGATTTTGGGGGGGGGGAAAGAATAATTATTATTTTTTTTTTTTTCTATAATTTTTGGGTTTTATGGTTTTAATTAATTTTCAGTTCTGCTTCCTAGAAGCTCTGTGTAATTTGACTCGCAATAATAATCGAAGGGTGGATCGGGACCATCCGACTGGGGGGGGAGGGGGGGGGGAAGAGCCGTCTAGCCACTTAAAAGAAAATGATATGTCCATATTTCTTAAGGAGGGGGCGAGAGAATCAAGCAGGGCCCCGTGAAAAAAAAAATTTAAATTTAAGATTAGCGGATAATTTAAAACTCAATAGACAAGAATTCATAGACAAGAATTCAATTAAGAGAAATGGAGTTTAACGAGAAAGCCTAAAAGAACAAGACGAAAGCAGATAGGAGGCAAAAACCCAACAGCGAAAATACACGTCGAAGGGTTATGGAAAAGACAAGGGGAACGGAGTATAGTAGTAGAGAACCAATATGTGGGTCGGTCAGAGATTGTAAACACAGTGGGGGAGAGTTACTAGGGAAAGAAAGACAAGGCTAAACTAGACATCGTCATCGTTGAGACTGGGACTGAATTTTAGTCACAATGTAATTAAAATAACTTAATAATTACAAGCATAATCATCATCACCAGACGGAGGAAAGAAAGCAAGACCTTGTTAATCATCAATTCCGTTCTGGTAGAGAACCCGATTGTCACGTTTTCCATTCCTGCCCAGAGATCGAAACGTCAATCAGATCAATCAGATCAAAGCATTGGGGGGCAGGTTTTTCCATCCAACCCCGTTCCCACTTTGTACCAAAATCCTCCTTCTAGTTTACTTCCCTTTCTTCGTACGGCCCCCTTCGATGCGCGATGAAGCTCTCTTATTCGACGGATCCATTTTCACTCCCCAGATCCGGGAAGGAGAATTAAAGGTATTCGAAATAGTCAGTGGGTTTATAGCCATCAAAAATTGAAAAATAAAAGATCAATACCTACCGCATTCTGGCTAGTCCATTACGTCCGTACTTTCTTCCCGCCGCAACGCCAACTAAAGCTACCGAGTTTATGGAGTCATACGGCTCGTACTTGTTTAAATTACTGTACCGACCGTACCTGATGGATCATGGATCATGGATCATATACCGGTAGACCCGCGGCCCCGACCCCCGGGCCCCGGGGAACAGCAGGAGGCGACTCCTTAGTGTGCCTCCCTTGAGCCCGGCTCACTAAAGCCGCGCTAAGGGGATTCTCCCCTTCTCCCCCCTCTGTGTATGTATGGCGTAAGGCAAGGATGATCGGCTTACCTTACACTCCGTCTTTTTTGACTCCCGGAGCTTGGGATTCCTTTTTAGCGCGCTTTTAGTGAGATGATAGATCGCAACTGTCCATTCCTGCTTTGAGGACTGACTTGATAAATAATTGATTATTTTATTCTTAGATAATTTAATATATCCATGCCAGATGCGCCGCTTCGAGACTTACTAGCCCTAAGTTGGAAGAGTAAAGTAAGAATGGGGATACATAACCAAGGCCCCGGGGAGAGCCACCCGAAAGACTAGTGGTACAGTAGTCCTGTCGAAGATCGGGCAAAACTGAGCCACATCGATCCTCTCCATGCTTTGGAGGATTCTCTGTCACTTTCGAGGCACATTCTGTATCGCTTTCGCGGTAAATGGAGCTATAGACGCACCCATGGCAGTAAACGCTAGCGTCATCGATGCAAATAGATGCCTCCATCTGTCACGGAATGAATAAGATTACCTCGATTACCTTTGGTGAAACATTTCGCTAGCCACAAAGCCTTCGCATCCGATATAGCTATGGACGTGAGATGAATGAACTCTATTATTCTGTCTTGTCGGGTATGAAGGATCGTCTTCCCCGACACGGACGATGACTACGCTTCAGCTGAGACTGGGGCGCGACGCGTTAAAAGAGGAATGGAGGGGGGAGGCCCCAGTGGAGCCAGATAGGAAGAGTAGCGGGGGGCAAGGCACCCCTCTCGATGCAATTCGAAGACTGAGCCGTTGAACGAGAATCAAAAATAAAATGAAATAGAACACAAACAAATAGAATGGTAATTGCGTGTTTCGCATTGATTTGACCTACTATTCGATTGGGCGGAGATCCAGCCGTTATCAGTATACAATACGCAAGTATACACTTTAGATACATTTCACGCAACGCGCGGTTACTGAGCCTCGCCCCCCCCCAAGCCTCAAAAGACGTACAGTACAGAGTACAGCACATTCAAAAAAAGCGCCCAATGGCGATTGTGGCCAACATTCCAGGGCGCTGTAGACGTGCGCTTTCATCGGATTTGTCGGATTTGTCGGGTCCGCAACATGCTTCAAACCGTTGTGGCCCTGCCTATCATCCAGATGATTGGGACCATTGGGTCTTCGTCATAGGTTCAACGCCGCAGAATCGTACAGTGTATCCAGAGCTCTGGGTCGGTAAGCCTGCCTGATGATTCCGGACAATGCCAATGGATCGCTTTGAATGGTCGGACGGATCATAGTAAGCAAAAGAAGAAAATGTTTATGGCGTTAATTCTCTATCGTATGAAGCCCTTTCCGATGTGGTACACAGTCGAGATTCGCATCAGCCTGTAACTTGAAGCGAGACAATCCCATTGCAGAAAGACGACCCAAAAGTCTAGATCCGATCCTCATCCCAGCCTTTCAAGTCTCTCCTGTCTGAATATCAGGGCTGGCCACCAATTCTTCTACCCTGACTGGACAGCGGGAAGGGTACTATTGGACTCGACCTTTTACAAGTCAATTCTATGGGCCCAACGGGTTGTTATAAACGGGAGAGGTTCTGATCATCAATCTTCTAACAATTGGGGGGTTGCATACATACGAAGGACAACTCATTCAATAATAGGGGGAGATATTGGAGGGGGGGGGCACCGTCTGTCACGATTACAGTAGGGCCACCCCACTCTCGCGGCTTAGATATTATTTTTGGCGCGACCGTCCTTCTCGAAGCCTCCAGCCTTGAGCCCATCCAGCTGAGCTTGTCACAAAATTCACCGACACTCCGGGCCTCATCCTGGGACCCGCTCTAAGGGGTGGGGGTGGGCAGGGCGATCGCTTCAGAAGGCCCCTTGTTCCAGCGTGCCCCGCGACAGAGGCGGCAAAAACAAGATTTTGGGGAGTAGGAAGAAAAGAAAAAAGAAAGAAAAAAGAAATGAGAAAAGGGATCAGAATCAAATTCGAAAAGGCCCAGACTGGAAATGTTTTGCAACATTTGCCCTCCGAATACGCCACGGGGTCGATCATGATTCCTCTAATGGATCAACAAGATAGCTCCGATAGGAATTGGCAGCGATCTGGACAGTTGGCATTTCGATCAGGCCGAGGAAGAACATTCTTCACACGGCGAGGGCTTTGCATCTGGGAATATTGAATGACACGAACATCGAATCTATCGAAAAGTCGGTAAAGTGCCGACCCAGCGGAAAGGGCCAACGCAGCGGCGACCCAAGGGGCTGGAAAACTTTCCTGCAAGTGGGACCACTATTGTATCACCGCTTTATATTCCTTCCCGTACAGAATACACGATACATTGTTCTGTACGAAACGCCCGTGTTTCCGGATTTGTATGACGAGCGAGACAGAAGGTGGACTTTGGCAGTTTCACAAACTTCGGACGGTTGACGGCTACGTTTGTCATTATTCAATAATATTAATCAATATTCTTACTCGGCCACGCGAGCCCAAAGGCGGGGCATTAAGAAAAGCCGGTGAGACCCTCCGAGGAATGGGTCCTTCTTCCCTGATGATCGACGTCATTGTACTTGAGCAACAATCCCCATATCCCAGAGCCGCTTAAAAAATACTGTACTCTATGGGGGCATGAAATGGAGGTGAATAGGGTAGTAGGGAGGGAGGAGAAGGCTGTGCTGCTGCACAATGAGTGGGGGCCACTACTGCATGAAGCGAGCGCGATGATGGACGTGAGGATTGTGATGATGGGGAGATGTCGACGAGCTTGACACACTGAAAAGGACGCCAGACTCACCGTGTGCAGTTGACTGGTGATGAAGGTTTTCGGTCTGCAAGTTTTCAAATTGATCGGCCACGAGGCCTTGTCCCGATGGACGAATGGTCTCTTGCCAGTATCGCCGATAGTCACCTAGCAAACAGATTATAAACTCCGTGCCACATCGAGGCAGTATCCACGTCGATTCGGCTTGGTTAGAGACTGTCATGGGAGCCACCCATGACCGAGAAGACGAATCAACATTTTGCTAGTAAGTTGGGCAGTGCAGACGACGCTCATAACAATTCCTTCTATGCAAGCAATGTATAGAAGACGCCATGCGTTCCGAACCAGCGAACTACATCCAAGAGTGTGAGCAGGGATCTTCTTTGAGGGTTTGCACGAAATGAAGGGTTTCCGATGACATCCCGGCGAGGACAGCCCGAGGCGGATTGATTGGAACGGGGCCACGTTGCAAATGTAGCGGTGACGGCGAAGGGAGATTCGAAAGAGGAAGAAATTCAAAGGCTTCATGATCCCAAACAAAGCAGGGCCCTTGCCCGTCACGCGACTCCGTGGAGCCCGCGTTATCCACTCGGACTGTTTGGAAGGGCTGAGGCTAAGGCTAAGGCTTAGACTCAGACTTTAGGCTTCGGGTCTCGGGCTCCAGGGGGAGAAAAAAAGAAGTAAGATGGCCTAACGGGCGGCTGCGGATAGAATTTCTCCCGTTTTTGGAAGCAACAAAGAATATATCGCCCGGGTGACACGGGGATTGGCTTACTTGTGCATCCGTCAGTCAGAAGGGCAACCTGGGTTGAATGGGTTTAGGGCGATCCAAATGGGCTGAGCTTGATTTCTAGCTTTGCAGTGAGGCCAATGATCCATACTGGGGGTAGGGAAACGATCCCAGTCCTCGTCCCTTTTTCCTCTTACATCGGCCCATGGTCAGCCAGTCAGAGATCGAGAGGAAGCGGTTGGCGCAACGAGGTTGACAGCGGTGAGGTGCTTGGATGCGGTTGGACGGTTC